CCTCTGATTTCATTATATTTAAAGTACATCTCAATAAGACATAAAAGCTTTGGTGCTAGGATACCTATATTTAAAATCTTATTATTTAAATATACACCTGTCATGGTATGCTCATCTATTAAATACTAACACAGAATGATACTGCACCAAGCTTTTATAGTTATTATAAAGACATAAAAGAGGTAGAACAATTCTTAGAAAATAGTGTTTAATAAAAGCCAGCTATTATTAAGTATATATCATTAGCTTAGTAGTGTATATAGCAGGTACCAATGTTATAAGCACACTTATTTTTTAATAACATTTAATATATTTTAATGTTATATCAGCAAGTATAGTAGACTTAGCTGAATTGGAATAATTCTCCTTTTTTTTTCAAACACATAGACATCCTGGATAAAATTAACAAACAAAAACATTAGCTCATAACCGCTCTAAGAAAGGTGAGAAGAGAGGGAAGTGGAGGAAGAAAATAGAAAGGAAGAAGGGCATGCAGGCAGGAAGGGGCGGGCTTAGGGATCAGAATTGGAGGAAACAAAGCATGAGCTGGAGCCCAGGCAGCTCCTGGGAGTTTCCAAATCAAATCCAGGCCTTGAGGCTGGATCCTATTGGCAATTCTGAGAGGAGAGTCCCAGTCATGGATGCCATGAGTATGAGGAGCTAAGATGAGCTACACACGAAAAACTAATAAAATACTGTTGTATCTGTAACTTATGAACTAAAGAAACTCTGCCATGGCCTGCAAAAGTAGCAGAGACATTTACCATATTGTGGCTATGTCCTCCTGGAAAACAACTGGATCGTAGGCCAGTACCAAAAGCTGATAGGCAACCAGTTCAGGGTCATTATATGTATGATGTTCAAAGACAAAGCCAAGGAATCAAAAACCAGTATAACCCTCACAACTCTGCTGAGTGCAAAGACAAACCTGCCTCAGAGTTATACTTCAACATGACAGGGTATCCTGAATCTTTGCTAAAAACGACCTCTGATGAAGACGTACTTGCAGAAACTTAGAAACCATGATTCGGTGTTTCAAAAGGAGAACAGGAAGCAAAGAGAGAGGAGGTGTGAAAGGTTAATGGTGCCTGCCCTGGCCGAGCTTCCTTCCATGGGCCCTACTTAAAGGTTCCACTGCCTGCCTTTCAACAGCACCTTGAGCTGGGCACCACATTTTCAGCAAATGGGTGTCATTCAATGTCTGTAACAGAACGGATCCAAGGATTAAGAATAATAAGTGGTGGGGTGGCTATTCTTGGTTGTCAAATTGACTACATCTGGAACTAAAACCCCAAATGGAATTGCATCTGTGAGGGCTTTTTTGCTTAATCTGAAGTAGAACGATCCATTTCTAATCTGGATTTTTGAGGTAGGAAGACACATCTTTAATCCGAATCTAATCTGGGCCACCCCTTCTATTGAAAGCCTATATACATGGGAGAAAGAAGCCTTTGCTTTTTGCCTGCTTGTCCTTGCCTTACTAGCAAGTCCTCACTTCCTTCTACATCTTGCTTTTCTTTCCTTCTTTCCTTCCTTCCTTCCTTCCTCCCCCCTCCCTCCCTCCCTTTCTTTCATAAAGTTCTAGCAAGCACAGTACTGGCCAACTTCAAGTAAACAATGGTCTATCAGACACTGCATTCTTGACACAGGAATTCAGCTACTAGCAAAACAGCAATTGGGAGAGTGAAGTGAAATTGTGATTAATCATTCTTGCAGTCTTCATTGAAAGGTCCTATATCAAAAGGGAACAAGAGTGACGTGCAAGGAACAGAAATTAATAAAATCAGGAAAACTCAAATTACAGTAAGTTTTGACCCTTAACACAATTTCAGTGGGCACAATATGAAGATAAAACAGTACTAAGTATTAGACCTTTAAAAATATGAGCTAATAGCTTCTAAGCATTGTTTGGGGATATGTGGATTGGAATAGGTTGATTGGCATACGTGTAAGGAATTTAAAGATAACTAGAAAAAAATTGGAATGCATAATTTTATAACTAACAGAAGTAAAAGAAAAGAATTACTCTAAAAGAAAGCAAGAAAGCCAAGCATGGTGCCTCATGCCTTTGATCCCAGCACTGGGGAGGCAGAGGCAGGCTATTTCTGCTATTTCTGTGAGTTCAAGGCCAGACTGGTCTACAAACTGAGAGTTCCAGGTCAGCCAGAGCTACACAGTGAGACCCATTCTCAAAAAAAAAAAAAAAAAAAAAAATGGAGACAAGGAAGAGGAGAATAAATGGGAGTCCTGTAAACAAAAATAGGAAGGAAAGGAAAGTATTAGGAATACATCAGTAGAAGAAATAAATGTCAATCTTTGTTAGCATCCTTTTTAAAAGGTTGAAACTCACATTTCAGAACTATTTTATGAGGAGCACAAGTGTGATTGGATACAGGTGCATTCACACACACATGCACTCATGTATGAAGGTACCTATTACTTTATTAATAATAACACAAGTAACCAAATGTTATGTGTTTATTTGGTTTATTGGTTTGCAGTGTAGGCAACTGGTAAGATCAGAGTTCTAGAATGTCTGGGAGACAGATGTGTTAAATTCATCTTCTGAGACACAATGACAGGATACAGCACCTTTGGGGATCACTGAGGAGACCTGGAAGGTCCACCTGTCGTCCCTGACTTAGTGCCAGAGCCCCGGGAAAGTGACAGGAAGTGAAGGTACCATTTGGCTTCTAATGACAGTGAGCACTAAATAAGTAAGCCATCATTTAAACTTGTTAAGACCAATAATAATATGTGAATCATGGCAGTATTGAACAAGTAAATATTCATGCCTTGTGAAACAAAACACATTCTATGACAATGCAAGGAAAATAAAATATATTTTTAGATACCAACTCACTTGATCTGTTTTCCTTTCCTTGCCGTAACTAGTTACCTTTGGTGTTTTCAGCTAGAAGCTGTTCCACAGAAAATAAATTAATCACACCCAACTGAGGTCACACCGAGTCCCTGTGTGTGCTGACATGGAAATATTCTTGTGTTTGTCTTACAAGGAGGGACATGTTTGAGTTGTGGGAAGCTTTGCTATATTTACATGGTCAGCATTGACCAAACCTGGTGCTCCCAATCTTGACTTTAGAGTCACCTGGGTCTTGATAAAAGTGCCAAAGAGATGCACTTCAGGCCACTTATATCACAGTTCCCGGGCACATGGCGCCTGAGTTCTGTGAAGCTACCCAGGTGGTCCCAACTTGCAGGCAAATTTGAAGATTATATGTCATATGAAGAGCCAGAAAAGAAATAACTTTCAAATTCAGTGATTTGTGGAAATCAGTGAGGTGGTGAACTACAGAAAGCTTAAAACTTCAGGCCAGTTCTAGAATGTTCTAGGCATTATTTTCTAAGAAGGCCCCTTGCCTTTTACTTCTGAGCCCCGTCTACTTCAGACTCATTGAAAACTAAGAAGCCTTATTTATAAGTCTTAACATTCTGGCGTAGTCAACTCACTCTCTTTAAGACCACCCAAACACATCTCTTTCCCAACAAAATGAGCCACACTTACAGCCTACTCGGATAGCTTGTTCTCCTCTGTGAATTATAGGCTGTTGGCTCTGAAGAAAATACTAGTCTCTTCTCTGTAACAATAGTACTCTGCATTCACTAGACATACACATCTTTGATTTAGAGAACTACTAGTGAGACCCGGTGGAGGAAGACTGTAGCTCACAGTTGGTTTAGAGAAGGCTTTTCTGCCACCTAATGGGCACTTGAAAATATGCCATACAGAATTCACCTTGTTGATCACAGTGCCTGTCATCCGGCTCAATACTGAGCAATTTGGACTACTTAGTTTTATTTTTGAACATCTTGGTAGCATTTCTCTCTTCACACCAATTCCTAGGTCAAAAGCTCCATGTATCAAGTTTTTGAACCTGTCCAATTCTTCAGAAGACCTTTACTTGTTTCTAAAAACCCAACTCTCAGGTACACAGTGTGATCAGCAGACCATGTCCTGTGTCCAGCCTTTCAGTATTACATGGCCACTTAAATGATCTTCTTTGGCTCTATGGCTTAAATACTGTCTACACACAGATGGCTCTGGAGTGCATATATTATACATCAGGGTTTTGCTCTGGATATTTCACAGAGCCACCTCCTTGCCAGCTTTTCTTGGATGTCAAATAGACTTCTTAATCCTGATTAGACTGAATCACTACACACACACACACACACACACACACACACACACACACACACACACACACACGTTTCTGTCTGTGTCACCACTGTGTGTTTGTCTTGCTCTCTTACACACACACACACATACACACATCTGTGTTGGTAGACTTGCTATCTCAATGTATAGCAATTCTATCCTTCTAGTTTCTCAGGTTAAAAGCATTAGCCATTCTTTATTCTTCTTCAGTCAAATCTCATATTAAATGTCAAGAAATCATCTTGCATATTTCTAGAACCTTAAGACTTTCTGTCATCATGTGTTCCACTCTGCTCTGAATTATTGTGTTGCTGTCTTGAAACCACAGCAAGTGTGATCACCTGCATGTGACTCTCACAATTTGTGTATTGAAGATTTCTTGTGAATGGGGGTGAGGAGGGCCACTGAACCTCAAAGCTGAGACTCTATCCTGTACCTCTGCACTCCCTGCCCCCAGTTGCATGTAACCCTGCCCTGGGAGATGCCATGTAGCTATTGGGAAGATAGGATGTGCTAGCCATTCTCTGCTAAGATAAGGCAATGTAGAAATATAGTTATGGGCTAATAATTGAGAGCTAGTCAGTAAGAAGGCTGAGCCATTGGTCAAACAGTTTATAATTAATGCAAGTCTCTGTGTTTATTTGGGGCTAAACAGCTATGGGATCAGGTAGAAAGTATGTCAAGGAAATTAATTTAGGAAGCACAGAATTGATACAAATGTCATTTAAAATTATTACTGTAAGAATGTGTACTATATTTAATCTGCTATTAGCTAAGTATATGAAACACATACCCCCCCCAAAAAAATCCAGTGACAATGTAAGTAAAACTGCTTTTATTTTCATAAATAAAAAGAGAAATCATTCTATAAACACAAGCAGAAGTAGCATGTGAACTGTCCTTGCCCGGTATGAGATACATGCAACACTCATGCACAGTTCCATCTCTCTGCAGCCTTTGGGCCAGTGCTTCTTGTTTGGGATCTCGCCAAATCCCCAATGTCGATTCACAACCTTATATAATGGGGTATGTTAGGCAGCTGGTGTCACCTCTTCAGTCAACAGAAGACTTCTCATCTGACCATATCAACACTGCCTGCTGTAGATTTCAACACCTGTACTTACTGCACTGGACAGAAGCACTGGACATAAGTGTTTCCATTTCATGAGTGGCAGTTTTGTCAGACCACAAAAATCTCACTCCTTAGGTAAATGAGCAATAGTGCCTAAAAGAAGTTCCACAGGCAGAGCAAACGGGCAGGGGCAAGCACTGGTTAAAGTTCTGTCAGTAACTGACATTTAGGACAAGTGACCGTGTTAAGGGTGAAATTTAGTATCTCTTTCTACAGGCAGCAAAATAAAATTTAATGCTCATTCAGTAGTTTCTCCAAGTATTCTGGATGCTGCAGCTTCAAATATTAAATAGATATTATAAGCTGTAACTAGCATTTCTATTTAAAAAAAAAACTCATTGATTCTATGTAGCTTTTCAAAGCAGTGTAAACTATGGTATATGATTTATTGAATACAATCTTGATTGAAGGTATCATCTGTTCATTCTTCATCTCTTGTTTCAATACTTTATGTGACTAATGAGTTAGTTTCTCACAGGGTTGCTATGTGGGTGCAGTGGTTTGTCTAAGTGCCTGCACACTGGCTGGTACACAGTAAGCTCTCATGTACACTATTGTTCCTATCAAGTAGCCAAGCAGGGACACACTACATACAGCGGGATGTGACTCCTAACCTTTTGCTGCTACAGCCTTGGCCTACAGCCAAACAACTCTTATAGGCTAAATATCGAAGAATACCATGTACACCAAAATCAGGTAACCAAAGGCATTTTCTTAAATACTTTTAACAAAGGCGTCATCAGTGTGATCCAGGGCAACCTATCTCGGTTGAGTTTACCAAGGCTTTCTTTACAACATGCAATGTTTTACTTCTTCAAAACACACTTCCATTCTTTTTTGTCTCTCTCTACAAGGAAACACCAAATGCTAGTACAAAACTTTGTTCCTTAAGTAAAAAAATTCATTAGAAAAGGTACTTGTAAAAACAAAACAAAACACTAGGTACTGGGGTGACTACGGGTGCATGGGACTGTGCAGGTAAGGGAAGCTTTTGCCAGACAACAGACTGCAGACCTGTCACCGCTCATTTTCAATTAAGTTCCACATTCTTTTAAACACCAATTTTCTAGGAAATTATTGACTGGTAAGTGTAAGGAAGGAGTTTGGTCTGAAGGTTTTCTGACTTTTAACTGTGATTTCCTTTTCCTACCAGAAGGATGAGTTAGACTCACACCTAATAAGTCATGATGAGGTGAACCCACTTCTTTTTAAAACATTCTTCTGGTATTGAACAAGAAGGAAAATAAACTTTTTTTTTTTTTTTTTTTTTTGTGAAGGTAGAAAAACACTAACACAAAACTTGCTGTCTAGAGTTCCAACAAGGCCCAAACCCCACATATACTCATTAAAATACAAAACAACCCTTCCCAATGTTGTCCTGATTAAAAAAAGCAGAGCCCATAAACAAAAGCATGAAACACCTCTACATTAAAAATCAAGAATAAATAAACAAAAGGCCAAGTCCCTCCCAAGTTAATAATTACCCTATGGGCTTCAGAGAAATCAGAAAATGTGAACTGAAGTACCGCAGCTTACAGGGACTGGCAACAAGATTTTTAAGCAAGTATTACACTCTTAAGAGACAGAACACCCAGTGTCCTTCTGAGGTTTGATATTTGGTTCCTTTACAGGTTTCACTTCTTCTTCAGGTTTGGGTTTGACCTAAGGAAAAAGAAAACAAGGTAAATATGCACATGGTGACTGAGACAACCCACACAGATCTCTGCTTCAGACCTTCAAGAGTGTTGTATTGTAAAGGATGACACTGAGGCTACCCACACCACTCCAGAAGCTGCATTTTAAAGTGCTGCCCACAGGCAACACCCTAATGAATGAAAACCTAGACTATGGGCCCCCACGGTTTGCCTCCTCTACATCTTTTGAAGAAGGAAAAAGTTGGCAATGGGGCCCTAGTGTGGAGACAATTTATGACAATATAAGCTGTCTTTAAAGGTACTGTTTTGAAGGTTCAATAAGAAGAAACAATTGAGTATGTAAAGGAGTACTTGTATGGAGAGGAAACTAAAAACAGGCAATGTCAAAGGAAGATTAGGGTTGTAAAACAATCCCCACCCCTTAGTCACAGCTTCCGAGTCTTTTAGTAATTAAACATAACTTTCCATGTGAGCTACCATGGGGTGCTTAGGTATAAACAAATGCAAAAACATTCTGTTTCACTCCTGGATGACTAATAGAGGGCTGAAGTTAAATTGAATCTTCAAATACCCAGTGTCAGAGGGGCATTGCTATAGCAACATCAACTCGGATGACCTTCCCCCACACACTTTTTAAAGAAAACACTGACAAGTTGTGAAAATGAGATAATGCTTCAAAAACAATGTCAGTAAATTACGCAGAAAACCAGAAGTTCCTGAAGGTATAGGTCAAGCTACAACTGATTAGATGAAGCACTACAATACGCTGACTGAGCATGAAGACAAATACATAGCCCTGCTGAGTAGACAGACACTGCAAAACTAGTTCTACACTCTCCTTAAAGGCCTGTGACTGGGAGGAAAAGCCCCGTTCTCATACACTATCATCCTTGGGTCTCTTGGTGAGATCAAATGCAGCCAGCGCTTCCGGTGTCCAGTGAGCACTCATAGGTGGAAATTCAAAAGGCACAGGCTCTACCAGCCCATAGTTTGCTTTGAGTTCCAGCTGTGGGGCTTCTGTTGGGATTTTTTGAAAGTAACTGCAAAAAACAATTGAAATTGTGGCTTATTCATTTATTCAGCAACTACCTGAGCACTTAATATGTTAAAGACTACGATGAGTATGGCAGACCCATATGGACATATGAGAAGGTCAGGAAGCCCTAGCAGTTACAACACAATGCAAGAGCAGCTTCCAAGAACAGAAAGAACACAGAGGGACAGTGCGCCTGGGTCTGGGGCTCAGTCTACTTTCCAGGGGAGTTGACCAAAACTGAACCAGGCAAGTGAAAAGACCAGTGTGACCAACACAAAGTATCACAGGAAGAAGATGAAGGGGCAGGCAGGGACAAAAACAATTCTTCCAGCCTACAAAAGCACCAACTACAGTCTGCACACTGATTTACTAACAGTCTTAGTCTTACTGCCCGAAAGCATCAGGGAAAATTATGCAAAAACTTTCCTACTTTATAGTTAGCTCAGACCAGTGTGAGACAAATATGCAAAGAAGTTGATTACACACATATACCACACACACACACACACACACACACACCATATACATATATACATCCCGCACATACAAGTAGCATATGGAAACAAAGTTAACAGAAAAAGAAATGTTTATAGGAGTGAAATAAACTATGTTAACGATTCACATTTAGATTTTAAACCTATTTTTATGCCATCATATATAGAATAAAAGGCCTTAACAAGTTTATCAGCAATTTAAAGAGAAAATTAATACTAAATTTAAATACAATTTAAGACAATTCCTTTGGAACTGGCGATTAAAAACTGTTACTAAAATGTGACTACCTTAACAATCGTGAGCCATGTATGAAGTATCAGAATCAAGGGGTGAGCACTACTCACATAAACCCATTCTCTCTCTGACATTTGTCCAGAGTGTTCTTCACAAGGCTTCCAAGCTTCCGAAAGAACAAGTGTCCTGATGGCTTGGCTGTTGGTCCTGGTCCTTTGGTTTCCCCATACTCTTTGCACAGGGCTTCTGCCTCTGCGTACACTGCAGAGAGGACACGAGTCTCAGAACGGCTACGTCCTGCTTGTGAGTGCTCAAAAGCTTTAGTCAGAGACAATAACCTCTGCTGTTTTCACCTGCTATAAGAGCAGCACCGGACAGCGCTGCTGGGAGGCTGCATTTTCTATGGGTTCATGGACCAGAATTTTCTTTTCTTTTCTCCAACTATCTTGCCTATTTCTTTCCCCATTTCCTTTCATCAACTCAGCCAGAATCTATTCATTCCCTTTAGGATGAAAGTTTTGTTTTGTTTTTTTCTAAAGGGAGTTAAAAGTCCTGAAAGCAAAACTTACATTTTTCTGCTTCTTGGAGAGACCGGATTGCTTCTCCACATTTATCACTAGCCAACAGAGTCTGGCCATGGTAACAGTATGCCTGGCAAAAAAAAGCACATGTTCATATATTCTGTCCTGGAACTTACATGTCAGATAAACATTGTTGGTCTCTGTTTGGACTATCCATGCAATCCTTTACTTGAGGTAGGCTTCCTCCATCTCTTTCCAAATGAAAGGTACAGTCCAGCCCTGAGGCAAGTAGACTTGTAACCATGTTCCAAGAGTAAAACCTGCAAGCTGAAACTTGTTTTAAAAATGAGGACAGAGGTAAATAAAGGAGTAGAGTCTATGCATAGCATATATATATATGCATAGCATATATATGGAAAGGGTAGTGTTTTGAGATAAACATGTAGAGTTTCTCTCATGTGTGTCCCCAGGACATGGCACGTGCGTGCATACATGCGTGCGTGCGTGCATGTGTGTGTGTGTGTGTGTATGTGTGTCCCCACCCAGTAAGATTGGTTCAGGAGCCTCCAGCCTCAGCTTCCAATGTTAGGGTTACAGGCATGTTTCACCACACCCAGTAAGGACCACAGTTTTAAGAAAAATTTGTCAGCCTGAAGTCCACTGGTTAAAATTTATTGATGCAGACACTTGGTGCTGAGCAGGAGTATGTTGGAAAATGCTGTGGAATGTAAGGGATAGAGTGTTTACTTAACTCTGAAAAAGGTTTGACTGCCTCTAACATGGTAACAATCAAGCCTGGTGGTTTAATCAACTCATAAGGAACTTGTAAAATGGTGCGCTCTGGTGGTTTTTCACCTAGGTCACATACAATGCATGGTATGCCTTAGAATTAAAACAACAAAATGACTGTGTGTATAGAGGGGTGAGTGAGGCAGGGAGTCAGAGGCCAACTCAGTCCCTGCCTTCTACTCTGTCCTGTTGTTTGCTTCAAGGTATGCAAGGCTAGAGGTATGCAAGGCTAGTTGCTGGTATTTCTGCCTTCGATCTCACTGGAGGGGTGCTGGCATTAAGGATACACACGATTGTATCCAGTTTAACATGGCTTCTAGGGATCTGCACTCAGGTCTTCACCCTTGCTCACAACATACTGAGCCACGTTCCTAAGACGTTAAGATTAGAATTTGTGGATATCCCTCTCAATGGACAGGCTAAAACAACTAAGAGAATGAGATCATGATTTGGGACCATGCAGCAGTTCAAGGTCTACACTTCTCTACCATCTCCTTCCACTCACTCTGCCAGGGAACATCTCCTGACAGCTGCCTGCCTGTCACTGGCTTGTTGCTAATGATCAGTAGTGGGATGAGAGAGCTGGCAATCAAGGGGCCCGAGAGAGTGAATTTACTGTTTGTAGAGCTATTGGTACTTACGGGGCCTGAGAGAGTGAATTTACTGTCTGTAGAGCTATTGGTACTTACATAGGCTGTGTAGAAGCACATCTTCAAGTGCAGGTATTTCCTCCATTTAGCAGAGTATGCAGGCTCCAAACTGGATAAAGTATGATCTAAAGTTACATTTTAAAAAGCAAAATATCATTTCACCCAGTTTCACTGGAACATTTCTTAGTTCCTGTGTTCTGGTGCTAAAAGCAGAATGCCATGTAATCTAAATTTGAGCTTTCATACATATTAAGGGGAAAAAAACCCCTACATATTTAACATGATTTATTTCTTACAATTACATACTTGAACAACATAAGTACCTCTTCAATTTGATGGTTAAAATAGCTTTAAGTTGATGACAAAAAGAGACAGGTCTACGGATTTCAAAGCAAGTATTTGTATCATAGCTTTAAAGTTATATGTAATATAGTCATGCAGATAGCAGTCTATTTGCCTACCAGAAACAACTCACATTACTATCCAGTCATTCATTACTGAGCTATTCGTTAAAAATACATATGCACTCACTCACATGTCCATACATGCTCACATAATCCAAACACTTCCTAAATCCATTTTTGTCTTCCTTATTTTCAATTTCATTATCACTGTCAAACCTTTCTTCATTTCCTCTGGAACCTGTAACAATTTTTTTTCTAAACACCAAGACTTCACACAGCAAGCCCATATGTGAGCTGGGAATTTTCTTTTAAAATTACAATCTACTCACGTCAGACTCAGTTTGTTTTGAAATGAGACTAAAAAGCCACTTCCTCTCGAAAGTGTTCTGTAGCACACCCACAATGGTCAGTTTCTTATATCGCTGATGCACCTTACAGCATGGTCTGACTACAAGTTCACCTCTGTCTCTAGACTGTGAATTGATTATCTACTCAGCAACTGAGACAGTAATGCACCTCCAAACAGAAACCTGAGTGTGTTTTCTAGATCACAGGAACCAAGTTCTAGTTCCCACCGTCCACATGCTAGTAGTCAAGTTATAGGTGGCCATATAACACTTTACTGTTACTTTCTTATCTACATAAGAATAACAATTACAAATGGTTATAAAGATCTAGGCATGGTGGTGCATGACTTTAGTTTCAGCACTTTATTCTGGAAGGCGGAGGTAGGTGGATCTCTTGAGTTTGTGGCCAGTCTGGTGTACATAGTGAGTCTAGGACAGCCAGGGCTACACAGAAAGACCTAGTCTTAAAAGTGAATTAACTAACTAAATACATAAATAAGATTGTTGTAAAGACCAAAAAAAGCAAAGGCTACATATAATGGGATATAACTGGTGGAAAGTACAACACTATCTTCCCATTAGAAGATGTATAAAACGTTAGCTGTGAGACATTAGGCCCTGACTCAAGTGCTCTAACACTAGCTCTATTCCCAGTACCTCATACATTAACTTATAACCTATTAATTATCATGTATATGTGCGTATTTGTGTCTGAGAGGAACGTGTATGGGTGTGCGTGCATGTGCGTGCGTGTGTGTGTGTGTGTGTGTGTGTGTGTGTGTGTGTGTGTGTGTGTGTATGAGGAGGCTATTCACCCTAAGTGTTGAGACAAGGCCTCTTACTTGCGAGTGTGGCTGGTTAGCGAGCCAAAGGGATCCCTCTTGACTCCTCCTCAGTGCTAAGATCACAGGCACACATCATCACACTTGGATTTCTTACATCCTACAGATCAAACTTAGGTCCTAATGCTCATATGGCAAACACTTTACCCACAGAGCTGCCTCCCTGTTTTTAAGACAAACTGCCTTGATTTTACTTTGTAGCCCAGAAAGGCCTTGGAACAATTCTCCCATGACAGCCTCTGGAGTACCTGTGCCACCATACTTGGCCTCTTTATTTTAAACAAGGCCAAAACACCAAAGATTTTATTCTGGTGTTGTAAAGGAGAAAGGAGAATCTCACTTTCTTCCCTTTTCAGAAAAATCAAATGAACATGCAAATCTAAGGAATGGGAATGCAACAACATGATGGGTTTACCTGCTTTCTGGTAGAAGCTGGCTGTTTCATAGGCAAGCGCAGCGATCAGTCCCGGAGCGTGCTTCAGTTCAATTGCTCGGGCGATTGTTACTGTAACCGACACACAAGGAACACAATCTCTAAGTTCATGTCCATCTATGGGAAGTTCAGCCAGAATAGCATAAGATAGCTTGATAGTTGTCTTCCAGATTTTCATAGTATGTTTTTAATATGTTTTAGTGTAAAATTTTATAGAAAATATAAACACAAAAAGAAAACACTACCTTCGTGTTTCTGATCCAGTATCTTTAAATCACTAGCCAACTATTAGCCAAGCACACAGAATTACTATAAAAAAGCACGACATAAAGAAGTACCCTAAAAACACTAGATTTTGACATACAGATAAAAAGCTTATAGGAGTTATTTTACTGTTTTCTGCAAGGGACACATGAAGACTTCAAGGTAAGTTAATGAGAAGAAGGAAAATAATAAGCATAACACAGGAGGAAAGATGAGTAAAGAGTTAATGTTTGTGGCTGGAGCAGTGGCTCAGAGTTAAGATCAACCAAGTTAAGTGCCCAACATGCATTTTGGGAGGGTCACAACCACCTATAACTCCAGCTTCAGGGGGTTCGACACCCTCTTCTGACCTCTAAAGGCATCCACACATATAAACTCACCACACACACTAATACACACACACCTGAAATTTAATTAAAAGAAAGAAGAACCCAAAGATTAGTGCTGTCAAAAAAAGCATGAAATCAAAATCCTCTTTAATGAAACATTAGCTGGAAGGAGCTCTCTGGACAGCAAAGGAAATGTTAAAGGTAAAATGAACCTCATAATCAATTCTTAAAAACTGAACCTTAATATGGCAAATTCTGGTGTTTTCTAAAAGAATTCAAAGCCAATATAAGCATTCTTAAAAACAAAACACCTCAAGTATTTAGATACCTTCTTGAGCTTCAGCCTGGCACTGGATGACGTAAGCGTCTATGAGTCGAGCCTCTAAGTCCTGGCCCTTTTCTGCTGGTGTAAGAAGTTTGGGTATATGACTTTCCTAGAGAGAACAGAAAACAAATGTGTCACATCTCACCTTAGCACTGCTGTCAGAGGTGAAGATCCGATTTATGGGATGTTCAACTTAGAGACTCGCTGGGAGCTAAGAGGACAGGCCAAGCAGTGGCTGAAAGCTAACAGGTGAGGTGAGGGCTTGTGTTTTCAAAGTGAACTTTTATAAGAAACCCAACAGCAAAATTAGGTTCTGGAGAGATTTCTTACATATGTAATATAATGCAAAGCACATTTTTATCTTAGCAAGTATTTAGCTGCAATAGTAACCCAAATTTTCTTTTGTACTGTGAACTCTCCATTCACAGTAAGAAGTAGTGATGAAAAGAAAATTCTACATCTAACTCAGGATGAAGAAACACATTAAAGCTGCCTCCAAGAGGCCCTCAGTAATCAGTAGATGGGCAGTCTCGGAGGAAGACACATGGTTTCCCTTCAGAGTTTCCATCCTATTTCAGGCTATCTGATATAATCAGATTGCAGTGACTGGCTGCCCAGTGAGACCCAGAATGCAACCTCAAAGTCAGCACCGAGGCAGTGTGACTGCTCCTGGCAGCAGCAGAGAACAATGCGCAGCAGCACAGGCATTCATTTACCTGTTTTGTTTTCACTCAGGGTAAGAGACAGAAAGTAAGCAGAGTGTTACAGCTGAAACTTCTGGTTATGATTCACCGACTTTAAGGTAGAATGGAGTTATTAACATAGCAACTGGCTATAGTTCACCAATAAGGCAGTTAATGTACAACATGCAGTTTGCTCAGACATGAGTACTCCGTATCTGCACTCAGCCACAGAGGCAGCATCTGTACCAAGTCTATACACATTTCCCTTGTCATGATTACCTAGACAATACAGTAGGATGAGTACTCACAGAGCACTCACACTGTGCTAGTAGCCAAGAGAGATGACTTACAGTACACTGGATTTGCATGGGTTACATGCAGAGCCCATGTCACTTTAGAAAAGGCACTTGGGAATCTAGACTTCAGTATGGAGGTGTGAAAGGGGCAGTCTGTTCTCGAACCAACTCTCTACAGTTACTGGAGGGACTGTACTACCTCTTAACACAATGGCGTTATTAATTCCTACACGGAGTCCAAGAATTAATGTGTCATCTCCTCCCCATTTTACCTTTAAGTGTTTAAAAATCCCAGCTGCAATCTTTAGGCTTCGATGGACTTCCTTTGCTTCATCTTCCGTTATGCTTTAAGACAGTGGTTATGTTAGTTAGAGGATGAGCTGTATTTCTGGTCCTAACAGCTAACACATTATCAGAACACCAAGGCTGGGGAGATGGCTTGGTAGACTAAGAGCACTCGCTGCTTTTGAAGAGGACCCAGTTTAGCTCCCAGCACCCATGTCAGCACCGTGTCAAGTGCCTCACAACTGCCTAAGACCCCAGCTCCAGGGTGACCCAGTGCCTCTGGCCTCCACATGCATGTACACATGCCCACACACAGGCACATAATTTAAAAACATCAGAAAACCAAGTTAGTTATTTATGTTTCTTACTAACAGCTGTTACTGTTTTTTGTTTGTTTTTTTAAATACTCCTTATTCTTTGAGGGACTAACACCCAGCTCCAGCTCCCAAATAATCACAGGGGTCTTAGTCTTATTTATGAATGTCTGGCCTTCACTTGGCTTGTTTTTAGCCAGCTTTTCTTAAATTACCCTATCTATCTTTTGCCTCTGGGCTTTTCCTTCCTATATACTTTCCTTTACTTCTTACTCCATGGCTTGCTGTGTAGCTGGGTGGCTGGCCTCTGGAGTCCTCTCCTTTTCTCGCTCCTCGATCTTTTCTTCCCAGATTTCTCCACTATCTATTCTCTCCGCCTGCCAGCCCTGTCTATCCTTTCTCCTCCTTAGCTACTGGCCATTCACCTCTTTATTAGACCAATCAGGTGTTAGACAAAGTAACATAGCTTCATAAAGTTAAACAAATGCAACATTTCGCATCATTAAACAAATATCCCATGGCATAAACAAATTAACACATCTTCAAATAATATTCTACAACAATCAGTTTTCTTCCTTAAAGACAAAAGGAAATCTACTTGACACTAAAAAAATTAAAAATGCACATGAAACATATCCCAAGACACTGCAGACGAATAAAGACCTTGCCTAGAAGTAAATGCTAAACAGTCTTCTTTCCAGACTGTTCTGTCATTAATAAATACAAAATATTATGAACTTAACACCATGGTAGCTACACACACTATTCTGTGTCATAGCAAACATGATTCATGCTTAGATGGCTGCATATTATTATGTATGGATGAATTATAACTGATGTACCAGTTTCCTAATGCTGCATCCATGTTAATTACTACAAAAGTTGTCTCATTTAATTTTACAAATCTTGAAAAAAAAATGTTATTTTTCTGTGTGCACAGATGCATGAGTAGAGGTCACAGGACAAGTCTGTGGGCTTGGTTCTCTCCTCTCATCATTTTGTGAGTTCTGGTGTCCACCTTGCATCACTGGGTGGCAAGCACCTTTACCCACTGAGTTACCTCATTGGCCTAACACAAGTCTTTAGTCTTCTAAACATCACTTTATATACTTACAAGCCTTTTGTATCTCTTTTTCTATGAATTACCTATTCATCTCCCTATTTTTAACTGACTTGATGGCACTTGTTGATTTTTAGATTATAGATTATTTAAAAACTGACAAGTTATAATGAGTTGCAATTTGTTGACCAATTCTGTCATTGCTTTAAATCTCTGTTTATAGTACTTTAAATGTCATCAAATATTCACATTTTTAATGATGCCTTGGTTTGGGGCCTTACTTAGATCTACCACCATGTAACAAGATTATGAAAACTTTTTCCCTTTTAAAACTAGAATACAGAGGTGGTGAGATGGTTTGCCGCACAAGCGGGCAACCTGATATACTCTGGAACCCAGGTCCAAATAGGAGAGACCCTATTCCACAAAGCTGACCTCCGACCTCCTCATGCACCCTGGACTGTGTGCCCCCTCTCCCACCCCAAGAGCAATAAACAAAACTGCACAAAACAAAGATTAAGCTGCATAACTGCAGTTCTTAAGAATGAGACAAGGACTCTTGCACTTGACCTCAAGGGGAACCTTTTAGAAAACAGCCTAGAGTTAAATTCAATATATTAAAAAAACAACACACACACACTCTTTGATTTCTAACTTACTTACTTTTCTTTTCCAGCCAATCTTGAAGCATATTTGGTATACCATAATGCTACATTAAATCCCATGGAAATCAATTCAAAAACAGCATCCTGCTGGGCACTGGAATTAAAGATGAAGTCATTAAGTTCTGTAAATTATGAAGACATTGCTATACACAGCTTACTTGGCTTAGCAGATAAAGGTTCTTACTGTCAATTTTGATGGCCTGAGTTCAATCCCTTGGCCCCACATGGTTGAAGAGAACTGACTCTTGAATGTTGTTCTCTAATCTGACACCCTTACACAGACATACATGCAGGCAAAACACCAATGTACATAAAATACAAATAAATAAATTTTTAAAAAGTCTTCACAACAACAAATCCTTAATTCTGGATGAAAAACAGTGATTACACAAAGGAAAACAGAAAAAGTCTCGGAAAACTCTAGTATTCAAGACTACCAGAATCCACATAACATGTCCAAGAAAGGAAGGAAAGTAATATATAGTGAATATCTTAATTCTAAAGAGTCCTGGCATTACATCATTTATCACATAAAGTTTCTCCCTTTGTTCCTCACAGTATCCTATTATCATAACATCAAAATCTAGTTGAAGTAGATGCTCACGTCTCAGAAAACCTGGATTTCATCTTGGCATGCACAAACCCAGCATGCATTCTTTCTACTGCAGCACCCTCTGGGATTTGTGATCTCCAATCCCTTCCCGTCTATTTTTACTTTACCTTTTTACAGTTATTTTATCTATTTACTTATTTGTGTGGGTGGATACACATGCTCCACAAGGCATGTGTGTTATAATTTAAGAAAGGTGGCAAAACAGGGTTTGAGCAGTGGGGTTTTTATTGAGGAAGAGATCATAGAATGGTGAGAGGAGAGGTGGGGAGACTGACCTCTGGAGACAGGAGCAGAGGAGAGAGGAGGAGGAGAGGAGAGAAGGGAACAGACAGAGAGAGAAAGAAAGAGAGACAGAAGAAAGGAAGGCGAGCAGGGCCCTTTTAAAAGGGAATGCAGTGAATATGCACAGGTGCCCTTAGTGGTTGCGGCTGAGGGCTTATCCTGTCAGAACCCCAAGGACAGGCCAGTATGTATGCCTGAATACTAACAATGTCTGGAAGTCAAAAGGCAAGTTATGGGAGTTGGCTCACTCCTTCTACTTTATGTAGGCTCTGGGAATTGAACTCAGGTTGTCAGGCTTAGCAAGCATCTTTAAACACTGAGCCATCTTGCTGGCTCCTTTTCTATTTTTTATTAAAAGACTATCTATGACCATTTTAACCATCCAATTGTGTTTTTAAAAAATAAAGGCTAAGGCCACAATGATCTATTATTAATAGTTAAGTAGTGAGAAAGTTGTGAAGGGACTTTTTAAGAGTAGAAAAATGACTAGAAAGGAGGAGAGAAAAATAAAGCCTGTATTGGATTGCAAAATGGGTGCTGCAAAAATAGATTTTGTCTGGTAGAAACACATTATTTTAAACTTAACAGTACACACTAGTTTAAGTCAACATTTTAATTAATTTCTTAACAAGTGAAAATACTTATCTGTTTTACTTCTTCAAATACACTGGACAAACAGTTAAAAGCAGACTTGGATTATTTAGGGCCTCATTAGCACACTTACATAGGAACATGTCCTTGCAGTGTATCAGTCCACTTGAAACTCTGAACATATCGTAATTTGCTTTCTTGGGTAGAGTCACCCAATGAATTTATGAAACCTATAAAAAGATGGAGCATGTTTTAATTTTAGAACAACTATTACTTGTTCCAGTCAAAGTTGTATTCACACATAGCTGGGCATGGTGGCACCTTTAATCCCAGCATCAGGCAGACAGGAGGATCTCTGTGAATTCAAGGTCAGTCTGGTCTACAAAGCAAGTTTTAGGATGTTCGAACTCCCCTCCCCACCAAAAACAATTGGTTTTATTCATACAATAACTTTTTTAGGTGCCTGAATGAACCTTCTAGTACTTTTCTCCTTCCTTCATTTTACATATCTAATAACAGAACATGAAATAAATAAATAAATAAACATACACATATATGTGTATCTATATGTATACACCCACCCACCCCACACACACACATACACATGTCCAATTTTTAGACTATCAGAAAGACCATGTACCACTACCACAATGTTACATTCTGAGACCCAAGCATTCCAAGTATAGCCTGGGAGATAAAACTATTTGTATCTGAAAAATTAAATATACACTATCACATAGCTAGTTTTTAGAATGCTCAAGTTTATAAAAGTAACTAACCTTGTAAAAGTGAAAAATACAAGTCTGCTGCATTCTTCATTGTTTCTGGATTACAGCTCAAATCAGTGAACAATTCGAGGAGCCGAGTCCTGGATGATCTCAAATCACTTACATCAACAGACAGTAAAGCTAAGTAAGTTGTATTTCAAAGACTATGTAAAAACAGCTCAGAGGCTACAACTTAAAGCATTAAAACACACATAGATCCCCTGCTACCTTCTTTACCTATGTATCAATTCCAAGGAATAATTTTAATTAGGGCTGATGTTAGAAATAAATGAAGTTTCTAGTAATTAATTGCTTCAAAAGTTATAAGCAAATAAACTCAGTCTAATTAAAGGGGCAACGTATGCATCCAATGGTACAATGAAAATATAAAAAGCAAGTTTTAAAAACAAAATTATCCACCAGGCACAGCAACACAGACAGTGCTTGGGAGGTGGGAGAGGGACCCTTGGCTACAGAGGCCAGACAAGTCTGAATCCGCTCAGGTTAGCTTAGACCATGTCTGCATTAACACAAACAACAATTGAGTGTTACTTAAAATTCATTTTTCATTTGTTTTAAATGCTATTTTGTTTTTTCTGACAGGGTTTCTTTGTGTAGCCTTGGCTGTCCTGGAACTAGCTATGTAGACCAGGCTGGTGTTGAACTCATAAAAATCTACCTGCCTCTGCCTCCTGAGTGCTAGGATTATAGGAGTTTGTAAATGACTGGCTCATTTTTCATTCTTCAGTCAATAGTTTTGGAGAAAACAAAATTTAATGTACTTGTATATGATTTTAATGACTGTCTTGAGTTTCTAAATTTGGCACTACATATAAAACATCTCTCTAACATAGTGTATGAATATATATATATATGTACATATATATATATATATATATATATATATATATATATATATATCAATATCATCCAGAAAATGTAACACCGTATGGCCATTAGGTTAAAATATCAATTGCTCCCTACATGCTATTCTTGTCTGTAACAAACGTGTTTTGTACCCACCTTACCTTCTTGCGACTCCTTTACCCCAGTCACAGTGAGCACTACAGTTTCGAGATGCTCCTCCCACTCAACACTTCCTCTCTATGTCTTCATTCCTCTCCCACCTATAAATAATGCCAGTCTTTGGCCTTCTGGTGGTCTCTTTTGAGCTCTCTATTCTCACATCTTCAATGACTTCCTCTCCGAAATCCACAGCATCTCTAATCTGCACCCACATCTAATCCAGGAGGACACAAGAGTTCCAGAAGTCACATTAAATGGACATTGACGTTATGACATTTAAAATAGGTTTAAGTTGCTGGAGACTAATTTTAAATTGTAAACACATAGAATGCATAATATATTATACTCTGAATATTTTCAAAGTTCAAAGAGGTTGAACGTCTAGGTCTCTCACTAAACCCAGCACTTGTGATTTGGGCTAAAACTGCTGGTCAGAGAACTCTAGGATCTGCCCGTCCCCACAAACATCTCATACCCTGTGGTGGGGTTCAGCTGTATATCATCTTACCCAGTTTTTATTTGGATGTTAAGGATCTGAATTCAGATCTGCCTGAGCCTAAATAATGTATTTCTAAGGCATGCTTTTCTCAATTTGTACAATTTTAAGACGAATTTAACTTTGGGAAAGTTAAGCTTTGGTAAACATGCATGCTCGTTCACAAGAAACAAAAGAAACAGGAGCCTAACATAGTGGGCATAGTTTGCTAACTCCTAATGTCAGTTAAACAATTTATGTGAACCTCAGCTCAAGTGCTTTCTCCTATATCACTACTTTGAAGGCCATTTAAAATCAAAGGAATCTCTCTCTGCTTGGAACATAATTTACTGTCCAGCCCTTTAATAATACTTATATCCTATCTTATAGCTCTGTCGAAATACAGTTTAACTCTGTTACCACTTTAGCCCTTCTAGAACTCATTTACTGATCTAAAATTAAGGATGTGGCCTCGATGACTCCCAAAGCTTAAGTACCCCATGATTTAATCTTCATCTGTTGATGATAAAACAGACATTTATCATGAATTTAATAATGTTAGGAACGTGCCATACATTTTGTATTGACCACGAAACTTATAAAGTACCCAACCGACACTGCTTAAGTTTCACTAACACTCACTTGCAAATCTTTGAAGCAGGAGGGCCAGTGATCATGCCATAGTAGTTAAAAGACACAGGAGCTGTAGCTTTTAATGGGTTCCTATGAAACCAATGGGTCATTTTCTCAAGATGTGTTCTACAGGCAGAAGAGATATAAAATTGATGGAACATTAAGTAGGAAAAAGACAGTAAGAACTGGCTATTTTATGGGCTGGAGAGACGGCTCAGTGGTTAAGAGCACTGTTTGCTCTCTTTCAAAGGTCCTGAGTTCAATTGTCAGCAACCACATGGTGGCTTACAACCATCTGTACCTCTTCTGGCATGTAAGTGTACATGCAGGCAGAACACTATACATAATAAATAAATCTTTAAAAAAAAAGAACTGGCTATTTTACAAGATATATGCATTTTATGAACAAGCTATTATACACAAAACATATACATATATGTAATATACATCTATATAAGAAAATCAAGAAATTTGTTCATAAACTTCAGTGATAATATAAAGAGCAGTAATATTTAACTTTAAAATGCATTAAACAAAAATCACCTGGAGGTAAGAGAGTCTTAATAAAATGTGTCCTCACTGGTCTGGGTGAGAGCCTGAGACGCTGACTCTGTAGGGCTCCAGACTACACTTCTGAGAAGCAAGGCTGAGACGTTGGTTGGATAGCTGCAAACGAGAAGGTACAGGACCAGATGAGTTCCTTAAAGTTCCTGGGTAGATAACCCTTTTAGTAACACAAGAAGGCTCCCAGCCGAAGTCTCAAACATCTCATTAGATTCCAGAAGAAATACAGATGCAATTCAAAGGCATTGTACTCATTTTCAATCAATCTTTATGGGGGGGGGGGTTATTACAGCGTTCTGAGATACCAACATTATGCACCATTCAGGTTAGACTCATGGCAAAACCGGTTTGGGGGAGCACCAGACATTTCACGAACAGACAGAACGCATTACATACTCAGTGAAATCATGGGCAGATCCACTTAGGGCTCAAAACATTTAACAAGCCCTTTCAGGACACATCACCAAAACAACGTCTATACAAACCACCTAACAAGCCCTTTCAGGACACATCACCAAAACAACGTCTATACAAACCACCTTCAAAACCTATGGAAACGCGGCGCTAGGTGAGTCTGCCATGCTCCAAGGACATCTGTGAAAATTAAATTTCCTTTTACTGTCCTTGTATAGTCTTTTAATGACTGTAACTGCTCCATCGTCCAAACACTCCGGTGACCTGGCACTCCTCAGATCTCAAGAACTCCGAGGGAGGGTGGGGTCGAAGAGCGACACACCCACCCATCCACAAGAGCCTGCAGAGCCCAGTAAGACCCCGAATACAGAGGCAGACTCCGCAGGACGACCGGGCCTGCTGACACACCCCCTCCCAATCGGGAGCTCGCAGGAGCCAGGCTGCGGTGGAGACTCGGCCCGCGCCCACTTCCTGCTTGCCGCCGGGCCTCTTCCTCCCGGTGTACTACAGAGTCAGGGCCGCGACCCCGCCTCCCGGACCGCGGTCAGGCCCTGGGTAGCACACCGATCCTGTCAACCTCGGAAGGCCAAGCAGATGATCGCCAAGCCACTGTTCCGCGTCCAGCAAGCCCTCAAACAGCCAAAGGAGACGCCGGGCGAGGAGAGTCGGCCCATCTAGCCGTTCCTACCATCGACTCTTCCACTGACAACCCTGAGAAAGGGGTGACCCTTCCACTGGAGTGCAGGGACCCGAGGGGAGGGAGATCACGGGCTCACACATCTCTTGACACTCTTACCGATCGGGGACTTCAGAGTCGGCTCACCACTGTTCCTGCAGGAGGAAAGGAAGGCGGGACAGAGTCCACCAGCGAGACCAGGGAGGCGCAGGTAGCACCGAGACGACTGTGCTAGAGCGGCCGGAAGCGGGGCCGGCCGCGAGCATGTGTCACGTGACCGGAGACCCTGACAGCTGCAGAGGCGGCCGTGCGTGTCCCAGAGGGGCGGGTTCCGCCGCGCTGTGGCAGCCCCTCGGCTCGCTCCGTCTGCCTACCCTTTGCTCTTACCTCTCCGGCTCCGGTCTGGGCCCTAGAGAGGGAGGGCTGTGGCGTGGGGGCGTCCCCGAACCGAGACCGGATGCCGCCGTAGCAATGGCCCTGGCGGATTGGGGCGGCCTCAACCTAACTGGGGCGTGGCTTGGGGGCGTGGCCTCGGCGGGGCGGCCGCCTTGGAGCTGCAAAGTTTGGCTGTGGCGGCAAATGGGTTTGGGCGGCTCCTCGGCGGGTGGCGGTGGTGGCCTTAGCGGTTCCTCCTGGCTCTGTTAATGTCAGGGCCAAGCCCGGGGAGGATGGCGCCCTAGAGCCCGGCCTTGCTGGGGCAGGGGCGGGAGGGGGCCGGGGCGGGGACCGGCCATGTCGGAGGTGACCCGGAGTCTGCTGCAGCGCTGGGGCGCCAGTCTTAGGAGAGGCGCCGACTTCGACTCTTGGGGCCAGCTGGTGGAGGCGATAGACGAGTATCAGATGTGAGTGACTAACCGCGGGAACGGGCCAGGCAGGTCGCCACCCCTTGTTTCTGCCCAGGTCTCGCATCACTGTGTCCCGCAGCTCAGGCTTCTTGGGGTGGGGCTCCCACAAGCACCAGGGCTGAGATCCCATGGGCCCTGATCCGGCTGCTTGGAGACCACCGGTCCGTCCTCCGGGGAAGGAGGGCCGGGTCCATTCAACAGGTAGCTGGGGCCCTAACTGGCTCTCTCCTTAGTTCCCTTCAAGCTTCTCACGGGCCCTGGGCTTTGCAGGCAGTCCCCTTTCCTTCCCGCCGCCTCTCCCTGGTTGCCACCCATCCAAGAAAGAAAATGTCGTTGAAAATCCCTTGGGGAATACTTGTGTGCTCTTCGCCCACGTTCTGGGGATGAGTGGCCATGTTCTGCCTGTGTGTGTCTTCCACTCTCCCCACGTGTAGGAAAGGAGGGATTGCTAGCGCGGGAGTGAATTTGCCCCCGGGAAGGGTGAGGGATGCCTCTCCTGCCAAGACAAGGGTCCCTACTCTCTACTCGCGCTCCTTCTCCACCCCTCTGCCTGGTGAGTGGTGTTTTCACAATTCCAACTCGATTTCGTTTTCGATTTCTGGGACTGTTATTTGCTAGACTGTGAGTCCCACCCACCCTCTCGGTTGGCTGCTTTGGGTGGAGTCCGCTCAGGATATGAATAGAGGGGAGCAAAATGTGAATTAATAGACCAGGCACTGGAGCTGCCACTCCCTCCTTGGGTCCCTCCCCCTTTTCCTGTGTACAATGTATAGCCTCAGGGTACATGTGAGGACTGGTTTCCTCCATCCACCCAAGTCTCATTATCTCTTTCTGGTGCCTCCAAGTTAAGCTTTTGATACTAAAAAAACAAAAACATCTTGCTTAGTTTCTTGGACTTAAGAAACTGCCCATTAAATGCTATTGTTTCCACACTGTTACCATTAATTCTTCCTTTTGAAATAAATTATTTGAGGTTTCTCAAATTGTGAAACTGTCCCCATCTCTCTGTACAGGATTGGTACTTGGAAAACCAAACTCCTGTCCTCTCCCTACAATAGCTACTTGTTTTTGGCTAGTCCATGAGATAATTTGGATATATAGGTATTCTCTGCCCACCTTAACTGACAGAATGGTCTATAGATTGAAAAATGAAGTGCTTTGGACAACTACTAACATGCATTTTGGACTCCCATGTGGTTTCGTTTGTTTTTGTGACTGCCCAGTAGGGATAGAATTATTTTTCTTTTTACACATTTAGAATACTGGTGTCCCAGCATAATACATTCAAAATCTGTTTTTTTCTAACTTCAGTCCATTTCTATTGATATCTGAGTTAATAACAAAGTGCTTTTCTTGATAAAACATTGATAAAGTAACAATGAAAATAAACTGGATAAATTTCAAGATTTGTCCCATTTTGGAGAATGTGCTCTTCAATACCCTGATCAGGTAACCCATGAGGGTCTGTGTATATCACCCTCTATGATAATCAAAGTGTCACACCCTGAAATGCAAAGCTGCCTCTCACTTGTGATGCAATGGACCCAGCAGCTGTTGGTACTGGGCAGCAGACCTCCCAGTGGAAAGTGAAGAATACCATGTCTAATTGACATTACAAAGGAAAATTGAATATGCAGCTGCTTAGTGGGAATGAGAGTAACAGGCTCATACAAACCCTTTGTTGAGTCTCCACACTGACCACTGTACTGGAGAGCTGCAGAATACTCTTCTGTTATTATAAAATTGCACTGTCAGGTTTCAATAGAAATGTAGTGATTGGGCTAAACTTTGTGGCGCCCAGGCTACCCATAAATGAGGCCAAGAATTTACATCTTTCTATTCTACCAAAAAAAGAAACAAATTGTCTTTTCTTATTTATTTATTTATATTTTTTTTTGAATACACTCTTTGAGAGGAAAGGCTGAAGCCAAGGAGGCCAGTTGGGGACTATGATAATGATGCACACGATTCGTTAGTTACTGGCTGGATATCAAGAATGAAGGGAGAGGTCTAGGATAATTGGACTTTTTAATTGGGCAGCCATACTGTCTTCATAGTCATACAGCATATAGAGGCTGGTTTATGTGGGCAATGTTGGTGGCATAGTATATGTACTTTCACTTTAAGAATACTGTATTTTATTTTTAAGCTTATTTTATGTATATGAGTGTTTTGCTTGGATGTATTTTTGCACACCACTTGTGTGCCTGGTGCCTCTCTATGGAGGTCAATGAAAACTAGCAGAATTGATTTCCCACCTTTCATGTCTGTCCCAGGGATTGACTCAGGTTGTCAGACTTGGCAGCTTTACTTATTGAGCCATCTCATCCGCCTGTTTACAGTATTTTTGCTTACATTTGCACAGCATCAGCTGGAACTGGTGGAGACAAAACCTGGTTCTATGCTATAGATGTTTGAGACACGCTATTTTCTGTCTGTAGCGATAAGGTTCCTGTCAGTCACTTAACGTGCTTGAAGTATATGTAAGACACTTCCTGAGAGCAGTCCTGTTTTATTTGTAGGCACCTTTGTAGGATATGAAGAGTCTCTAGAGAACTTTTAAAGATTTATTTGCCTTTATGTGAGTGTGTGCACTTGTGTGGGCAGTAGACATTCTCTATCTCTCCACTTTGATATGAGATGTCCTTCTGTAAGTTTATATGGCATACAGTCAGGTAGTCCAATCGAGAGCAGTTTCTTGCCCATATGGCTAGTTTTGTCACATTGAAGGCAAACTCTGTAACCTATAATCCACTTTGAAGTAATTGGTGCTGCCAGGAGCAGAGGCGTCTCATTGTCATGAAAATGTCTAAGTTAACAAACCATTTTAAAACACTTTTCTTTTGAGTTCCCTCCCTGGGTATTCTATCCAGCCTTGGTGATCCTCCTGTTTCTGCAACCTTGGTGCATGGTTTACAGGTGTGCTAGGGATATGGGTGCTGGGGTTCGAATTCTAGTTGTCAAGATTGTGCAGCAAGTGCTCTGAGCTGTGGAACCATGGCAACAGCACCTAGAGAAGAATATTGAACTACTTTCTTACCATTACCCATAGCCAACTCTTTGATTTGTTCATCTGGTTATCCACAGCTTGGAGATTTTCCTTCAGTACACACAATAAGGCCTCACTTGTAGGATTCCATTCACGTGAAACTTGGGTTTATATAATTAAGAATTAAGAAAAAGGAGTTTTTGTTCTTTTTTGTAAATCCCAGCACTTGGGAAACAGGCAGGTAAGTTAGAGGCTATCATTATCTACACAGGCAAGTCCAGGCCAGCCAGAGAGAGCTATTTAGTGAGACCCGAGTCAAAACATAAAACTCCACCACCTCCAGCAACAAAAACTATTGAGATATAACTTATACACCACAAAACTGACAGATTTTACATGTACCAGCTTGTGCACCCATCACCACACTGAATTAAGGACATTACCACCCCCTCTAAAGGTCCCTTTTGTTCATTTGCATTCACACCATATTCTTGATGACTTATTTAGCATAATCTAAGATTCATTTAGCATGCCTTATTTTTTTGTTAGTGAACAAAAATGTTACATTGTGTAGGTGCACCACATTTCATGTGCCCACTAAACTAGTTAGTGAACATTCAAGTTTTGATTATTATCTGCAATACTTCCCTAAACATAAATTTTATTATTAATTATGTCGAGGGGGGCTGTATGTGCACACATGTGTGCAGTATGTCTGAAATTGGGACATCAGAAGTTGTGTTTCTTAGAGTTAGAGTTACAGGCAGTTGTGAGCTGTCTGACATGGGTGTTGGAAACTGAGTTCAGGTCCTCTGCAAGAACAGTGTGCTCTCTTAACCACTGAGCCATCTCCCCAACCAACGTAAACATGCATTTTCATTTCTTTTGAGTAGATAGATACCAGTGAGTGGAACTGCTGGATCTTATGTTAAATATGTGACTTTTCAAGGAAACCTATTGAGTTACTGTCCAGAATTATATATTTCTGCCAGCAATGGGGAGTTTTTTGTTTTGTTTTGTTTTGTTTTGCTTTTTTTCCCCAACATATCTAGCATTTGGTACATCCTTCTAGAGGGCATGGAACATGTCTCACCATGGTTTTAATTTACATTTCACTAGTGACCAATGGAGTTGACTATCTTTTCATGTCTATTTTTCCTCTATAAATCTTTGTGTACCTTCCAAATATTTTGCCTCTTTTAAAAGTTTGAATTCTCATGCACATATAAAGTTCTAAGGGTTCTTTATATATTCTGGATGTAACTATTTTATTTTTGTAATACATCTTCCTAGTTTGTGGTCTACATTTTGTACATTGGGTTCTATTTGAATTTAGTGTTCTATCACTTATTAGTATCTGAACAAGAATTTAAAGCTGTCCTTTTTTTTCTGATGATCACCCTGCTTGACCTAATAACCACCATTAGCAAATTATGTATAAACTTACTCAGGTTGAGCGACCATGCCCCTAAGTTCAAGGGCATATAGTTGATTTATAACGCTATGAACTGCATTTCCAGGAAATACTTCATGCAGGTCAGCATGAGTTCTGAACAAGGAAAATGGCCATATTCATTTTCTCTATACCTTGTCTTGTATAGAGTTCATGAAAGTCTGAGAATATCACTAACGGAGAAAATATGTTCCCAGCTTTAGGAGAAAATAAGTAAATGGGTAGAAGCAACTGTTGTAATTTAAGAAAAGCAGCATGTGAGAGAAAGATGTCATGAGACAGGGTTCAAGCAGAGGGTTTTTTTTTTTTTTTTTTTTTTTTTAAACTAGGGAAAGGGATCATAACAAAGGGAAAGGGGAATGGGAAACTGGCCCCAGGAGACAGGAGCAGCAGGAGGGAGGAAAGAGGGGGAGGGAGGGAGAGGGAGGAGAGAGAGTAGAACAGGGAAAGGGAGAGAAGAAAAGGATGGGAGGTGGGCAGGGCTCTTTAAAAAGGGAACATAGTGAATGTGCACAGGTGGTGCTCTCTTAGTGGCTGCAGCTGAGGGTGTATCCTGTCAGAACTCCAAGGACAGACCAGTACAGATGCCTGAATACTAACAGCAACTGCCAATCTTTTTTTTTTTTTTTTTTTTTTTTTTTTTTCCCTCAGTGGGTTTATTATTGTGGACTTTTCCTGTGAATGGAATCATAGTCTTTTAATGTGCCTTCTTTCATTTAGCATGTTCAGTCCTCTTTATGACTGAGTAATAGTATTTTATGTCTGTAGGTGTTTTGTCTCTCTATATGTATGTGTAACATATGTGTTCCTGGTGTCCACAGAGGTCTGAATAGGGTTTTGGACCCCCTGGGACTGGAGTTACAGATGGTTGTGAATTGTCATGTGCTGGGAATTGAACCTGGTTCCTCTGCAAGAGCAACCTATGCTCTTAACTGCTGAGCAGTTTTTCCAGCCCTAGGGAAAAATATTTTATTTATTCACTCATTAGTCAATGAGGATTTTAGTTGTTCCTACTTTTCAGTTGCAATGAACAATGCATGTGTGTGTACAAATATTTCATGTATACATATATTTTGAGATTTTTGGATGTATACCTACTATAAAATTTCTGGGTCTTATAGTAAGTCTGTAGTTAATTACTTGACAAACTATCAAGCTTTTCCATGATTGATAACATTTTCTATTTTTTATCAACAGTGTACGAGGTTCCTGCTTTTTTTGTTCATCCTCTTAAACACCTGTTACTTTCTCCCTTTGTTTTATTTTTATTTTGTTTTTTTAAACCATAGTCATCTCTGGCTGTGAAGGGGTAGCTTGTCATTTGGTATGCATTTTCTTAATGACTTTTGTCTTTTTTGTGTTCTTACTGACTGGATTCACATCTCTCAAGAATGTTGGTCCTTTTCAATTTACTCTTTTACAAATAGATTTTATCCTTATTGTTGATCTTGGAGTAGAAACATTGATCCAACCTTGAAAACTGTCAGATGGTCTGTTATTTGCATGTGTGTGTATACCATGTATGTGGAGGTCAGAGGACAACTTGGGGAAGTTGCCTCCCTCTTTCGGGATCAAATTTGGGTCATCAGGCTTGGAGGCCAAGGAGGGCTGGACTTGATGCCCTTGGAGACCCTCCCCAGCCCTGGCATTCTGCTTTTATTAATCTTGGTTCAGATTCTGCCCAAGTGAAAGGGTGTGAAAAGTATTGTAGCATATTTAAAGTTTGCTTCTCAGGGTGAGGGAAACTGACATTAGAACAAAATATTGTGCTTCACTGTTTTTAAAAGATTAACCTGTATCATCTTGCTGCTGTTGAGATAGCTTGTTTGCTTTCAGTTCTAAACAATGTTTTCTTCTTATAGATTAGCAAGACACCTACAGAAGGAGGCCCAAGCTCAACACAATAATTCTGAATTCACAGAAGAGCAAAAGGTACCATAAAACAATCTCTGGTGCATCTGATTCCAAATGAAAAGGAAAGAGTTCTATCTTTTGGGTTCATTAAGCAAAATATGCACGCACGTGCACATACACACACACCACACACCACATACATAAGCATGCACACACGCTCACTGGTCTATTTTTGTTATGTGTAAATTAAAAAAAAAACTGATTATGGATTATGTTTTTCCTGACAGTAACTGGCCATTTGAAGATGACCTACCATTTATTTATCCAGCCTCACTTTGAGTAAGGTGGGGAAACACAGACTGTACTACAGACACCTGGGGGAAACAAGGTTATAAATAATTACATCCCACCTCACACTTAATTCTTTCTCTCAAAGTAAGCCAGTAATCACCCTCAAACCTTCAAACTAAACCAAAACCAAATAACAGCAAAAAGGGTAAGACTGAAAAGAAAATAGTGCAGTGATGATGTATACCATAAATCCCAGCACTTGGGAGGCAGAGGCAGGTGGATCTTTTGAGTTTGAGACCAGCCTGGTCTAAGAACCAGTTCGAGGGCAGCCAGAGGTACTATATAGAAGAACCGTGTTCTAGGAGAAAAAAAAAAAAAATTGGCCTGCAAATCTATCAGTAAACAGACAATGTTGCAAAAAATTTCAATTGTGTTCTTTCTCCTTGAATTAGATTTTGTGTGTGTGTCAAATTGATTCCCCATTAGAAATGTTTGAAAGAAAAAAAAATGGGACCTCATCTCTGAAGGTTAAGAAAAGGGAGGAAATAACTCCAGATTTTTCCTGACTTAGGGTAGATATAGTATTAAATTAATTTTTAATCTTGTGAATAGTAAGGAAAATGTTAGTGCCCATTGCACCACACATCTCTTAAGACAGGGCTGTGTAAAAACTCTGGTGACTTCATTCATTCATATTAATTTTTTTGCACAAGGGGAACAAGTGATTTGGGGGCATAATTTGTTAAGCCTAAGAAAATTTACTTTAGTCCATGAGCTTCTGTTTATTAACTCTTAGATATAGGTGCTTGGGACAGAAGGATCACCAAGATTAGCAACGTTCTTGCCCAAGTTAGTGTATGCACATCTTAAACATATTTAAGAATCACTTTCGCTGGTGTTTTGTTGTTTTGTTTTCTGTATTTTAAATTGTCATGTTGCTACAATTTAAAAAGATTATTTTTCTTTCCTTCCTTAATAACTGCTAATATCTACAGAAGACTAGGTTTTAGCCCTAGAAAATACCACATAGGAGATGAGTGATCTCCTTGAGGAAGAGGTCAAAGCTATATTCTCCCTTTTCTCTCAGATTGTGAAATCTGCCTTGAGGAACCAGTTGGCATTACAGGATTGGAACAATTTAGGATGTCTAAATTCTGATCAATAGAGTTTTAGTATCTAGGTGCATGAATTAATAGTTAATAGAGTTACAAACATGGAAGGGAAAATGAAACCTAAACATTAAACATTTCAATGACCTCATATTTTGCTCAGTAATTTTTTCACTTTGGGTTACTTGTGTTTTGTCTCCCAACATCATCCTTAAATATAAAGTGATTTGACTTGCTAAAAATGTATTAAGATCATTAAAAAAAGAAAATAATAAATTAAAAAGTGGGTCTGTCATGATTATGCTAAAGGGAAACAATTGTAGCTTTTTCACCTTTTTCTTTAACCTGAAACTAAACCTTCTGAGTATTTCATAATGCTCTTCGCCCTTCAGTTTGTAGCTCTTCCTGCAGCCCAGCCTTTTTTGCTTAGATCTTACACTGGGAAAGACTCTTAGACACTGGGATAGATTAGAGGCAGACTGGCCTGGAGTAGCCACAGAGCTCAGCTCTTGTCCAGGCCCAAATGAGATGAGGGAATTAGAGTTCTGCAGGACCATGTCCCTAAATCTCTAGTAGCTTTACCTAGGAAGTGTCACATTGTTTCCTGGCCACTGGATTTCTGAAACAGTTGTTACTTAGAATACTTGCCAGTAAGCCTGCTGTGACCAGACAGAACTTGGGCCTGCCTATCTTGGAATTAGACTCTGTGTCTTCCTGTGCTACATTGTAAATATAAGTCAGTGAAACACACAGTCATCCATAATAGGCTTATTTGATTGTCACTTAGGGTAGTAGTTGTCAGAGGCTTTGAGTTATTAATAATAAATGGTTCAAAAATAATGATTTTCCAGATTTGGACTGGGGAACATTGGTTCTGAAAAATTAATAAATATTTTGAACAGAAATATAACTTCTCAGGGCTTCAGCATGCTTATGTAATGTTGAATATTTTAAAGAGTTTGAGTGCGTAGTCTTTTAAAATTTATTTGGGTTTGGAATTCTCCCTCCTGTTGGGTCTGGTGTTCATAAGAACATACTGTGAGGAATTACTGTTGGATCTTCAGAGTCATTTAAATGCAGTGCATGGCCCATTAACCACAGGAAAAAGCCCAATTATATTTTCTTCAAGAAAAAAATGTGGTGAATTCTTTTACTTTATTCGTGGCAAAATTTATTTATTTATGTCTTCTATTTTAATTTTTCATGTTTTTAATGGTTTTACTGTTTTCAGTATTTTGGTACCAGTAGCAAAGTTTCCAGCTATATTTACTATTCAGTAGTTTGTGAAACTTTGAAAGAATTTTTTTTCCTCATAAGACAGGGTTTCTCTGTGTAACCCTGGCTGTCCTGGAACACACTGTAAACCAAGCTGTCCTTGAACTGAGGGATCCACCTGCTTTGCCTCCTTAGTGTTGGGATTAAAGTCGTGTGCCACCCGGCCACCCAGCAAAATAATTTTTTAAAAATCAGTATTTCTATAGTTCTTTTAATTTTCATCCTGTCCCCCTTTTCCTCCTCCTATTTTTATTTGTTTTGTTTGTTTGTTTGTTTTGTATTCAGTTTGTAGCTCTGGCTGGCCGTGAACTTGTTACACTTCTAATGTTGTGATTATAATGTGAGCCACCACAGGAAGCAGAAGGTTTTGTCTAACTCATAGTAACCTCTTGAAAGTATTTTATAAGTAAAAGTTTTGTTGGCTCTAAGATTATTGGCACTTATTCAGAGGATTATTTTAATGTAAATGGTATATTTCAAGATATGCACATTTTTACACTATTAACTTTAAATCTAGAAACTATAAATCATGAATGGAAATGTAATAATGAAACCCATTATTTTGCACACTTTCAAGAATTAGTAGGAGTACACAGGAGATGATGTTAGCACTGAGAATGAGAGCTCCAGACCCTGTAATGTATGCAGATAATCTTACAAATTAATAGAAAAGATTTTACAAAACACAATTTAACCAGAGAAAACAGCATTTTTTGATAATCTGAAGAGTCTTATTCCTGGAAGTGAAAAGTAAAACCTTTTCACATTATTGTAGAAAAATGATGTCTTTTGGCTTCCAGGCTGTAATTTACATGCTTTGTCAAGACATGGTCCATCTCCATGAAACCAAAACAAAGAGAAAGAAAGTACAGTGTGGACAGAGAGAAATGGAACAGGTTGGCTCCTTGTAGAAAAGCCATTGCAGTCAGTTTGCTTAGAAAAATCATGAAGTCCCCTGAGGAGGGGCGGGGGGGGGGAGGAAAAAAAACGAAGCAAAGCTAACAGTGGCATTAAAGAGAATAGCTCAGACACAACTCTATATGGGTCTGTCTCACGCGAAGCTTATAGTCGAGATAACGTGAATGTAGAAAACTATGTCAGAAACCCTGCGAATGAAGATCAGACTTTAGCTGCTAATACTTGCCTGTTTAATCTCCTCTTGCTCTCATTTAGTTTTGGAAAAATAAAAAGTGCCCTTAGGATTTTCTTTTTGATGCCCAAAGTTTGAGATTAAAGGTGTACATTTTTTGGTACACATAGATCTTTCCTTCCAGGAGCAGAATTTTACTTTCTGTGTTTTTGTTTTGCACAATGAGAAACTCAGTGGGCAAGGGTTATGTTTTTGATAAGTTCGCTAGCTTTTTAAAATTTTTATTAAAAATATAATAATTTAACCAAGAGGAAAATAAAAATTGTATTTTGTACTCTTGTTTGAACCTCATGGGTTCCTTTTGTTAATAAAATGGTTATACAAAAAAAAAATATCTAAACCAGAAATAGTAATCTTTCTGAAACATACAACTTAGTAATATAGTATGAAAATTCCATATGTACTTATTCTTGATACTCTTGTCTCATTGATTTCTAGTTTAAAGTAAGCTATGATTTTTTTAAAAAAAATTTCTTTTACTTCTAAGATTATGATATAATAACATAATTTCATCTTCCCTTCAAACCCTACTGTATATCCTTCCTCACTCTCTTTCAAGTCCATAGTCTCTTTTTTCATTGTTATTGTATGCATATGTGTATATTTATATACATTTATATTCTTAAATATAATGTGCTCACTTGCTATAATGTCACTTATATGTGTGTTTTCAGGGCTGACCAGTTGGTGTGCTCTTCCCTGAGGAAGACTAGCCTGCTCTCAGCATTCCTTAGTTGCCTTAGTGCTTTGTGTACCATTGGTCTTTCTTCTGTCCACTGCGGCATGTCTGTTGTTTTTGTCTTTGTTCAGCTCATATATTTTGGGGTTTTAGCATTACTGTGTAGCCCTGGCTGTCTTGGAACTTACTTGTAGACTAGGATGGCCTTGAACTCGCAGAGATCCTCCTGCCTCTGCCTCCCAAGTACTGGGATTAAGGGAGTGCAGCACTACTACTAGCAGCTTAGTCTTATTATTATTTTAAAATGTATTTATTATTAGGGTGTGTGTATGTCAGATAACATTCAGGAACTGGTTCTTTCCACCTCACCTCTCAGGTTGGCAGGCTGTCATTGCAAACACAGTACCCCTTTTGTCTCTGAGCCATCTGGCTCCCCAGTGCTTAGTCTTACTGTACTTGGACTCTGACCTGGTAGACTTGAGTTCCTTAATCATTTCTATGTACTGTCTCAGTAGCTGCACATCATTTTGACATCCAGGGCATCTGCATGCTTTTGAATTATTGCCGCACTGAAATGATAGCGCCCCACTTCACTTTTAATACTGAGGTTGGGTCTTGTTCCATAAAAAGTTAAGAATAATACCTATTGATATTTTTCTATAGTGCAGTGCATTTCTGTAAAAGGCTCTTGGTTCTACAAGTATAAAAGTTTATATTTCAGAGTTTATTAATGAACTCCTAGTTGCTAAACTACATTTTAAATCTTAGGTGGTAATTGTATGAAATAAAATAGGTTTTGTAATAAAGAAGAAAAAGAAGTGGACACTATCATTCTTAAAAATACTTACTGTGTTGATATACCTCAGTGCAAATAGAATTTTTTTAAAAAAAATTAAAAGACATTTTATTTTGTGTTTGGCTGTTTTGTCTGTATGTATGTCTATGCCACTTGTATGCCTGGTGCCTACAGAAGCTGGAAGAGGACATTGGATCTCTGCAATTGGAGTTCCAGATGGTTATGAGCTGCCAAGGCATTAATGGGCCTTGAATCTGGGTCCTTTGCAAAAGCAACCAGTACTTTTTAACTGCTGGGCCATCTCTCCAGCCCTTAGAATTTAAAAAAGGAAAAAAAAAATACATATGAAAGAAGCTGTATCTAAATATAGAACTTTTCCTTTTTAAACCTTTCTCTTTTTTAAACCTTTCTCTTTGCTCTCGGGACTTGAGGCAGGTGAATGTGTGTGTCATCTTCCTAAACTCTTTAGTTTTAGAAGTCCTCCTGAGGGGTTGATTCCTTCACATGTCTTCACTGTATTGAGGGAAGCTCCCTTTGTTGGAGTTTGTAGACTCTCATGTCCATGCTTTATACTTTGTGATTCTGTGTCTTATGTCACATAGGGCATGAAAGCAGGAACTATGCCTAGTCATTAGTGTCCACTTTATATCTTGCTATATAAAACATCTTATTGTAAAATTCCTCACTATTTATTATAGATACTGATTTTGTTTGGTATTACTTATGTATTTAAATAAATTAGTTTTGCTTCAGTCAGAATTTCATTTTATAGTGTACTAATAACTTAAGAAATTTTAAATCTTTTGGTGAGTTTTATGCTTAATGGAGAAGAAATAAGAAAGCTTGGAAGGAACTATACCACTGAGCATTTTTCATTGACATTCTTTTTGGAATATTTGAATTTATTATGATTTAATTAATTTGTATATTTATTTTTATGACAGGTCTCTCTATGTAGCCCTGGCTGTCCTGAGATCTACATGCCTCTGATTACCTAAATGCTGGGATTAAAGACATGTGCAACCATGCCCAGCTATTTAAATTTAACTGATACAGAAAAACATTAAAATTGTACACATTAATGGACAATGAAATCTATTTTTTAAATACATTTATTTTTATTGAGACAGATACTCACTCTGTAGCCCTGGCTGTCCTAAAATTTGCTATGTGTACCAGGCTGATCATGAACTCACAGAGATCACTTGCCTCTGTCTCCCAAGTGCTGGGATTAAAGAAAGTCATGGGTGGGCTGGTGTGCCCTGCTAATAAGAATTTTTTGTTACAGTTTCCTATTGTGTGACATTTAAATCAAATTAAACTTTCATGCTCAAACATTTATTATCTTTGTTGTAAAGACATTCAATTTTTTTTTTCTTTTTAAAGTCAGGACCTTTTGTAGCCTAGGCCAGCTTAGAATTTGCTTTGTAGCTAAGGATGACCTTGAATTATTGATCATAACACCCTCTGAGTGATAGAGGGCTGTGCCCCTGTGCCTGGTTTTAGCCTCTGTTATGCTAGGAAATGAGCCTAGAGCTTGTTGCATGTCAGGTGAGCACTCTATCAGCCACACCACATCCTGCCTTTCAAGTTCTTCCTTTGGGTTCCTTTGAAGTGTACTATACATTATTGCCATGCATTGTCACCTACTGTGTAACCTTGCTGCTGCCTTATACTAACTTAGCACTCCTTCTTCTGTTTCGCCCTATCCTCCCTTCCCTCTTACTCTCCCCAGCTTCTGCTTACTAGGCTGTTCTCTACTCTGTAGACTCAACTTGTCAATGCTCTGGATGAGCGAAAGTGTGATAATTGCCTTTCTGTTTTGCTCAGCTTGATCCTTAGTTCCAAATGATGGCATTTCTTGTTGTGTTGTATAGATAAGCACATTTTCTTTATTCGTGTGTCAGCCAGTGGATACCTAGGAGTCTTTCAGATTTGTGGTAACTGAATAGGACTGCAGAAAATAAGAAAGTGAAATACCCCTGAAAATACTAATTTTGTGTCCTTTATACATTGAGGAGTGGGACTACTGGGCCATATGGTAGTGTCTACTTTCAATTTTTTTAATGATTTCTTTTTGTATTTTATTTATATGTATGTGGGTATATTTGTGTGTATGTATGTGCATGTGCATGGATGTATGGGCCACGGCATACATACAGATATCAGCGGACAACTTGTAGGTCTTTTCTTTGACCATGTGGGTTGTGGGTTCTGGGAATTAGACTCAGGTCATCAGGCTTAGCAGCAAGCACTTGCTGAGCCTTCTTGCCAGCCTTTTTTTTTGAAATTCCATATTAGTTTCCATTGTTAACTGTATTCATTACCCTTTAAATTATGTTCAGAGCTGTCACCAGTGTGACCTTGATTTAGAATTGTTTGTGGGATGTTAGTATAGGAGGGTACACACTCACCTCCCTCATCTCAAGCCATTGCATCCTGCATTTTTTCTCTTGAGTCTGCCAGATGATACACAAAAATAAGATTTAGCTTGTTTTTAAAAAAATTAGAAACCTCTTATTGATTAAAAAAAAATTATCTCCTTACAGAAAACCATAGGCAAAATCGCCACATGTTTAGAATTGAGAAGCGCTGCATTACAGGTAAGTAGAGTTCTTAACTTTCTAACATGAGTGTTCTGCTGAAAAAGGCATTCATGCCTACAGCTGTATCATCTCAGGAGACTTGTACAGTTAGGGGAATTCATCAGTAACATGCATACTTACATGATTTAGTTCATATTTTGTAAACTATAGAAATCAAAGATATAACTTTAATTTTTTTCTATTACATTTAGCCTGAATGTCCCGGGAATGCAAAACAAACAAAACCCAGTTTGGAACTTTTCACTTTCTACCTTGAAAGCAAGAAATAGGTCTTGCATCATTTTGAATATTTGGTTTTTACCACTTAGGAGACATAGGGTACAGCGAAATCGTTGTAGTAACAAGATGTAATGTGCATATTTTAAATTTAGTCCACACAGTCCCAAGAAGAATTTAAACTGGAGGACCTGAAGAAGCTAGAGCCAAGTAAGTTTTATCTTATGGTACTCTTGTGATCTCTTTCAGGGAAATAATTCATTGTAGATGTTAACATTAGAATAGATGGTGGTTTTCTTCTAATATCAAGTTATGTAACATATTTTGAGTCCTTTTAAAATTCTTGCAATATTTGTAGTAGTTAAAATTGGGTGTCTTTATTTTATTTTGGTGGCTTCATTAAGATTGGTTTCCTTGACAAACATTTCTAGCACAGTCTAAGGATGAACATAAACTGTAGTCAGTGGTGCCACTCAGGCACATGGCATGAAACCTGCAGCCCACTATGAGCCATGCTATGAAATACTTCCTTGTTGTATCTATTTTTCTCTTCCTCCAAAACTTTCTGAAGTAAATAATTTCTTCAAGTGTTTTGGTGGTTAAGATGCTTTGTGAAAGGCTGCTACCACTTTTTTTTTTTTTTTCTTTTTCTTTTTTTGCTGGTTCGGATGAATGTTCTCTTTCTTGAAATGTCTGTAGCATGGGCAGAGGTGAATATAACTGAGTAAACTTTAGCTAATACCAGCAAGGCAGGAGTGTGTGGCTTAACATGCTTTTGTGAACAGGGAAGAACAGCTTTTAGATCTGTCTGTTAAGGCAGATTCTCAGTAGGGAATCATAAAATCACAGCATCGTAGAATAGAATGAATCCTGGCTGTGTGGTCACACCCTCCCGTTTTGTAGTTGAAGAATGAGGTGAAATGATGAGCCCTGCCTCACTGCAGCCTTTAGTAGCTGGCAGGGCCTGATGCAGGTGAGCAGAGTTGACATTAGTGCGGTCTTTTTGTTTCTCCACGGTGGGTAGAGAGTGCTCACAAGCTCCCAGTCCCCAGCTCACACAGCCAGTCTGAGAGAGGCAGACACAAGTGACTGAGGAAGTGGAATGTGCTTGTAATGGAAGGACCAGGGCAGAAAGAGGTTTGCAGAGTCTGTGCTAAACAGGATCAGATTTCTGTTGTTTTGTTTGGGTTAGTAGAGAGAAGCAGCAAAAACACAGGAACACAGATTTGCTGCAATTCCGGTGGCTTTTCCACAATTGTTAGATGATCATGTTTCATCTCTTCAGAACAAGATCCTTCTACATATGGCAAGAATTATGATGAACTGTGCCATTTTAATAGTTTTGCTTCTTTTTGTAGTGCAACCATAACCTTTTTGTTACAAGAACTGTAATTTTATATTTGTAAGTAGTTCTTAACTGTCCTTAGTGAATATAAGAATGCCAATCAAATAGTGTAAAATTTAAGAATTTTTTTTCTGAACACATTTTCTCATTCATAGAACTTTTAGGTTTCTTTTAAAAAGCATTAAAATACTTTATATAATTTTATTAGTAGTTTCATTGAATGTTATTTACATACCATAAAATTCACAAATTTAAAGTGTATGATTACTACTTTTTATTGTCTCGACTGCGCACCATTGCCACAGTCAACTTTAGGATATTTTCATCACCCTAAAAAGAAACCCTGTATCCACTAGCATCATTCATTTTTCCCTATTCAATTCTAACCTTCTCCAATTACCAGTCCTAGGAAACCACTAACTTAATTGTCTACAAATTTGCCTATTCTGAACATTTTACACAAATAGAATCATACATGGTCTTCCATGACTGGCTATATATAAGATATTATATTTTGGAGAAAAGCACCTTGCTCGCTTTAACTAAAAGATTGTAACTCTGAGGCTGGTGTTCACAATGGTAGATGAATATCCAGCCTATGTGAGGTACCCCAGGAACACAAGGGAACAAGCAAACAAATGCAGCAAGGCCACAGATGTAGTCAGGATGCCTGGTGTCTGGGTCTAAGAAAAATCCTTTCTTTTTTTTAAATGATAAAGGAGGAATAGGAGTTTTGCTTCTTACAATTACTATTTTCAGTTAGGACTTTTGTTTATGGTTTGCTTTAAACACAATTTAAGATTCTTACAGAAGGCTGGGGATATGGCTTACAGGAACAAGGCCCTGCCCTGGCTGAGGGCATTGAAGGAGGGGCAGACAGAAGAAAGGGTAGGGTAGGGTAGGTAGGGAACCTTATGCTAGGTGGGATACACATAAAAATTGTGAGCTGGTTAGCAGTAGGTATTTATTATCTCTCTATAATCATCCTCTGTAATTTTTCCCAGTGCCTCAAAGATCTTTGATTGGTTGCTTTTTTTTTTTTTTTTTTTTTTGAGAGTATCAGCTTATTGGCATTCAGAGAAATTCTCTCAGCTACCTTTTGCTAATGACAGCTAATGACTTGTCTGTGACCTTATGTATGCAAATATCAGGAGTGGGTGTGAGATATGTGAGTCCTAAATGTCATAGTTTTCTAGTTTAAACTCATTAGAAACTATTGATTAGTGCCTAAATGGGATATTACTCTAAGATCTTTTTAGTGGTTTTCTGATTGATTCATGCCTTAGTGGGATATTTCACTAAGACCTTCGGTGGTTTCTGTTCCTCTTGCTTGCTTTTTTGTTTGTTTGTTTGTTTTTGTTAAAGGCTTTTGTTTGTATTTTAAAGAGGTACAGTGGGAATAAAAATATAGTAATATTAAATGTATTTTATTTTGCTTTGTTTTTGTAAGATGACAAGGCCTTGCTGTGTAGCCCAGGGTTATCTGAAACTCAGTTTCCTGTAGTAGCCTCCCAAGTACAGGAATTACAATAATTTACCACTAACTTCACCTTTATTTTATTATATTTTGAATTTATATAATGCTTTTCATTTGAATTTCTTCCTTCTTAATACTTTAAAAAGTTGTTTTACATCTATCTGTATCTCATCTATCTCCAGTCATCTGTTTATCATCAGTCATCTGTCTATCTATCATCAATCATCTGTCTATGTCTATCTATACATCCATCCATCTATCCATCTATCCATCTATCTACCTATCATCAATCATCTATATCCATCTATCATTTATCAATCATCTACTGTCTATCATCAATCACCTATCATCTGTCTACCCATCTGTCATCTATCAATCAATCAATCAATCAATCAATCATCTGTATCTATGTGTCTGTCTGTCTATCTATCATCTATCTATCTATCTATCTATCTATCTATCTATCTGTCACTTTTCTATCTGTCATCAATCAGGGCTCAGCACCTGGGTAGACATCAGAGGATAACCTTCAGGACAGCTTATAGGAATTGGTTCTCTCCTTTCAATGTGTGGGTTCCAGGGATTGAACTTGGGTCCTTGGGTCTGGCAGCAAGCACCTTTAACCACTGAGCCATCTTTTGGCCCCTTATCAATACTTTGCAGTGATTTTAATTTTCTATTGCTTCTGAAAGGAGCATAGCTATGTATACTGTAACTCAGAAGGAAATACTCTGTAATTTTTTTTAGTTTATAAAGGTTGGACACTTAAGAGTTATTTTTATCAGAAATACTTTCTGCAACTTAGTGTTTACATTTTAGATGAAATATTCTTAGTCAAGCTTTCCCTTGATTATGCCTCTTTGGAAAATTAATGATGCAACTTTTAGTATGTGATTCACTTTGCTAATATATTCTTTCCTTCAAAGTTTTAAATCTCTTGACAGTCCTGTATGAAGTTCATGTTAAACCTGTGTTTGTAGTAATTCTAGTAGTCTTTATGTTACCCCCTCAGAACATACTGCTTACTCCAGCCTGTCTTCCTTCACCACCAATAATGGTCCTTTTCTTTAACCCATCCTTCTGAGCACTACAGAAGTCACATTTCCTGAAAGCTTTCTGTGTCTCCTTAGTCCCAGCCACCCACTGCCTCCCCTCCTTTATGTGATGTTTTTACATCCTGTCAGTCTGTCCTGTATTAATCTCATTTCTATTTATTCTGCTCTTCAGAGCAGGTACAAAGCCTTTGACTTTCCTATGTATAGTCTGTGCAGTGTATTGTTTATAGTATAAACTCAGCAAATGTGTGCAATATTCAGTAGATTTGAATGCCTTGTGAGGAAGCCCTCTTCCATAGTTTAAAAAATAACCACTCAGAATGAAATTATTTCCCATTTTTGCCTACCATGAAAGTGTTATGTTGCTATAAGATCACATGTTGATGTTTCCACATGTGTCATTTTTTAGTGCATGACCTGCAAGGGGGTGGTAGGTCCATTATCCATGAATAAGACTGATTCTGAGTAGAAGAGGGCACCCAGAGTGTCAGCGTGTTAAAGTACATAAAATTGAATGGTCCCCAGCTGCTGGTGTGAGATTGTAAAACACTGTTAAAAAGTAAGGCCTGGAGCTAGTAAGGTGGCTCAGAGTGTAAAGACACATGGCACCAAGCCTGACCACCTGAGTTCAACTCTCAGGCCCCAGATTGTGCAAGGAAAGAGCCCACTCTCAAAAGTTGTCCTTACCCCCACAAGGCATGCACACAACAGGGGAGGAATAGAGAAGAGAAGATGAGAGAGAGAGAGAGAGAGAGAGAGAGAGAGAGAGAGAGAGAGAGAGAGAGCACAAAAGGGAGCCATTATGCCATTATAGGTTTGAAGAGAAAACTGAACCTAGAGAAATGTCCAGAGACCTACAAGACTGACCCCAACTAACAATTTAAACAACAGTGGAAAGGCTACCATAAATGCCCTTCCCTGATAATGAGATCAACGACTAACTTATCCACCATCATGATGAAGAGAGGGAGGACAATACCATGCTGCAGAAACACATAGAGACAGCTGACCTGAACAAGGAGGAGCTAACGGGCCCACCAGTCTGATACCTGGGAATCCAGCATGGGACTGACTCAGACCCCCTGAACATGGGTCTCAGTTAGAAGGCCTGAGCAATATAAGGGACATCAGACAGTGGAACCAGGATGTATTCCTAGTGCACAAAAGGACTTTGGGAGCACATTCCCCATGGAGGGATACTGCCTTAACCTAGAAACAGAAGAGACGTCCTAGTCCCTACTCCAAATGACTTGACAGATATAGATGACCCCTCCTAGAGGGCATCCCCCTACTTGTGGAGTGGGGGAGGAGGGAAGGGTGGTCAGGGGGCATGAGAGGGTGGGAGAGAGGGAAAGAGGGAGAAAGGGAGAGGGGACTGGGATCAATATGTAAAATAAAAATAAAAAATGTAATAAAAAATGTAATAAGCAGAAGAACAGTGAGGACTGGCTAATGGAAGTACACACCTGAGGTTGGTGTGTACTTAGAAGTGCATACACCGCGTTGTGGCCTCACCCTGGAACTGAAGTTGACACCGTTGTGAGGCTTTCTGCGTAGTGGGTACCTGGAACTGAACTGTGGTTCTCTCAAAGAATAGCACATGCTCTTAAACAATGAGGAATCTTTCCACCCCCACATATTTCCTTTCCCAAACGCTTGTACCTGAAAAAAGAAGTTTACAAAACTTCTGTCCTGGGTCACAGCTCCAGCTACTCCACTGTCTCTCTGTCTGTTTACACAGCTTTCTGTGTCTGTCCTAACAGTAGCCACATTTGCACATTAGCTTGTCTACTTGATGGCATTCATGATCTGCTTTTCTTGAGTTTGGTTCAAGGTCTAAATGGAGTTTGGATGAGTGTATATCTCAACCTCAAACCTCCCACAGCCAGGGTACCTGTTTGAAGACTTCCCTCAAGGACAAGCTCTACTGTGTCTAGATCTGCAGAATGTTAATACATGTACTAAGATCTTATCAGAAGAGGGGCAGTAGGAGAATAAGCTTTCTGCTGCAAACCCTTTCAGTGCTATGCTGTGGAGGGGCACCTACTGAAGACAGAGGAGGCAGGATGTGTTGCCCCCCCCCCCAGTATTCTCTGTGATGCCAGTCGCTAGCTTCTTACATCTGTATGCTATCTGCTGTATTGGTTGTCTGTTTTTCATGAGTTTGGTTTAAGATCCACTTAGGAGTTCTTGATCACAGTATATCCTGAGTCTAAAACATTTTGATGTTTACTAAGAACACAGTTCTTGAGAAAAAGGAAGATGACAGAAGGGTGGAGGTAAGCGCTAAAGAGAGAGAGTACAAACCAAAGAGAACTGTGGCTTCTGACTTTTTTCACACTAGATTCTATGAGTATACATATAAGAAATTGGATAAAAACTGACAATCATTGGGACGTGTCATGCAGTTGTAACCTGTGCCCTCTGGGTACCCTCCTTTAGAGGCTATTTGCTATGTACCAATACACGCTACCTCTTTCAGCTCTAAACTATAGGACTGCAAAGTTAAAGGCTGAGTGTGTTGAGCACCTAGTTACAGGAGCCTTTCATGTTGCCTTTTTCGTGCTGTGGATTCACCTTCCTGTCATTTGCAGCTTGTTATTGGGACCCATAAGGCTGGAAGTGAAACATTAAGTTACATGTTTAGAGTACTTCCACAGACATAGCAGCATTACAGAGCATCTCCCTCTAAACTTATATGCCCAAAGGGAATAACCACAGCCAGGACACAGGTACCATGTTGTTTGATGACATCTCTTTACTGTGTCCATATCTATAAATATATAGACATGAGCTATAGATGCTGTCATAAAAGGAATATGAGATGTATAACTGCTAAAACAAACCTTACCAGTTTGGTGACATCCACGAGAAAACTCAAGACAGAGTAAGATACGCTCCTGTATCTCTCTAATTGTCATCTTTAATGTCAGTCCTTCAGTACAGGGAGGATCCTGCATCTCACCCAGGACCTTGTAGGAAAAGTTTTGGGGGCCTAATTTTCTCAGATCATTTTCAAATAAGTACAATGGCTCTGGAATGATAATCTGGGAATTTAAAAATATGTTTAAATGTGCATGGTAAAATTTACTAAAAATTAGCTCTCTGAGCTACAATTTAGTTTTTATAGAAGAATTCATGTTTCTTTGTCTTTTTTTATTGTAGTCCTGAAGAATATTCTTACATATAACAAAGAATTCCCATTTGATGTTCAGCCTATCCCATTAAGGTAAGTAAGTGTTCTTAGTGTCCTCTGTATACCTGTTTTTCAGATATATCTGTTGTTTTATCCACTTCAGTGTCTTTGATATTGTTATCAACATTGGTAACAATATGTCAGGCTCTTATAATGCTCAGCTTCCTGTGGAATAGCTGTGAGGCCTTGTTGTATTAAGTGTTCTAGCTCATTGTTCAGTTTCTCTCTCTCTCCCTTGTAGACGGATTTTGGCACCTGGTGAAGAAGAGAATTTGGAATTTGAAGAAGATGAAGATGGTGGAGCTGGAGCAGGACCTCCTGATTCTTTTTCTGCTCGAGTTCCTGGTGGGCATCCTTACACAGCAAGTGCACTGCTTTATCCAGCAGGGAGTGTGGGACTTGTGTTGGTGTTTGTTAGTGGAGAGGAAAACCTCTCCAAAGCCCTTGCCAACTTTCACCAAACTTCCTTGGCTGGGCACCGTCAGTGGTTATCTCAGCTCATGGTGTGGTATGGTCATCTGTGTTAGTGGTCCTTAGAACTCATGCTCAGTGACTCACCAAGATAACACAGGAGCAAATTAGCCACAGGAAAAGGCATACGGACCAAATCAGAGGAAAGTGGGTGTGGACTCCAGAGCCCCTTTCCCTGTGCTGCCAGCCACATAGGCAGTATTTAATTCCTGCTGTAATAACTTGTGTCAGCATTGTGAAAGGTGAAATGTCTACTTGGAGATTCAGCACACGGCTGCTATTGATAATTGACCACAGAGTCATTTTCTACCTACTGTAGACCAAAATTGTAGGTGTCAGAAGGAAGGAGTGTTCAGCACTAGCCATACTACTCACACAGTTCAGATGTTGTAAGATGAACAGGGCAGATGGAAATCCTCACCAGATTCAAGATCCCAAATGCCAACCACAGGCCAAGCTTTGTCTTGGCCCTGCAGTATGAGCCGGTCTCTGTGTTACCTAATCAGTCTTCAACTGAACTGTAGTTATAGGACCAGGCCCAGGTAGGCAAACACTGGAGTATTACCCTCATCTAAGAGGAATGAAGAATACATAGTGAACCTTTTTATTTGTGGATGAGGGTCTTCCCTCCCTGTGACTATAAATAACTTCTGGGAAATTACACATAGTAGTTAGTTGTTACTGCTGACACCCCTTCTTGGCTACAAGACATTATTTCTGGTCTGTTTTGCTTGTAAAGACACATGCTTATTTCTATTTTTTTAAAATGTTATTAGATTTATTTATTTTTTTAAATTTCATGTGTGCATGTTTTGCCTGCTTGTATGTATGTGCACCATATGCATCCCTAGTACCTGTAGAATGCTGACCACTACTGTTGAGGTAAGCACAATTTTCTATAGGCTTTTTTTTTTTTTTTTTTTTTTTTTTTTTAGCACAAACTAAGAAAGGGATTATGAAATTTGACTATGTTAGCATGAAGTTTCTCTTAGAAGACTGTTACAGAGCAGAGTTATCTGACAGCCTGAGCTGTGCTCTAGTGTGTTAGCAGCAGTGTGGCTGTCTTCTTGGAGAATGAGTAGAGGTGTGATGGCTGCGGAAGCATCATGGGTGCCCCCAGCATGCTGTTTTTGTCTTCCATGTTCTGGAGCTCCTGACATAGTGTGCCCATATTGTGAAATTCAGCAAGCTGCATGTAAAATTTAGTCATTTTAAATAATATATTTTACGTTTTAGTGAGATTTTTTTTAAAAGAAAAACCACTATTAAGCTGTTTATAAGACATGTAACTAGAGATTTTCCTAATGTATTAGAAATCTCACACAACTTAAATAAGAAGTGGCTATTTCAATAGAAATGTGGACAAAATAATTGATAAAGGAGAAAATCCAAATGCATGACCTAATAGAAAGACGTGATGCTCTGTCAGCCATCAGAGACCATTCAGTTATAGCTAGGTCATTGCCTCTCCATACCTAAATTGGTTCAAGTAAAGCATCTGAGAAAGGAAGTGTCCAAGGATTATAACAGCACTGACACTGCTGCACTGTTGACAGGGACAGAAATGGAGCATCCTACTATGGTAGGAGCTGATGACGTAATTAGCACAGACCATGAGACATAGTAATTTCTGTTTCAGAGAAGTTTGTACCAAAATATGTTGGCCAGTGTATATTTCTTAGTGTTAAAAAAATAATAATCAAAGGTTGATCAACTCAGATATTCATGAGCAGAAAAGTTAGTGCATATATTTCAATCCTTGTCTAATAAATGTTATTTAATTGCATGAACCTTTTCTGCAGAAGAACTCAACTAAATATGAGTACTCCCATTTCTTTCATAAAATTTCAAAGGTATTCTTACCTTTCTGAAGCTTGTCTCTGAGTCCAGTGAAAGGCACTCATTCTGTAGGTGCCTGTATTGGTAATCAGATAGTCAGAGACAATGCAGACAGTCTTGGGAATTTTTGTGTGTATGTTCAAGATCACTCCTATCCCATTAAGTCCTATTAGTGAAATGCTACAGTGAAGACCATCACCCTCCCTTAGTTTTCTATGTTGTCTTGATATTAGGGAGTAAGAAAAGGAGCTGGATGTGCTGTTTTGTGCCTATAATCTAGCACTTGGGGACTGAGCTTGGAGGGTTGCTTTTGAGTATGAGGTTAGTCTGCGCTACACGATGAGACCCTGTCTCCAAAACCAAACACCAAACCCACAAAAAATTGTTACTGCATTTAAAACTACTATTACTTTTAATAGCATTATTATAGTATTCAAATGAAATTTACCTACTGTTTGGTGATTCTTGATTTACAAAGACTCTTATCTATCTAGAATTTAAAAATTCTAGATTTATGAAGTGATGACATCATGACCACCTTCCAGTTTTACATTTTCATTGCCCGCCCCAGTTTCTTCACACCTGTTCATTGTCAATCGGGTGTTCATTTTAGAAGGTACTGGATTCTTCATTATTGAAAGTAGGATAGCACATTGTTAAACAGAAAGAAAAGATTCCAACCAAAATCCTATGTTAATGTGCTTTAACTTACTGCACACACACTGGATTAAAACTGACCATTTTCTTGAGGATTGGGATGCTCATCTCCTCTTTTGAGGGGGTGGGGGTTGTGTGTGGTATTTATGTGCCTGGTGCATGCACCTACGTTTTGGGTGCATGTGCCCATGCATACAGATTTGGAGACCAGATTCAGCAGCCCTCTCTACTTCATGCCTGGAGACAGGGTATGAACTGGAGTCTTAGCATTTGGGATTGGGGCTCCTCTGCCTTCTCCCCTGTGCTCTAATGCTCAGGTCACGGCAAGTGCCACCACATGCGGCTTTTTGCTCAGGTGTTGGGTATTCACATTCAGCTTTTGGAGAAAGCACACTTAGCACTGAGCCCCTTCTCCAACCTGGTGATTTAGTTTTAAGAATGTAATTGGTGAATGGAAGTGTTTCAGACATTTGAGTTGCTCTTGCAGTTTTATGTTGCTGTTCCCTCTAGTACTAACTACTAAGAATGCATCATGCAGAATAGGATGAGGAATAGAGTAGGAGATTAGGCCTTAATAATCTACCAAATAATTGAATCTATGAATGCTAAACTATACATTAGTAGTAACTGAAGGATTTTCTGGTCTATTCTCAAATTTCTCTAGTATGAGAATAACAGAAAATACTTCAAAGTTTTTCTGTCCTTTTTCTACAAGTTCATATTGAGATAAAGAGTATATCTTTACAAGTACATTGAATATATGTATTATGTGGTAGCTTAGAATTAGGCTTCCTTGAGTAACATGAATTTTTAACAAACTAGCCTTAATAATTCCACTTTTATGGTGTTTGTGGAGTATGGAATGCAGATTTATCTTGCATATGATTAAATATTTGTTCACAGAGAATAACACCAAGCTAGGTGTGGTGACACTTGCCTATAATCTCCATATACAGGAACCTAAGGACATCCTAAAAAGCAAAAAAGTAATAATACAGTGTTTGAGAGTGCTAGAAAGCAAAATGTACAATGCCTGCCTGGTTGCTAAGTTATAAGGAAGCCTGTGTCTCTTTTGCTTGCTAAAATGTTTACTCTGGAATTATTTGTGGCCAAATTTTTATTCTGGTTTCTCTGTTGCCAGGTACTTTATTGCCACGGTTGCCATCAGAACCAGGGATGACATTACTCACTATCAGAATTGAGAAAATCGGTCTGAAAGATGCAGGGCAGTGCATTGACCCCTACATTACAGTCAGTGTGAAGGGTGAGGAGCTCTGGATGTGGTTTCCTTTCTGCAGATGTCACACTGCGTTGTTCCTAGAGTGGTGGCTCATATGTCTGTAGCAGCTAATTATAATTCATTCTATAATGATAGATACCCTGAAATTGATCTTTATTCTTTCAGTGAACACTTCTGATAGACTTAATAAACATATTTTTTAAATGTATAGCTTAGACTCACTTTTGCTTTTGAGCATGTCTTTGGTTCTTTTTATGTTTCTTACTCCAGCCCCATCTAGGGAGCTGTCTAGCCATACACAGTCCCCTCAGCAGCAAAGATAGCTTCCAGGATACAGAGTTAGAAAATGGTCCTCCTGTACCCTTTGATTCCTACAGCAGGGTTCTGTAAGGTTGATGCTGCAGTGGAGGTTGAAAGTAGAGGCCAGGAGAGGGTTGGTCTGTCTGTCCAGATTCTGAGAGTCTTGCAGGACGGGAAAGAAAGTTATCAGAGTTAGAAAATGTGATTATTCTTGCCATTTTTTCCATATCCCTAACAGAGAATACACATGGTTGAATTCTTTTGTTGTTGCCTCACTTATTATGCAATAGTTTATACCTATTATACAGTATCTTATAACTGTCATCATACAGTGCTTTATACCTATCGTATAGTACTTTATGCCTATCATCATACAGTACCTTATACCTGTTATATAGTACTTTATTTGCAAAGCATTTAATCTTTAAAAATTTTTCTTAGGTATCAGGCATAGTAAAGCATACCTGTGATCCCAATTTCTAGACAGCTGAGGCAGGAGAATCACTTGAGCCCAATTTTGGGGAACACATAATGAGATTCCGTTTCAAAAAAAAATTAGTAAGAATAGTTATTATTGGATCAGTAAGGGTGTAGTCATCATTATTGAGAAATAACTACAGTTAATATAAGTTAATATTAAGCTGAAGTCTGAAACTAACCAAAGAACCAGATGTGGGCTGAAAGTAAATGGAGGCAACTTCCATCACTTGTAGAAATAAATTCATACCCATAGGTTCATTAGTAACAATTAAAATATAAAGTAATTTAGCCAGAGAAAATTTGAATATGCATAGACCATGATTGACAGCACTAGTGATGGTAATACTTCAAGGCAGTGGATATCAACCTTCATAATGCCACAATCCTTTAGTACAGTTCCTCATGTTGTGACTCCAAACCAAAAAATTATTTCATTCCTACTTCATAATTGCAATTTGATACTGTTATGAATCATAACATAAATATCTGGTATGCAGGATAGCTGCTATGTGACCCCTGTGAAAAGGTTGTGTGACACCCTTAGAGGGGGGGGTCACAATCCACAGGTTGAGAACCACTGCTTTAAGAGACAGATAGCTATCAAGTGTGTAAAGTATTCATTCTTTATACATTGTTTGATAAACCATTTGCAAAATGATATAACTCATTCAGGAAGGTACTAAGTAAAACATAAAATATTGAATGATATGTAATAGGTGTTATGTTACCGTTGCTTGTTTGTTGAACTGAAACAGGAATAATCAGTTGTACCAAATTACTGTAGGTTGCTAAGGCATCTTTGTTGAATAATAAATATATAAACACTTATTTTTTAAATAAGCCTAATGCAGAATTTGATTAAGTGGGGTTCCTGGTCCCAGGATATTAAAGCCATACTCAGTAACTCAGTATACCATCTGGTTGTGGTAAATAAGTTATGTTTTAGGAAGCATAACCAGAATGCAGGTACTACTTATGAACTTTTTCACTGATAAAAGGGATATTTTGGCAGCCTTCATGCCCATCTGACTAGTACAGCAGAGAAGTTCTGTCTTAATTATAGACTTAAAGCCTTTCTAGTCATGCCCTTGATCAGTGTTGCAAAATAGGGGCTGAGAGCCACATTGTAGCAAAGTTTATTCAGTCCACATTCTTACTACACAGAATAGAGTTGTCCTTGCCCTCAGCAAACAGGAAGTTCTTTTCCCTCTTAAAGATCAAATTTGATCTGCAAACTTAATTTTCCCCTCCCTGTTGTCTCCCATCCTCTCAGTTCTGCTCCCTCCACACACCCATGAATAGCAGTAGTTCTCAAGCCCCTGCTCGTACAGTGAGGCATCTCTGAATTCCCAAAATCCTTCCCCCATCCCACTTCTGCAGGAAATGTGGCCCTTAGTAGTCTTAAATGTGATTGCCACTAAGTGGAAATTTGTTTCTCTCTAGATTTGAATGGCATAGACTTAACTCCTGTACAAGATACTCCTGTGGCTTCAAGAAAAGAAGATACATATGTTCATTTTAATGTGGACATTGAGCTCCAGAAGCATGTTGAAAAATTAACCAAAGGTTTGTGACCATATCTTTGTTTTCCTATGGACAGCACTCATTTGGGAGGGTGTGCACAGTGGTCCCATCGTAGTCCATATCTGTCAGAAGTCAGTGTCACCTGGTTAGTTGCTTTGATGAAATCCAAATAGTAATGTTTTTTAAATGTTGAAGTTAGGTGATATGGGTGGGGCATTGGTGGCTCACATCTTTAATCCCAGCACTCAGGAGGCAGAGGCAGGTGGATCTCTGTGAGTTCAAGGCCAGCATGGTCTACAGAGCTGGTTCCAGGACAGGTTCCAAAACAATACAGTACAGAGAAACCCTGTCTCAAAAAAAAAAACAAAACAAAAAAAAAAAAACCCAAAATCAATCAATCAATCAATCAATCAGTAAAAGAGATTAGGTGATGATATGTTTTCTGGTCGTATAACAACACTAGAATATGTTCTTTAATAGTAAAATTTTAGGCCTGGAAAAAGGCTCAGTGGGAGGACTCCTGAGGTAGGTTCACTGCACCCATGTAAAATTGAGGCATGGCAGCTTGCCAGTGCTGGAAGATAAAGACAGATGAGGTTTGCTGCTCAGCCAGGCTAGCTCCAGGTTCAGTAAGAAACCCTGTTTCAAAAAGTGATGTGGGAAACTGACTGAGGAAAAGCCTGACATGAACCTCTTGTTTACTATGTACATGTATGCATGCACACACAGCAGTTTTTCTCTTTCTGATGAGTGGGGGAAGCTAGAACTCCTGATGGTGCTCTAATCCCCTTCCTTCCAGTTGGATACACTGGCCCGAAAGTGCCAGAACTTCAGTTCATTTGAGGGAAGGTGGGTAAAGAAAGAGCCACCTTTTGTCACAGTGAAGTTGCATCACTAGCCTAGCACAGGTCTTAGCAATAAATCCTTGCAGTTGCCAATTGCTCACTATTGGTATTCTCTGCAGAGAAGCCTTCAGAGACCCTTATGTCACTTGAGCCGCAGCTGCAGTTTGAGATGCCAAGCTCTGTAGAAAATGCATATGAAGTGAGTGCCTTTAGAAATAGTCCCTGCAGCCTCTTAGTGTTGATGCTTTTCTTCTCAAATCCAGGGCTGTGGCAGAGGCAGCCCCTGAACCCTGGTGGATGAGCCATGGTGCAGCCTTAGCAGTGTGCCTTTTAAAGTCCTTCAGGTCATTCTGATAGATGCCAGAACTTGAAACTCTGGGTTAGAGGGTGCATAACAAAGAGATTGCAACACTGAGTGTGCCATTTCCGCATTTTTTTGAGACCTGTTTCTGATGTGAAGGAACACCGCAGTGTGGTCCGTGGGCTAACCTTCCTTACTGTGCTTTGCTCTTCCTGATAACTGGTGAATTGTTGCAGTATATTCAGGACTTCATCGTTCCTTTTCTCCAGCTTTGAACTTAATATCAGTCACTGTAGTTCTAAGTGATGCTAATTCTAATGAGCTTTCATTTTTGTAAGCCTTTCAGTTAGTAATCTTAGGATATCCTAATTTTACATTTTTAACAAATGTGTGGAATACAGAACTCTGCATACCAAGACTGCAGTAAAGATCTTGTTTCTGATGATGCAGATAAGTAGGAACGATGGTGATATGTTTAGACTTTGTTAATGTGTTTTGGCCTCAGACACATCATGATGAAAAGATGTATTCCCAGCTAAAGAGACTAAGAAATATGGTCTGATAATTTGATGCTTCTACTACTGCTGTAGGAATGAGAAGAAATAATACACCTGTGTGGACCTAGTAGGGCTCTTTGCTTAGGGAAGTTGAACCCCAGTAGCCCAACTGTTGAGATGCTTTTGTGTGAGGAAGTATAGGCTAAGGGTGCCTGTTTCTCCCTCTCTTTCCACTGTGTCTTGAGTGACTGGGCATTTTTGCTTGATTTTTTTTTTGTTTATTTGTTTGTTTTGTTTTGTTTTTGAGACCGGGTTTCTCTGTATTGCTTTGGAGCCTGTCCTGGAACTAGCTCTGTAGACCAGGCTGGCTTCAAACTCACAGAGATCCACCTGCCTCTGCCTCCCAAGTGCTGGGATTAAAGGTGTGCACCACCAATGACCGGCTTTTTGGCTTGATTTGTGAGATGCTCTGTTTGTATTCAAGTGCCAGGACTGTTCACTTGGCTGTTCAAAGCATTGTTAAACGTCATCAATTAGAAGCTGTATTGTTACTAAAATAAATGTCAGTTATAGCCTTTTAAGACAGGATCCAGTACCTCCCTGGTTAAAGCAGAATTAAGTAGCAACTAGTTGAGTGAGACATCAATTTCCATTGGTTTCCATGCCTTTTTTAGAAATCAGTTTTGGGCTACCCTGTAACTTATATCCATAATCTGAGCTGTTTTTCCCTTCAGGATACAGAATTTATCTGTCAGTTTTTGAAGATGTGAAACCATGTCACTTTCTCATAAATGCTTGATTATTGTTGCCTTTATACCCTTCCTTCCATAGCACATGTTGATGTAGATGTCAGCATTGATGGGTAAAATACACAGCTAATGAGGCATTAGGTAACATTTAACAGCACATGACTTGTATTGATTGGATTTAGGGGTTTGTTTCAGGAGGAAGCAAAGCTGGTTGAGCCTGAATGTTTTAAAAAGAAACCTTCACTTCCAATTTGCCTAATACATGTGCACTTTACCTCTATGGACTCTGTTCCTCTTCTAAAATTTGTTTTGTTTTGAAATTTTTCCTGGGTGTAGTTGTATTAGTTTGGGTTTCTATTGCATGATGAAACACCATAATCAAAAAACAAGTTGGGGAGGAAAGTGTTTATTTGGCTTTTACTTCCATATCAACTGTTCATAATCAAAGGAAGCCAGGACAGGAACTCAAAGAGGGCAGAAACCTGGAGGCAGGAGCTGATGTAGAGGTTATGGGCTTGCTCCTCATGGCTTGCTCAGCCTGCTATCTTATAGAACCCAGAAATACCAGCCCACAGATGATACCAATCACAATGCCCTTCCCCTTCAATCATTAAGAAAATGCCTTACAGGTCTGCATACCACCTGATCTTTTGGAGGCATTTTCTTAATTTAGATTCTATCCTCTCAGATGACCTTTATGTCAAGTTGACATAAAACTATCCATCACAGTGATATACTTGAGTACATATGTGTGGGTTCACATGTGTGTGCAGGTGTACCAACATGTATACACACATGTATGTTGGGGCCCAAGGCTGACAGTAGGAGTATTCTTCAATTACTTTTTCTTATTCATTGAGACGTGTTTCTCAGTTGAACTCAGAGCTCACTGATATAGCTAGTCTAGCTAAACTTGCTTTAGGAGTTGTGACTCCTCCCTCCAAGATCTGGAATTGCAGGCAGCAACCACAGCCACCTGTCATTTATATGGGATCTGCGGATCTGGATTCCAGTCCTCCCACTTGCTTTAACCACTGAGCCATCTTAGTCCTGTTCTGTGTTCTTTAGTGATTTACATTCTTGAGTCAGTCTCGCTCAGGACTTGGTAGAATTAGTTGAAATGGAGAAATGTTAAGAGTAGAATTTGGGTTTGCTACTCATAGCAACCAATAGTTATACCTCAGCAGACTGCATTTAACAGGTTACCTTGTTGATTATGCAAACCATTGCTTGTTCATATGCTTCTGGTGAGTAAAGAAAGCTAATTAACATGGAAGGGACTGCCTGTCGTTTATGTGTCTTTCAATTTCATAGGTGCCGCCATCTTCTTTGAATTCAAACATTACAAGCCTAAAAAGAGGTTTACCAGCACCAAGTGTTTTGCCTTCATGGAGATGGATGAAATTAAACCTGGGCCAATTGTAATAGAATTGTAAGTTTGGGGCATGGCAAATGGAACTTGGGGGTCAGCCAGAGTATTTTAAACAATAATCTTTCTGTTGTGGTTCCAGATACAAGAAACCCACTGACTTTAAAAGAAAAAAATTACAATTATTGACCAAGAAACCACTTTATCTTCATCTACATCAAACTTTGCACAAGGAATGATCCTGTTACAAATAACCTGGAACTTATGTGAATTTTACCACGTGGAAACCATCATAGCTCTCTGTAGCATATCACTCTTCAACAGGCAGGAAATGAGCCCTACCCATGCCAGATGGCCAGCAAGTACATTGCAAAGCCGGACCCCAGAACTCAAAAGTTCAGCACATCACTAACCTATTGGATACAGGTTTATTGTAGATTTTGAAACATTTTTACTTTTCTATTAATTGTGCAATTAATTGTCTATTTTCTCATTACCACTACTCCTCCCCTGCTTCCTGGATAGTACTATTGTGGTAGATGTGCTGAACTTCAGACACTGCAGCAATAAGAATGTGCTAGAGTTTACATTTCTGCTCACCTTTGCTCCAATATGCTCTTCTGGCTTGAATGTCACATTCTGGGTTGAGATGGGGAGAATTGCTTTGAGGAATTGGACTAGTTACATTGCCTAGGAAAGTCTGTCTGGAAGCTTATAGACACTCCTTAGAAGTGGCCAATCCAAATGCCAGAGATCTCCTGCATGGAAAGTGTGCCCTGGCCAGATGAGAATGCCCATGAAGTGTTCCCAGATGACCAGATTGGCTTCCTGAAGTGAACACACGTATAGTCTGCTCTTCTCTGTCACACTGCTATTCTTCCTGGTAGATTCTGGGGTTAACGCCGGAACCATCTCAGAGTAACTCCAGGTTTTAAATGTGTTTACAGTATCTTTTAAATTGCATCATTTAGGAAGAGTTGAGTCAGCTATTAAAATACTTCGGATAACTGCTGCTTCCTGATAACCCATTGTGAGACCTTAAGACCGCATACCTCTCCTTAGTATGCAAAATCTGGAAAGATAGTTTATTTTTTTTTAAATATAGGTAGATAGAACCACCGTTTATTTCCTATTTAGATATACAGTCATTCATTCCTTTGGAAAATATGCAGGTCATTAGTTATTTTAAATTGACTTTTACTTTTGATGTAACCAGGCATAAATAAAACTTTCATATAGCACATGATGGATAGTTGTTACATAGAACATTAAGATTTGTGAGGGGTTTTCTTTGGGTTAAACATAGAACCCACATATTTTAATATTCACTTTTCAATGAACAGTGCATGAGAGGACTGCACTGTCAGTACTGGGCCTGTTTTTAAATAGTATAACCTCATTATACCATTCAATATATTTGCTTTTAAAGTAAGTAATCTCAGTGAAGATGTTTTAACCTTGCCCTTCAAGAGATCTAGTCTTGACTTTCAGCACCTACTAGTCACTGTTTACTACATGGATGTTAATAAAAACTGTGTTTCAGGCTCAACCTGAAAAAAGTTCACAGTCAAATTAATCTTGATCCGATTAATTCCAAATGTTGAAATAATTCCCTTTTTAGTAGCTTTAGGAGATGAAGAATTTGCCTTAAATTAACTCATTGTCTGACTCCTAAGCTTTGGGTTGTGGATCTCAAGACTTAAGGCAAGAGCCACATCTCTAGGTCATGTGAAGGGTCTAAGGTGCTTGGCAGTATTGTGTACCTGGGGAGCACTCAGTAACCTGGGCAGTACTCTGTACCTGGGGTGTACTTAGTACTTTCTGTCTGATGTTGCTGACTAGACCTAAAAAATAATCCCTTCACACCTACTATTATTATTAAAATGTAGTAAAGACTGTATGTACATCGTCCTTTCTCTTTTGTCACAGACCATAAGACAAGTAGCAGAGTTGTAAGTTTCTGTGCTGCAGTGCCGACCCCTCACATAAATGTGTTTATATGAACTACAAATGCGTGCCATCAGGGTTAAAGAACGCTAGGAGAACATTGTGTGATAAGTTTGGCTTTAATTCAGACTTGAATGGCAAGACTGTCTTAAAGCAGTTAACACAAAGCATTCCTCACTTCACAAGTTTCCATTGCATTGAAAAAAACTGCTGTAGAAAAATAGCCTTTTCTCTAATAGAAATGCTTTCAGAGTGAGGTACTGCTCCTAGTGACAGTTTTAGCCGCTCAGCCCATAAAGTTAGTTAGCTGGAGGCAACTTCTGAAACAGGAACTTTTGAAATGGAAAAGTGGCTCAAATGAGGTATAACGTCCTCTGTGCCATCCATAGACTTATGGCTTATTATGGGCTTTTGTAGCATAGGATGTACAATCAGTTGGAATTGAGGAAAGGCTGTGGTAGACTGGCTCAGATCTGCCCAGATACACCACACTGGGGTTTCTCTACATTTTCCTGATGATGTTCATGATATACAACAGGGCAACCAAAGGGCTTTAGAGCGGAAATATCCCCATTTTGAATTTTGAAAAGGGGGGAGGGCATTACTTAGCTTTACTATTTGTCTTCTTAGCTGGTATAATCTTTATATGCCATCTAAACTTAAGTAGCTGAAATAGTAGATGCAGGATATCAAGTTTTGAAAGAACCTGAACTACATAGCTGAGACCCTATCTTTTTAAAAAAGTTGCAAAAATTAGAATTTATATTAATGCAATGATTTTGTGTAGATACATTCCAGAAGCTGTATTTGAAATTTAGTCTTATTTTTATAAGTTTAAAAAATAGCATATGCTAGAGGCGATAAGAGATGGTTCAGGGATTAAGAGCACTTGCTGTTCTTGCAGAAGACCAGGGTTCAGTTCACAGCATCCACATGGTGGCTCACAACTGCCTATAACTCTAGTTATAGAGGGTCTGGTACCCTCTTCTGGACCCATGAGCACCAGACCATACATGTGGTATATGTACATACATGCAGGCAAAACACATATGTATAGAATAAAAAATAATTTTTTAATGGCATACACTATCCTGTGGTGTTTTCTTATAGATATAAAATCTTCTGTAATTCCAGGTTGGGCTAGGCATATTAAACTCTTACTGGAAGACTTGCAAGCTCTCATGAAACTTCTGCATTCAGAGACCCTATCTTTATATAGTATGTCTTCGATTGTTGACGATTTTATTTCACATTGAAGCTTTTGCTCATTTTTCAAAGTACCCACATGGATTTAACATCCCAACACGCCATGTCCTAGGTTTCAATATCATGATTTCACAGGATTTTGGGGAATACAGTGTCACAGTAAGCAGTTTCCACCTTTTATAGTTTTACATATACATAATATGCTGCTAAAGTTACTATAAATAGTCTGAACCAGTTGTTTAAAGACTGTAAAAAGGGATGTAAGACTTTACATGATCAATACCAGATTCCTAGACTTACCTGATTTATAAATAAAAGCACCAATATTTGAATATCAATTATGAATAGTATCTTAAAGAATTAAGCTAGGCAAGGTGACTCAAGCCTGAAATTCCAGCCTCTCAGGAGCTGAAACAAGAGGATCACTGAGAGTCTGAGGCCAGGCTGGGCTACAAAAATGAGACCCTATCTCAAAACAACCACATAATTGAGTTCAGTCCATAGTTGTGGACTGAAGACATAGGTAAATTTCCTAGTTTGCATTCATTCTTCCTCATGACACCTTCCTGATTCTTGCTTGACATATTCCTTGAAAATCAGCTGCAAGGGGATGTGAGAGAGAATAGAAGAGATATCCCTAAAAAGAAAAGATCTTACAGCCATGGTACGTGACTTATCTTGTTATGTACCCTTGGTGCACGAATGGTTTTAAAAGTAACAAAACGTGAGGTCAAAAAATTTATAATTTAATTTCCCCTCCCCCCCATGTTTTAAGGCATGTGTATGTAGGTCAGAGGACAACTTGTGGGAGTTGGTTTTCACTCTGTGGCTCCAGGAATCAAACTCAAGCTGTCAGGCTTGGCAGTAAGTGCCTTTACTTGATGAGCTATATTTCTGGCCCAAATAATTTTTTCCCCCTCAGTTTTTGAGACAGGTTCGATGTATCTCTGGCTGTTTTGTAACTCACAGATCCAGCTGCTTCTGCCTGTGCCACCACACCCAGCCCCAAATAATTCTTGATACTAATGCAAATTTCTACCCAGAAAACCATTCCCAAACAGGCAGTGAGCATCAAGAAGGTGCAGAAAGGTAGGAGGGGCGGGGTGGGGTGGGGCTGTAACATCTTTGAATAAGAGGAAGAATCCCTATAGAGCTCACTGGTGACTTAGGGAGGACTTAGCAGTACCACATGGAGTGTGCACACTCACCACTGCACTTCCAGAAGAAGCTCAGCTATCAGGGTTCCCAAGTGATACATGTCTCAAAACAAACCAAAGAATCAACAGACACTTGGAAAATATTAATAAACAAAGTTTATGAACTATTACTACAAAGGAGAGTTTATGATCCTTGAGTAAACATTTTTAGCGTAACAGTCCTTGAGACACAGACAGAGCCGTGACAATCTTGCTCTGTATCAGCTGGCATACACTAGACCAAGGCCATGGAAATACGTGTTCTTAAAGCATTTCCACAGGAAATGTTCATTCTTTAGGATATTCTAAATCATTTAGCAATTACATACGCTATATAAACTAAACACAGGTATTCTTTATTGCACATTTCAAAGTTGGAAGGACATTAGCTTAAGAGGTGATTTTTTTTTTTTTTTTTTTTTAGAAGGGAGAATAATATTTTTTTGTTTGGCTCAAAAATGCACACTGCCAAGGCAGCTTAGTACTAAAAACAAACTGTATAACTTGTAGGTTTTGAAGGTGATGAAATTCTTTGCTGTAATAACAATGCACTGTCCATTCTCTTTCTCTCTGACTACAGTGGTGGAAGTCAAAGTTAGGGGCTGGGTTTTGAAGTCGGTGAACAGGCTTGGACACTGCTTGGAGAGGCAGGTGGGGCTTCCTCTCTTGGACCAGAAGGCAATAAGTCTCTTGCAGCAGGTTGTGGCAGCGGGTATTCCTGAGGACCATGAGTTGGTGGTGGTAGACGGGCACCAGGAATATAGTACTCTCTTGGACCAAGTGAACCTGGAGGTCTAAATGGTGTGTGTCCTAGTAAAAACTCCCGAGGGTCAACAGGCAGGTCCCGTTTCCCAGGCAGAACACCTGGTGCATACTCTCTTATGCCTGGTGGTGGACACATGCCTGGAACTAGGAAACAAGAGTCATGTAAATAACAAGCAACATATTTAAATAAACAATCATTCCAAGTACAGTAACATATTTATTAATTTCTCAGCCCTAGAAAATCAAGTGTGGCACCCTGACTTTAAAATAAGGCCAATGAGACTTAGCAAATTAAAATTAGTCTGTGGCCATAAGCAAAGGACAGGTTTAAACCTGGCTCTGCTTAATTCCAAGTTTTCTTTTCACTCCACATATCTGCATTTCAGAACAGCTCCATTCAGAATAACAGCCATGCCAAGAAGTTAATGAAAACACAGATTCACTGTGAAACATGTTCACTGCAACAAAGTTGGTAAAGGTCTACTGCTTTGTCAACTGCAAGTTCACATGGTCAAATTACATCAAAGATCTGGACTCAAATTGATCTGCATTCACTAGATTACTATTGTGTTCTCTGTGACAGCTCTATCTAGTCCCGGTGAGAAGGGATTGTTTAGCTTTCCTGTCTATATTCTGAGACCAGTAGCTTATGCTTCTATTTGTATCTGTGACCTACAGGGTGCTATGGCATGTGTCACCCATCTTTTCCATATATAACATGGTGCTGAAATGCACCTGCAGAGAGAACATTACTGGCTCTCCTTGTCCAGCTATGCCCAACTCAGTTTAGGGAGCTAATAGAACCTATATGTGCTCAGAAGCTTGACGATAGGTTACAGTGTACTCTCAGCTATATCGTCATTTGGAAAGTTCTATGGTAGCAACTACTTTAGCAAAGAACAGAAAAGATGAGTATGTTTTATAAGTCAATACTGTTCAGATCATCATACCAAATGGTGGAGGAACTGGCCGAGGCCCAAAAGGCCCACATAGCTGAGGAGGTGGTCCATATCGAATAGGTGGTGGCACGGGACTTCCCAAAGGGGGACCAAAGACAGGAGCCCCTGGAAATGGAGGGGGCCCTTTGGGAGCCATGTTAACCTGTAGAAAAGAAAATAGAGTTTGGAAATGCTTTTACATGGTGCCAAGACTAGTAAACTGGCACCTGTTCAAAGAATTGTTAGCCTAACACACCACCTCACCACATGTTGCCAATGACAACTCAGAGGTTAGAAGGATGCTGCAAGCAGTGTGACTCAGGTTACTGCTTGCTATCCACACAGGAAAAGGAAAAGTCAGAGGACTACCAGCTTTATAAGAAGTGATTGTGACACAGGTCATGCCATACACACTGCAATCTGCATCAGAAGAAGCACTCCATATCGCATCACTGTAATTCCACATGTACATATTAATACAGAGAACAAAATGAAAATACTGTCAGTATACAAGCAGTAATAGCAACTATTCAGGGCAGCATTTTCACTATATTATCCAAATTCTTGGGTCTTTCAGTCTGTAAGTGTGACTACCCTGATTTAAATGTGGGCAATCAAATGCAAGAGTTGAGCTGATTTGGAGGTCATACTGCATGTAGAAGGGCAGGCTAGAACTCAGATACCAGGCTCTACTCCAAGGCTGCGTCCTCCTCATCCTCATAACTGAAGTCTTCAGTCTCTGAAGTCTGGACAGACCTCTGGGTCTCACCCAGGCTGGCCTTGGATAAAGACTTCTCAAAGCTTGCAGATCCATGGAGTCCTGCACTAGACTTCATAGTACCCCAGCAGTTTTATGTTTGTAATCAGGAAGACAGCTCCAGTAATGACCTTCACTGGCTAGCAACACTACACACTACAGAACAGGACTTTCCGTAATTTGTTGTATAGTGCAGAAGGCTGAGCAACTGCAATAGCCACACATGTCACTGCTGCAAGCACTGAACAAGTAACTCAGTCAGGACCAGATCAACAGATGGTACACACATTTCTGTTTGTAAGCAGTCTGCTTTCATATTATTCAAAAGTTTGCCAGGTACACAGATCCAGGGGGGTTCAGAAGCTCAGTTCCAAGCAGATAATGACACTGAATAATGTGACTTACAGTGAGTTTCACTTTGAGCTTTCAGCACACAGCATACAGCGTAAGTTGTACTGACGACTTCTATGTAGTAGTAGTTACAGCAAGTGTTCTAAACTGGTTAGTAATTTAACCCAAACAGGAAAATGTACACCAACAACCAACCACTCTAGCTCAGTGACACTCCAAAGTCAAGGAGCGCTGGGATAGATGGAGAACAAGATGAGTGTCATGCTTTTATAAGCTTCTAAGGACAAACCAAGCAAAACCAAAGCTCACTCTGGCCCTCAATCTCTAAACACTTACGGCTACTGTATGCTCAGCTAAAGGGGCCATGCTGGAACATGAGGGGCTGTCAGGATCTTGGGGAACCGTTTGCTTTTAAAGAAACAAATAGACATATAAACAAGAGAGGAAGCAGGAACCAGCAGAGAATTCTCATTGCCTACACAGCATACCTTGCTCTCATCCGTGGCCTTCACTGGAGAGGAGCTCCTGGAGGTGCTGTTCATCATGGGTGCTGGATCTGGGTCTGCAAGAGTCCAGAGAATGACTTAGACTCACCCTGCATGTGTTCTGAGAAGAATGAAGGTCCCACATGCAGGAGGCTCAGAAAATCCTTAGGCTCCTTACCAGAAGCAGAGTGTTTCCCAGATGCCTCTGATGGCCACCGAGGGCGAGGTAAATGCCTGTCCAATGACCCTTGAGAGAGAAACAACAGAGCCCTTGATATGTAGTTTTCAGGAGGAATCAACCCGTTGTAGATAGGGCTCAACTCTTAAAGAGCAGCACTACAAATAGATCTGCTAGGTGAAGTAGCACATGTCTGCAATCCCAAAAAGGGGTCTCAATGTATGAGTCACAATTTATGCAGGCTTCAAGTATTGAAACAAGAATTGCCCCAGTTTCTGTAAATTATTTCTAAATTGTTTTTCTTTATGTGTATGGGTATTTTGTCTGTATGTATGTATCTGTACCACCTGTGTGCAGTTCCCATGGAGGCCAGGAGAGAGTGTCAGATCCCCTAGGACTGGAGTTAAAGGTGGTTGGGAGCTGCCATGTAGATGCCATGACATGAATTCAGGTATTCTGGAAGAGCAGCAAGTGCTGATAATCACTGAGCCACCTCTCCAGCCCCAGGACTGCCTTAGTTTTAAAGACAAGCAATGAACTTTACAGTAAGAATATTGGTCTGTTGCTTCCAGCTGTAACAGCACTGTACTGGTGACATTTCTGAGTCTGACTTCTAATCTTCCTGAGTGTCACAGACGGAATTAGAATATGGTGGCATCTCACAGTCATGGTTAAATTTTAAAGTATATATTATTCTTAAAAAGCAAAGCAGGGGCCCCTTGAAGGCTATAAATCTTTGTGTTCTATAGCAGAGCTTCCAGGAACCCACTTTTCTATTAAGACAAACCTGAGTTCTAACAGGAAGAACCCACTTCATGTACTATAGTGCAGAGGGATACACCAATGCTCACCACATTCACTCCTAGGCATGTCTCTTCGACTGAGTGTGGCAGAGAGAGGTCTCCCAGGTAGCTCTGCTGGTAGGGGAGGGGAGCATTCACCACCACTCACAGGGGATGGGCCAAAAGAACCATTCTGGCTCAGACCTGAAGACAGCAATTCCTTGTTACCACTCTATGACAGCCCCTTTCCCTCCAGTAAGCTCAGGAGTCTTTCTAGGGCATCATACCTATTATAGAAGTAACTTTTAATTTACACACATTACACACCAAAATCCTGCTGCCTTGTACAAAGTGCTTCCTACCTCTCCGGGGAGGATTTTGTATATTCGGTCTTCCTGGCATTGGTTTTATGATCACAGGTTCATCTTGACTCATTACCATCTTTTGGGACAGTTCCAGTAATCTTGAATATTGAGAAAGAATGGGCTTAAAATGGAATAGCCATCAATTCCTTACTAGATAGCAGCTAGCATTAAAACACTGTAAAAACTCTGGAGAACCCCATACCTGTGCCTCAAGTTAGCGGCTTCTCTCTTCTCCTCTGCCAAGGCCCGCTCTGCAGCACGAGCTTTGAGCTATAGGAGAGAAAGGCATTGTGGTCAGGTGTGGCAGGCTGTGCACAAAAATAAGAAAGGAAAAGCCCTTACCCAGTTATCATGAGCTTTCTTCTCATGAGTAGCGATCTGAAAAGACAACACATCAAATACAGGTTAAGGCTCTTTATAATGCCCATTTTAACATAGATTAGCTTTCAAAGACAATCTGTAACTAATATAGGCCAATATTACCTGGCTTTTAAATGATCGTTCTGTTTTCTGTAATTCTTCTTCCATTTCTTCAATTCTCCGCCTAAGAATTACACTCAGCATTATCACTTAAAACACAACTAGATAAAAATGGCAACAATCCAACAAGGTTCCCTTGACTCTGAACAACTGTAGATGTTACCACACATTAAAAAAAAGAACAAAAAAAAAAAAAAAACCCTGTTTTATATAAATTTACACAAAAGTACAGTATAATCAAAACAAACACATTGGTTTTCCTGTCATTTCATGGCTAGACATTAGATTATCATTTCCTTAATGGTCTTCAATATGTTCTCAAAAAATCCTGTGACGAATATCTGCTTCTACACAATTACACAAAGTTTTTTTTCTTCTATCAATAAAAAATTAAACAGGCTAACAACTACTGATCTATTAAATGGTACAATCACTGCAATGATTTTTGAAGTCACATAGCCAACTGTGTTCTTTAAAGAATGACTCTAAACTAGCAGTTCTCAACCTATAGGTTGAGACCCCTTTGGCAAACCTCTACCTTCAGAAACACATTATAATTCATAACAGTAGCAAAATTATAGTTTGAAGCAGCAAGGAAATAATTTTATGACTGGGGGTCACCACAACATGAGCAGCTGCATTAAAGGATGGCACCCTTAGGAAGGTTGAGAACCACTGCTCAAGTATATAAAACTCCTCCCCACTGTTACACCCACAGCCATCTGCAAGAAAAAGGGCCTCTACCACCCTTCAGTGTGCAGGCTAAATAAATTTATGTTAGCCTTTTCCATTTCTTTTTCCCTCTATGAAAGAATGAACTCATAGCCCCTCCCCACTTAGTTTCTGTGTTGTTTTCTTCTGTATAATGGTTGTAGAAAGAAAGCACAGCCCTGTGTGGGGCCCCAGCCCCTGTGCAGAACTTGAACTTACTTGTAAGTTTTTACTTCCTCTGCAGCCAAAACCACCTTTTCATCTGCAGCTGACAGCCGCTGCTCTTTGTTTTGCCGCTCATACTCCTCTTGACTCAGTTTCCTAGGATAAGCCAGTTATTAAGTGAATGTCTCTCCTTATATCAGTCACCTCTCTCTGTTCAACTGTCATTTCCTATCCTCTGTTTTTGTTTGTTTTTTGAGACAGTCTTTCTCTCTGTAGTTCTGGCTGTCCTGGAACTCATTCTGTAGAACAGGCTGGCCTTGAATGTGGAGATCTGCCTGTCTCTGCTCCCTATTCTTCTCTAATGACCCAACACATGAAGACATGCAAAGAAATTAAAACATTCCTTGACATCTAGGAAATCAAACTCGGACCTCTTGGCAAGCCAGGTGCCTATTCTAAGTGTGCCCCATTATTTCCCATGACAAGTAAATAAAGCAGTTGTAAAAAGTACTATGTCTGTGGAAAACCTGTACTGTAGATAATCCAAGTGCCTTCCCCTTCTGTGGGAATCAGCAATCAAATTCAACTAAAACAGAGGCAAAATACTGTATTTATAGGTAGGGGACAGCCTTCCTATACCGTGGGAAACAGCAGTGTAACTCAACTAAAGCAGGGGCAAATGCTTCTCTCTGCCCTGGAAAAGTATTAATTATATTTTTATATTGTCCTAGAACTATTGTATAAAAATCCAGGTGTGGAGGTACACACCTATAACCCAACAGGGGGAGGATGAGGCCGGCAGATCCAAGAAGCTCATTGGCCAGATAGCCTACTAGAAAAAATGCTCTTCTGGTCAATAAGAGATACGTCTCAAAAAATAAAGGTAGACGTCAAAGGAGGAAAAGACAGCCAACTATGACCCATGCAGAAGTGTGCACACCCACATCAAGTATATATAGTGCACACATACACAAAACCAACCCGTAACCACAAGCACAGATACACATACACACACACACACACACACACACACACACACACACACACACACACACACACACGGCAAGACAAAGACACTAAGGAAAAGACAAATCCCTGTCATTTATAAAGGGAAAAATCTGTAAATGAACTTTAGACAAGGTGGCGACTGCACAGTTGGACATCACTGGGACCCTACTTCTGCAGAGCCATCTCCTTTTGCTGGTAGAGCTCATTCAGGATCTCCACTTTCTGCTTCAGAGTTTTACACTCATCTTCCAGCTCAGCTTTAGTAGTCTGAAGCGAGTTGCAGTCATCTTCCAATTTCTTGATTTCATCTGTAAGGAATACAAAGGTTTTCTCTATAATTGCAGAGGCTGGAGACACAGGGCTGAGGGAGGCAGTTCTGGCAAGCAAGAAGCATGAATGTTGGAACCCATTTATCTTTCTAGTCAAATTTTAAATCATTCCAATACATGGCAATGTTATCTCCAGAAGAACCTACCTTCCAGGTTACATTTAGTGGTCATTGATGTGCTTAGCTTAAGCTGTAAAACTTTTAGATCCTCTTCAACTACTGAGACTGCAGTTTGTGTCTAAAAATTACAGAAGAAAGATCGAGTCTTAAAAGTGAGCCATAGGAAGGACTCCCGGATGCTTCTGGAACTACAAACAGGACAATACCCGAGAGACGTCCATCATCTCCTTAATTCTATTTTTTATCTTCTCACTTCCATCACCTACAAGAGAAAAGGCTTCAGTTGCTTTTTCTTCTTTGCTTTTTAATGACATTTCCATGACTTCCCTCAAACAATGATCATAACCAAACAGTGGAATAAAAACAAAAACCAACTAAGAGAACTGATGAACTGATTTAGTGTTGAAAATGTAGATGTACAAAGTTAACTACCAGTTTGTGCAATAAAAAAAAAAAGTCATCCTTACTCCAAGATTGAGTGCTTTCTTCTCTCAGGTCACTTACTTCCGCCAGGACAAATGTCTACCTAAGACATCCAGGCCTTTGTTCCCCCTTGAATTTGCTGCAGGGTGTGACTTAAAGCACCCAAATTGATAAGGAGCAGTTAGTATGCAACTTGGGAGACATTGGAGACAGTTCTTTATCAATTAGCATGCTGCCCTCTAGCATCCTATGATGCAACTCTAGCTTCTTACCTCACAGCCTTAAGTATGATTCCAATCACCTCAGTCCTCTGAAAACAAACTGCAGGCCTTAAGACCAGAGATACAGAGACCATTCACCAAAGGATGAGACAGTGTTTTAATACTTAGAGGCATGAGATGACTGAAACAGCTCTACTGTACATGTCAGGGTCCTTTTCATGCCTACATTACACTATACCCGAGTAACCCATCTGGTCCAACACAGACATACACATCTACAAATCCAGTGGTGTGAGCCCACAACCATAAAGCTTATGATAGCTGAAAAGCAGCCTCAATGAACTGAAATTAAGGTCAAGAGGGCAAAATAGGCCCAACCTCTCTTACCTCCTACTTCTCCATTGGCCAGCTCATCTGACTCCTTTCCTCCTTGATCCTGGCCCTCAGATTCAAGTTCACACTCTAACTGATTCACCTGTGTGATGCACTTGGTCAAAGCCTAGAAAATAAACAAATGGTGTAAAAGCCTCTTGGTTTTAAATCAGAAGCATTCATAGGATTAAGTGTGTACTCATGAGGATAAACTCACATTAATATTGCTGTCTTTGTGAGTAAGAGCTACTTCCAAGTCTTTCTGGGATTTCTCCAATGTCTTGAGTTGTTCAGTAAGCTCAGCATTCGATTTACTCCACTCCTCAATCTGCTGCTGCAACTGAAGTCAAAATGTATAAATTCCTATGGGGCAGGGGTGTGTATAGGAGACATCTGATCTATGTGAGTTGGGGGTAGGAAGCCACGTCTCTTCTTGGCATGTCACTAGGAGCTAAAATATCAGTAAAGAAAAGGTGTGAATGGTCTCAACCCTCAGAGGTGCAGGAAGAGCATTAGTGTGATCAGGAGGTTCCCCAGATGACTTCAGCCTTCAGAACACTATGCTAATTCAACTTAATTCACTCCCAGGATGAATGGCTGGGCACACCTCAGGCTCCTAAGTCCAGACTCTGATCATATAACCTCCTCTTGGTCAGTAAGGAAATAACTATTCACAGACTGGTATAAAATACTATCTCATATAAAAATAGTTCAACAAATGACTTGCATTTGACAAGATAAAGAATAAGCACCCCGAGTGCTGCCATAAATTTCACAGAAACTCATAACACACATGTTTCTACTTTTCAACCCCCAGGCTGAGTATTTCCTTTCCTTAAAATAGGTCTAAGACTACTGAGAGGACATGCTATCACCTAGTATGTGAGTTGCCTTACCTGCTCTTTCTTTTTCTTAAGCCTGGCATTTTCTTCTTGAATCCGATGGCATTCAGATTTTAGATTCTCTTCACTAAGCTTGGCTTCATTAAGGGCAATTTGAACCTAATGTGAAGCACTCCCAGTTAGTAAATAAATTTCAAAGGAAAAAGTCACATTTTCTCAACCAAATATCATGCAAATTCAATCTGTTACATGTTTTAGTACACATGAAACTTTTGCTCAACCAGACTAAGACAATGCTATTACTCTTGTGTAGGAAATATAGGCAGCCTCACCTCTGAAAGTTCTGATGCATTAATTGAAATAGCATCCTTCAACTTCTCAAGAGACTTCTGTTTTTCCAGTATCTAAAAGAAAGCAGAACACAGAGGCTCAGGTCTCAGCAGAGTCACTAGTGTACACACATGCTGTCTTAGTTTGCTCTCTATTGCTATGATAAATTGTGACCAAAAGCACCTTGTGGAGGACAGGGTTTATTTCTGCTTACAGCTTACAGTCCACCATCTGAGGAAGTCAGGTCAGGAGCCTGGAGGCAGGAACTAATGCAGAGGCCACAGAAGAACACTGCTTACTGGATTGCTTTCCATGACCCCCTCAGCCCACTTTCTTATAGTTCCTAGGACTACCAGCTCAGAGGCAGCTCTGCCTACAGGGAGCTGAGCTCTCCACAGGCCAATCTGATGAGGACATTTTCTCAACTGAACTTCTCTCTGTGTTAAGTTCACATAAAACTAGCTAACACACACATTAAAGGAAGGAACATGGATAAACATATCTCATAACAGCCTATGTTTTTGGTAAAAGTAAGGGATCCAATTTTGGCCTGGGGAGGGTCAATGTAATAATAATCCAACCATCTTAGTTATGAGATAATACAGCATCAGACCATATAAAAAGATGAAACAAAATAAAACATCTTTCAAGTAAGCCAATTCAAATTAATATCATTGTTGTCCTCCATCGCTGGCTCCTCCTAGTGGGAGAGAAAAACTTAAAAAAAAAAAAATTCTGCCTAGCCAAGCTTGCTGATGTACATTATTTAGGAGGCTTAGGCTTCCTAAAAAAAAAAAAAAACTAAGACCTGTCTTAGTTACAGACTGATGGGAGATATCACTCTGTAAGTATGTTTCTCTTATTGGTTGATGAATAAAGCACTGTTGGCCAATTGGAAAGCAAGATAGGCAGGACTAGGAGACAAGGAGAGAGGAAGTAGTAGGGAGATCCAAGATGGTGGACTGAGAGAGCACAACGCCAGCCCCTCTATCCGGTAAGATAAGACCACATGGATGTACTTTTAAAATATACGTAAGCTTGGGAGAGAAAAAGAATAAAATTGTTTTAAAAAGACAGAGAGTGGCTGGGTGTGGTGCCACATGCCTTTTAATTCCAGCACTTGAGAGGCAGAGGCAAGCAGATCTCTGTGATTTCAAAGTAAACCTGGTATATAGAGTTAATTCCAGGACAGATAAAAGTTACACAGAGAAACCCTGTCTCAAAAAATGAAAGAGAAGTAGAAGAAACAGAATAATAAAAAGCCACGTAAAGATGGAGAGAATCTGGATATTGTACAGTATTATATTGTTTTTGTATCGTTTGACTGCTGAGACAATAACAACTGTTAAAACAAATGCCGCTGGATCAATCCAATTTATATGTTTTAAAAATGCTTTGACTCCTAAATCTAAGTCTAAGGACAGGTTACTGGGGAAAAGGACTTATAATTTTGTTTCCACATAAAATTAAAAGCTGTGGATTCCTTCCAGACTAACATGGTTTGATCAAGCCAGACCCCCTGAAACAGTGTCCCAGATGATCCAACATTCAAAACAGCTGGGAAAAGACAGTCTTGCAGACCACTGCAGCCAAGATCTCTGCATCTTCTTAGGATACCCATGACAGCACCCCCTACCAGCAGGAAATAGTTTGGAAAGAACGACGCCCAAATTCCCAAATATCATTTATAAATGTTTGTTTTCATTTAAATGGGGTTGGTTATAAATGGTTAATGACCACAATTAATCTTTTTAAATGTAAAAAGGAGATTATGGTATAGAAGTGAATAGTTTGTTTTGGAATGGATTTTCATTTATTGATACAAATGTGAGGTCAATTTTTTGATATGTATATTTCTCCTCTTGTTTAGGTATTGTGTTTATATAGCTCATTTAGAAATGTAATGTATAATTTAGTACAGATTATAGTTACCTATAATAGTAAAAATTATGTTAGATTTTTACCAATAATAGTCAAAACTTATAGTAAAGTTAATTAGGATTTCTAGATATACAGAGATGTATTAGAGATGAATAGGCATTCTTCAAACCTTTCAAAGACCTACAGAATATGGCATTTAAAATGGTTTAGAGTTTTTCTTGACAATGAGGCACAACTGCTCCTGGCAACACCACCTGTGTCAGAAAGGAAAATGGACAACAAAGAAACTTGTTATGGAGTTTGCTTCCAATATGGCAAGATTAGCCATTTGGGCAAGATACTGCTCTTGTCTGGACTGTGTGACTATATGCTGTATAAACTGGACATGCAGGACCCACAGGAAAGTGACTGCTGATACAAGATACCCACAGGAAAGTGACTACTAATACAAGATGGACATTGCTGTAGGGTTCCTGCATGGAAGAAAAGTCTGCTAGACATTCTGCAGGACACAGAAAATAGTGACTGACAAACTGCCAATACAGGTGGACAGTTTAAAGTTTCCTGCTTTGCTGAGGAGTCTGCCAGACACACTATGGCCTATAGGCTGAAGATGGAACATTACAGAAGAACTTCAGGTGACTGACCAGGCAGTGAGTTGTCTCTGTCACTTCTAGAGTTTATACACTATCCTTTTGTGGTCTTTGATGGAGTTGAAGACAGATAGTCATGGTTATAGTTTTCCTTAGTTAGGATCAAAGATAAGTTACATATAGGACTTTAGACTCATAAAGATAGAATAGATGATAAAATATTTTCTTCAAATCTTGCTAAATGTTAATGGACTAAAGAACTATGGTTCTTATTTGATAACTGTTGTGTGATATATCTTGCTATGCTAAGGTTAAAACCCTTCTTTTTATTTTAGACAAAAAAGAGGAGATGATGGGAGATGTCATTCTGTAAATATATTTCTCTTATTGGTTAATGAATAAAGCACTGTTGGCCAATAGGAAAGCAAGATGGGCAGGACTAGGAGACAAGGAGGAGAGAGGAAGTAATAAGGAGGTTCCAAGATGGTGGACTGAGAGAGCAGAACGCCAGCCAGCCCCTCTCTCCAGTAAGATAAGACCACGTGGAAGTACAAATGGGTTAATAATTAAGACAGAGCTAGCCGATAAGAAACAAGTAACTGGCCCAGAGCTTTATATCTAATACAGAGTCTAATACAGTGTTATTTGGGGCTGGTGCAGCGGCGGGACCAGACAGGCTGTCAGAAAAAAACTACTGAGACTGTCTCAAAATTAAAAAATAAAAAGGGGCAGTGCTATGGCTCAACCTTAGAGTACCCACTTACACTGTATGAGACACTAAGGTCAGAATCCCAGAGTGGGGTTGGGGGGTCCACTGCCTATACTGAAAACAGTAGGATTTGGAGGAAAAGACATAAATCTCATAGAGAAGAATTCCAAAGACTTATAAAGACCCCCAGCTCCTCAAGGGGGTGGAAGATATAATTCTTCCCTCTAACTGTGAGCCATACATAATGATTTCCAAAGAATACAGTAAACAAAGAGCTAAAGAGAATAATTTAACAGAGAACTTTGGCTATTAATTCCTTAGCTAGGTGATTAGCTCAGCTGGGGTAGGATATGAGAACTATCTTCTCTGCAACTGTTATATCAAACTGAAATAAGAGTATTGAAATGTTGAAATGAGACTTAAAACAACAACAAAACCAACAACAACCAAAAAACAAAACAAAACAAAACAAAAAAAACCCCACCACCATAACAACAACAACAAAACCCACAAGATCTAAGAACCATTCAATGAGACTAGAATTTCTAGTTGCTCCACCTGTTCTGAACAGCAGAGCTAAACCACTGGCAATTACCCAGTGCTGAGAATAAAAGTGCTCTTCCTATGCCCTTAAGAATAACTCCTTGGGTTACTAGTTAAAATTCTCTAAGATAAGCCACAGTAGGTTCAACTTTCCTGACGCCTATTTTCCATTTAGTTATCAGCAAAGGGAGAGTTGGCCTCACTACAGAACCATTCAAAAGCCCAATTACACCATCAGTTAGCAGCTAAACTTACCAAGCCTTGATTCTTGGCGCTCTGTTCTCTTTGAGATTCTAACATAAGATGAAGACTTTTGACCTTGTCACCCAGAATTTTATTAGTTTCTTCAAGTTCTTTGATTTTATCCTTAACAAAAACAAAGACACTAAGATTAGTAAGAATTACTCATTCCATTCATTTTCATTTTAAGAATGTAATTCTCCCCTAAAGACATTTTTACCTTGTATTTGATAGCTTCATCAGAGAGAGTTATGTTTTGTTTCTTGGTTTCTTGACCATTTTTCTTTAATTCTTTGAGCTACATAAAACAGTGTTTAGGGTTAATAGTTGCAACTTAGAATTAACTACATATTATAATGCTTCCAAAGTCATGTCCAAGCACACAACCTCCTACAGAAAGCAACTGCTTACATCTTAGATGGCTCATAGGAAATGAAGTAAAATATGTATCTTTAAAAAAATCACAAATGGAATGTTAAGGCAGAAATATTCAAGCTGGAATGAGGGGAAGAAGTTAGAATAATTATACCTTTTTTTCATAATCTGACAATTTTTGCGTAAGTTCTACATTGTCTTTCTTCATATTCTCCAACTTCATAGCAATATGCTGCTCAGAAACTAAAAAAGAAGGGAAACCTGTAAGTTTGTGAGCCCAAGATAAAGCCAGATGCCCCAGTATATTGGCAGCAAAGGCATGTTGTCAGCTACTAAAAGGAAAACATACTTTGCATGACTGTTCTGCTCTTAAAGGCAGGGTGTAGCGATTGCAATGAGGGTATAAGAATATAAAAGTTTTGAAAAATACAGTGGAAGATTTTAGAGATACAGAATTTAAGGAAATGCCATAACTTGATTCCTTTTCAGAAAATGGGATTGCTTCAAATGTCATTTGCAAAAAGAAACTGAGAAATACAAAATACCAGTTCATTCCACCATCCTGTATGCCATCTACTCAAATAAGGATTTAATATGTTCACATGTAATAAATATGCACTGCATTGGCATTCAAAGTTGAACTGCCCACATTAAGTAATCCTGATCCCCCACTCCCTCAGTTTGCTGCTCTTAGTTGGCATCTTCATTATTCTATTGGCCAAGCTGGTGGCCTAGAAATGGTAAACTTCTAGGAGTTAATGAAGCAATCAGACATGAGAAGTCATGGCATCTCTGTCTAGCTTACAGAACACTCACATCAAATACCAATGCAAAGGGTTGAGACAAGGGAAAATGAACCTGAGAGAAGATTTACCTGCATATACTCTACTCTTAACCTAGAAGAAAAGAAATAAAATAAAATTTATTGTCAAAACCCAATTAACATATTGTTCCTAATACAGGAGTGAGAATCATAAACAAATGAGAATTTAGCAACAACTTGGTTCAGGATAATAAATCCTTAGTATTAAAACTTAAAGGCTGGGCTGGTACAATGGCTCAGCAGGCAAAGGTGCTTGTTGTTAATGCTGGCATTCTAATTCCATCCCCAGGACCTACATGGTGCAGAGAAACTGCAAGTTGTACTCTGGTCTGCACAGGTGCACCATGGTTCAAATGCATACAAATAGATAAATATATGCAACCTTAAAAAAAATTTAAAAAGACAAAGCTAAAAGACACTGCAAATGTAATTGGTGCTTATAATTCACAAATACCCTCAATAAATAAAAGTCCTCATCAGCACTGTGCTTAATAACACACATGGTTACTAGCTTAGCAATAAACGTATCAATAATTTATTTACTTGATATGATCTGATAAGTCCCAACAGCTAGAATAAACAAAAATCAATGTTCAAGAAGACAAACAAAATTAAAGGGAAAATATTTGTTTTTAGATATGCACTCACCAGAAAACATCCTAGAAATCCTATTTAAAGTTGTCTACCTGCTGAATTTAGAAATAATGTAACAGGGTTGGGGCAGTGGATAAAGCACTCACCATGCAAGTGTGAGGCCCTAACTTTGGATCCCCAGAACCCATGGGAATGACAGTACATATCTGTAACCCCAGTGCTCCTGTGAGATGGGAAGCCAGCAGCCTCCCAGATGTGGTATTGAACAATTAAAAAATAGGAAGGCTATGACCACACCAGGGGTTGGCCTTTGAGCTCCATACATGTATACTCACACATGTACACAAATATGGACACACATAAAAATTTAAAACAAACTAGGAATCTGATAGAGTATCATATGACTCCAGAGACTGCTAACAATGGTACAATGGTACTAGGACTGAAAAGGATGCTTTTCCAGAGGAAATGTACATGAGCTGGTAGCTAAAACCATCGTTCCTAGGAGGAGAGTAATGACCTCTAGATCAATAAAGCTGGTGCAGAAAGATTTACTCAATCTAATTTTTTGTTTTTTCCTGGCTAGTCTGGAACCTCTATGTAGACCAGGTTATCCATGTAGTCAGCTGCCTCTGCTTCCTAAGTACTGGGGTTATAGGTGTATGCCACACTACTTGGCCCAAATTTCTTCTTCTATTTTATTTAAATTTATTTATTTGTGTGTCCATGTGTATGGGTGCACACATGCCAGGGCATACATAAGCATATGTACACATGGAGATCTGAGGACAACTTGTGGGAGTGGGTTCTTTCCTTCAACCATGTTGGACCCTAGGATAAAATTCAGATTGTTAGTCTTGAGCCATTGTGCTGGTCCACTAAATTTCTTTGTGACTCAAAATATATTTCTCTTTTCCAATACTACTGTCTAATTTTTAAAAAATATTTATTTTATATGTATGAGTGTTTTGCTTGCATATACATATGTGCACCCCATGCTTGTCTAGTGGCTATGGGAGCCACAAGTGGGCACTAGATACCCTGGAACCAGAGTCAGACATGGTTATGAGCCACCCTATGAGTGCTGACAGTCCAACTTGGGTCCTTTGCAAGAGCAACAAGTACTAAATCATTGAGCCATCATCTTTCCCTGCCCCTCAAATGCTGCTATTTTTAAAGTAGTGATGAGATACTTAGGCCTATCCACAAGTCATCCATGGAATTTCAATCTTATCAATATAAAGTATTTGCAAATATCTTGCTATAAGAAGATGCCTTCAGGAGCTGGAGAGATGGCTCAGCGGTTAAGAGCCATCTTCCAGAGGACCTGGGTTCAATTCCCAGCACCAATATGGCAGATCAACACTGTCTGTAATGCCAGCTCTAGAAGCTAAAATGAAACAAAAAACTTCCAACACAGGAAAATGAATGACCATCTCTCTAACATTCCAGACTTGTCAATCAAAGAATAAGCTTCACTTATACCATTTCTCCCAAACTAACAAGAGCAGATAAGTAGGAAGAAGCAAAACGCAGGAATCCCAGGGAAAGCACAAGGCTCTACAGGTGAATGTGTATATCTGAAACACAAATTCTGCTCATAAAAAAAAAGGAATAAAAATGTCATAATATGTCCTTGAACAACCTATAATCTGTAACTCCAAATAAAAGGGATATTTTTGGAACACCACGGCATGTGATCAAACCAGAAAACTTGAGAAACATATAGAGATTGAAAGATGGCTCCAGGATGAGGAACACCTGCTTCTCTCATAGAAGATGGGAGTTTAGTTGATGTTTGGTGGCCCATAACCACCTACAACTCCAGCTCCAGTGATCTGACAGGGTCTTTGGGACTCCCCACCCATCCACGTTCTCGTGCACAGATGACACATGCAAATACATACAACACATAACAGGAAAAGATTGAAATGGCCTCATCTGCTAGCTGTGGGTCACTGTGGGTGTGATTGTGTGTGCAGTTTAACACCATGTTCAAGTCAGTTTGTGCTTCATCCCACTTCATAATAAGTCATCAACACTTGCTGCATCTCACTGTCTTTGTAATCAGCAAATATCCCATTATATAGATACATATTAGGTTGATGTAAGTTCCCACTCTAATAAATACTCTTCCAAGGTTACAAGATGGTCTAGCAGGTAAAGGCACCCGCTGCCTGATGATATAAGTCTGATGATGGGTTAAATCCCTGGAATCCAGGTAAAGGTAGAAGCTGAGAACCAGCTTAACAAAATTGTACTCTGACCTCTGCACACCCTCCATGGCATGTGTACAGGTACACATGCAGAACACACACATACGCACACACTCCTAATAACTAATTAAAAATAAAGACTGTCTCATTGAACATGCTTGTATAAGATCTTTAATGTATGATTGGTTATTTCTTTCAGATAGACAACTACACAAGGTATCTTACTATTTAAGAGGATAGTTATTATCCACTGACTTTGTTTTTAAAGCTTCTGATACATACTATGAAATTATTTTTAAATATGGTTTTAGGAATTCCCAGTTCTACTTACAGTGTACATGTATCTACCTAATGATTTATGTTTTTAAATCAAAATAGTTTCCTGATCAAAACTACAAATACGTTAACTTGTTCTTTTAAGCCTTTATCAATACAAAGATTTACACTAAATTACTTGACAAGGTTAGCTAGAATTATAGCCATTAGTTTGTATTCATGTTAGTAATTAAAAATAAATAAGTAAAAGGACCAGTGATTACAAAATACCCCATGTATTTTGAGTCATGTGTTGAGATGATTCGATTTACTTACAACAAGAATAGTTCTCCAGAAGAAGATTGCAAAGGAAAGAATTCCCAAGGCTGCAGTAACAATCACAGGCTTCCATGGTAGTCCATAAAAGTCAGGGCCAGGCTGAACATTAGCAGGCAATGTGGCAATCAACTGAAACAGACATGTTAGAAATAATGGTAAACCTTGAAAAATCTTACACAATATTCAGAAAGAGTCATCATAGAAATTCTAACCAGTCTCCATCAACTAAGTACTTCCCGACATGTTCAATACCTTCCACTTAAAGAAGTACAGGATAATGTCAGTCTCATTATTTGCTTGACTTGTAGTGTTTTCAAGCAGAATGCCTAAATACCTGTATGCTTGGCATGCATTTCCAGTTTCTAGTAGGCTTTGCCATATTGTGTTGTCTACATACAGTTAGAAATTCCCTGGGTCATTCTTTTAGATAAGTTGTTTTATTACTTTGAAAAGCACACAACAAGAAAGCTTTAAGTATATAACTAATCAACCTCTGTGGGTGCAAATAAATCCCCTAATATTTTACATATGGGCTCCATTTTTACATACACAAAGACAAGTGTTAAGTTCAGACAGCTCTCGATTTAGTGGCCATGCTCTCAAACATTGTCTAGGCGACTCAGTGCCTTAGCTCTAAATGTTTCCTTAAAGGCAGTATTATCACACACCTGCTCACCCTACTTTCACTGCCTGCTAATTATAATACTGGCCCCACCCCCGGCAGTGCCACAAGGAAAGGACTCCACCACCTAACACGGTGCCTGTCACCTCGACAGGACTCTGAAAACCGAGCCAGCGCCCTAAAGGGTCCCACACCGCAGCCCCGCTCGCCTCTCCGGGGCTGTCGCTCTGGGCACGCACTCTGCCCAGCATCGGTCCACCCGCCTGCCACAGCCGCGGCCCTTCCCCGGGGAGTGGGGACTGTCACCTCCAGTAGCTTGGCTATGAGGGCAGCGTAGAGCACTGACAGGGGGCCCAGCAGCTCGGGGTCCCCCGGGGAGGCGGTGACAGCAGGCACGGTGGCAGGCACCGAGTCCATCGCGTAGGGGCAGCTGCGCTGAGGCGACGCTTCCTGCCGACAGCACCGAGCCGGCTCTCACCGCTTCCGCCTCGGGAAGGACCGGCTCAGGGGGGCGGACACTCCGGGTGAACTTCGCCTTCCCAAGTCGCGGCACCTTCCGCACTGGGCCGCCAGGAAAACACGTCATCAGACAGCGCCCAGGAGCCCACGTCAGCGCACCCAGGAAGCCTGCGAGCCGGGTAGCCGGGGCAGCCGGGGCAGCCGGGGCAGCCGGGGCAGCCGGGGCGGGACTAGTGCGGGACAAACCAACCACCACGGAAGAATCCAGGAAGAAGGTGAGCGGGAAAGAGTAAGCCTAATGGTTAGCAGAACCATCGAGGAGTGAGGATGGGGAGAAAGCATCAAAGCTCTGGGCGGGAGAGTCCAAGTGAGTAATGCTGGGTAGGGGGAGAACAGATAAGCGCAGGAGAACTCGGGCGGAAGAATCCATCGAGGGAGGAGTGGGGACGAGTGCAAAGTGAGCAGAGATCCAGTGAGGGGCAATCCAGATGAAGAAGGCTCACCTGCCACAAGGGATGGGGTCAAAATAGCCTAGGAGCTATCAAGGTGGGATTATGGTTGGAGCCTGGGAAAGGAGAAAGCCACGTTTCTCTGGCCCCGCCAGAACTGGACCTGTCATGAGGTGCTAAGACACCGAAGGGACAAGTTCTGGAAGCCCAGACAAGCAAGATCAGGCATCTCTGGATCCCTTCCGAAGGGTCGTGGATCAGACTGACTTCTGGGTAATGCCTGCCCACTCCAGTCCTCCTCTTAGGGTTCCCCACTCCTGACCTTCACTTGGCTACAAACAGCCTTATGAAGGAATTCTGTCACTACCAATATCCCCATTTGGAACTCTCTCCTTTTTAAGGTTACGCGCTTTGTGGGAATGGACAAGGGTAATAAATAATCCGGAAATCATATTCTTAAAGTTGAAAGCAATGGGGATATTTAATTGGGGGGGAGACTTTGCGAATTACTAAATTTGAGTTTCAGGGTTGCAGAATAACAACAAAAAAACAAAAGACTTTGAAAGAACAATGAAAGCCCATTGTGAGAGGAGGTGGCTGGGTTTGAGCCCAGGAATACAAAGTAGAAATCTCCCCACACAGGAGGTTGATGGTTGAGGCAGTAACATTGCTGTGGGCTTGAGACCAACGTGGGCTACATGATGGGTTTAACAGGTTACAATGCAAGACCCTAGCATAGATGATGAACAGAAGTAAAGGGCTGGAGGGTGTCTCACTGCTAAGAACTCACACTACTCTTATAGAGGACTGGAGTTAGGTTCCTCACACTCTGGTGGGCAGCTCACAACTGCCTGTAACTTCAGCTCCAGGATATCCAACTCCCTCTTCTGGCCTCCACATGCAACTGCAATGATATGCTCTTAATCTCCACACAAACACAGGTGTATACAAGAATAGGGGCTGGAGAGATGGCATAGCAGTAAAGAGCTTAGCAGTAAAGAGCACTGACCACTCTTCCAGGGGACCTGGAATTCAATCCTCAGAATCAAGATGTAGTTCACAACTGTCTGTAACCTCAGTCCCTGGCGATCTGATGCCCTTTTCTGGCCTCCATGGATACCAGACTGGCACACAGTGCACAGGCATGCATGTGGTGAACAGACAAACATGCAGAAAAAAACACCCATAGACATACAAAGAAAATAAGATAGGAGTGGTGGCTCATACTAGCAATCCTGGCACATGGGAGACCAAAGCAGGAACGATGGCTACAGCTTTGAGAGTAGCCTTTGCTACAGGAGTGACATCCAGGCCAGTTCAAAATACCAGCAGCAATAGTAATGGTATTTTGGTTTCCAAATACAACAAACAAGATGGGGCAATAAGAAAAGATTAAGAAGTAAATATGTTTAAAGCTCTGACATCATAACTCTTAGAGAAAAAATAAAGTCTACAAAGTAACTGGTCTGAGACCTGTGCTTCCTCAAAAAGACTCTAAAAGACTGGACCTGTCTCCAGCATTTTTTTATTTCTATATGGCAAAATCTTAACAGAACTCCTTCCAGATTTGAAAAATGAATGTTACATTTTTGTCATCAAATGTTGATCACCTACTTAGGCTCTCTGCTTTTGTTTGAAATTTTCATGACAAACTATTAAAAAACTGGGCCATATCCTATACCATATCTGTGTGTCTGTCTCAAACCAAGAAGAGAGTCCTGTACATGCCTAGGAGTGTGAGGAAGATAGACTTCCTCACACATCTCAGCACTGACCCCTTGTGCTTCTTGAAGGATAGCATCATGAGGGTGCTTCTCACCAGAAGCATCATAACTAACGGCTCAGAACTGTCACATCTTTGCCAGGCAGCTGCCACCAGCATGAGCAACTGTGGAGAAAACAAGGTGGATTTGCTGCGCTCCATGTTTCTCATCCAGGCAGCCTCTCCTCTGAATTGCTGGGTAGTCAGCATCTTTATGCTGCCCTCTGACTATAAAAAAGAACCAGGACTTGGGAGGAGATCCCATAACATGCCAGACCCCTCCCTGGGCACGTATGTCATCCTGTCCGACCACTCAGCTGTTGCAGAAGTAGTATCTATTTGCACCTTTCAGATAAGGAAGCCGAGGTTCAGAGTTTAGTTATTTGCTATTTGTCATCTGAGAGAAAAATAGAATGGAACAGTGGTTGGTCAAGACAGAAGAGGGAGTCGGGAGGACAGAAAGGATTAAATGAGAAACAGAAAAGCACAGTGGAGTTAGTTCTGAGTTTTCTGTATCACAGTTTATGAGTTTTTTTCAAATGATTACAAGTGGACTGGAGAGGTGGCTCAGCAGGCGAAGGTGTCGGTTCCCAGAATCCACAAGGTAAAAGAGAGAGCTGACTCGTGCAGGTTGTCCTCTGACTACCTCCCATATACAGACTCGTGTGTGTGTGTGTGTGTGTGTGTGTGTGTGTGTGTGTGTTTGTATTCGTATATGTAAAAACAGCACGAGTATGTATAGAAGTGATCATTGTCCCGATTTGATCATTACATAATGTACACATCTATCAAATGTCTAGAACCCACAAACACCATAAAGATGTACAGTTCTTATTCTTCAGTTAAACAAGGTTTAGTAATTTGCACAAATGTTTAAATTGGGACTTGAAATAAGACCTCCCTAAAAACCTGTTTACAGAAAGCATCAACAGCAAAACACTATTACACAAGCCTCAAAATTACAGGCCCTACAGGAGACTCCTGTGACCAAGGTGACACTTTGCAGTTCTGGCATCACTTCGGCCTCCAGCCTCATCCAATTTACCTATAAAAATGTACAATATCCACACACACACCGCAAGGGGGAGATAAATCCTCCACACTTGGCTAAGCTATTAGGGATGGTTAAATGTCTTTCTTGGACTCCCAACTCTCTTCAGAAAGATTAGCCTGAATAAACATTTTGCCACCATAGCTCTTTCTAAGAAACAGATCTGACCAGGCACTGCCCTGTTTCAAACCTTCAAAGGGTACAGAACACTGAGTTTGACAGAACTCATAGCACACACACTGCCTTTGTCATTTGGCTCACGTCTCTCCACAGACACCATGGCTTCCCTAGTTTCCCAGCATCCCCTACTCTTCATGCTTCCCTTTCTCTGAACATGTTGTCACCTCTGTCCCTGTTGTTCCTATCACCCTTCCCTATCCATTTTATTCAACAACAAACTATACCTTATATTCCCTTTGATTCTGCTTACAACATCTCAGCTAACTCCTAACCGTTTCCTTTCTTCTCTACCAACTCTGACAAAATCTTCTCTTTCAAGTGGACGTCTCCAGGAGGTAAACCATACTTTATAATTGTGTACCTGTCCAGCCTTGCCAGGCAGTAAACTCTCATGCGCTAAACTAAGAGCTCTTAATTAAAGCCATCCACCTTCAGCTCTTCTCAGGAGTCACCTTTAGAGGTTTAGAGTTCATGAAGACATTTTAAATTCTTCATTCAAGTGAAGTCAGAGTCAACTTAAAACCTGCTATAAATCAGGCCAATGTGGCAGCCCATGGCTACATCATCAACACCTTGCAGGTATTAGTTGGAGGATTAGGAGTTCAAGGTCAGCCTCAGCTGGTGTCAATCCTCACCCATACCTCTTCCCTGCAGAACACCCCTGGATTAGTCAGCATTCTAGCTGAGGGAACTCAGACTTACCTTCTTACTTAAATAAAGAGCAGCGACATACAGGGAGCGAAGTGCTCTTCTCAGAGGTGGGATATTTGCTGGGTTCTCTGCCCTTGTCTCTGGGAGCTTTTCTGCATCATCACCAGACCCAGCAGGAGAGCCTGTTACAAGGAAAGCTAAAAGGAAGCAAAAGAAGCCATTATTTTCTTTTATGCTTTAGAATAAGAATTGTTTCTCTTCATTTAAATGTTTACTGAGTATCCTCTGAATACTAGTCATTGTGTGTAGAATGATTGAGTCTCCTAAGGGAAATTACACAGAGAAATTCAAAAGCCTTCTGTGCAGGGTGCCCCATCACGTCTCCTATCCATTCAGGGGAACTGAAAACAAACAACCCCCCCCCCAATTTTATGCTTTCTTCATATAGACAGAATTGACAGGCAGGGTTGGCAGATGCCTTTAATCTCTGCATTCAGGAAGCAAAGGCAGGAGGATTTCTGGGTTCAAAGCCAGCCTGGTCTACAGAGAGAGACCTTGTCTCAAAACAAAACAAGGACAACAAAAATCTCCACAAAAGCAAACCAACCAACAAAACAAAAAGAAAGAAAGAAAGGGGGAGGGGGAACCAACACCATCAAACAAAACCATATAGACACAAGCATATTCAGCCAACTGTGATTTGGTGTATTAGAAACTTGAGAGTTGTTAAAGGATTACTTTTGGAAGCCAACAAGATGGCTCAGTGAGTAAGAGTGCTTACTGCCACACCTAATGACCCGAGTTTGATTCCTGCAACCTACATGGCAGGAGAGATTTGACTCCTAAACATTGCCTTCTCCACACATGTACCATGGCAAATACACACACTTAATAAAAATATTAAGAAAAAGGCTTGCAGATACACTAAGGCTTAGCACAGTGGCATGTAGCAGGTACTGGTAACAGAAAGATGACAACTACATGAAATGTGAGCCATGCAAAAGAAATACTTGCAGAATAGGAGCTGGCCTAGAAATTTTGTGAAGAAGGAGGTGGGGGAAGGGCAGGCAGGGTTCCAGCTTGAGTTACATGAGCTCGGCATGTCTTGTCAGCAACTGTTAATGGAAGGCTAGACTGAACCTTCTAGGGGTCTCTCCCAACCCTTAAACTCAGTTCACTATTGATGCAGTACTGGCAATGGTGACATTTTCCCAGTTGGGTCAGCATCCTAATACTTGAAATGCATGCTATGACACTGGGAAGACTTGTCTGGGTAGCTGGCACCACGTGGGAGGATCTAAAGCAAAGCTTTAACCAGTCCTGAAGGCTTTGAGTCAAAGCAACTGCATTTCAATGGTGCCTGACTCAGTAAACAGGACCTTTCTGAATCAAAAGTAACTTGGAAATGTTACACATGACCATGATGTCCTCTGGAATAGAGCAGTCCCCTGCCGCATCATCCGGTCTTGGCTCAGCTAGACTTCTCCCTGCTGTGATGTTTCCTATATTTTGTATATTAGCTGGAGAGCAGGGAACACTACCCTAGTGACACAAAGCCCTTCATCTCTACAGACTAACACTACAGCTGTGCTTCACATACACACACTGTCCCGTGCACACCCAAAACACTGCTGGAGCTGGCAGTCAGTGGTAACACTATCTTAACATGCAGGAGGCCTTGAGTATGGTCCCCAGTACTGTGAAAAAACACCCCCCCAAAGAAATGCAGTAATAACATCCTCATAGTACTGTATTGGATGGTAGATAACACAATGAGAGCTGCTAGTAAAATGAGAGTGAGCAATACAACAATTAGGAAACCATTGAAACCATTATGGAGGATGTTAAAAAACAAAACACTTTTTTTTTTTTTATCTCCCACCAATATTTCCTGTGTGCAATTCCTGTGTATTTGCAATTACAAATGTCAGTCTCATCTGGGCTGCATTGTTTCCTAAAAGCCTACTCTCAAAAGCTATGTGGACTCCTTCACAGCATCTTAAAAAGCTGTATTTGCCCTTTGGAGGCAACAAATCAAAACAGGAACTGGATTGCTTACTGTAGCCATTCAGAGGAGTGGAAGTGTAGAGGGAGATCCAGGACTGGGAGTTGGGACTCTTACATGGTGCCTGGCGGCTCTCCTGGGGGCTGATTTCATATGGACTGCTGTCCCAGGCCAGTACTTCCTGTGCAACTGTCTAATGGAAAGCTCTGTCTTAGAGCATGTGGCTTTTGAGGGACAAGAGCTCAGGTTCACACTGAGATGATTTATAACGGCCAGGTTTGTAAGTTAATGAGGGCCCCTGGCTTCTTTCCTGGCCTCCATGCCTCTGAACTCCTGCTTCTCTGTTACTTGAGGGAAGATTTTTAAATCTTATACACACCTGGATTGTTCTTTCCTGCCTTTGCAAAGAAATAGTCTTAGCAGGCCTTCTTTACAATACATGTCTACGTTGTAGAGAATAAACTTTACCTGGATCTATGTCTTTCTCAGTATTTGGCTTTTGTGACACCTCTGAGGCACTCATGTGCCCAGTCACAGGTTGATCCAAGAAACCAGACTCCTCAGGAAGCTGCAAGTTGGTTGCAGGTTGGTCTGAGAGACCAGGCTGCCCTGGAGCCTGCAAGCTAAGATCTTCTGTGTTTTTCTGTGGTAAGTTGTCCTTCATGGGTGGCTGCAACTCTGGGGAGGAACATAGAGAGAGCTTGATCAAAGGTCCATTTTGGTTCACCCAACTGGCCAGCGCTCCCTCCCCACCCAGCCCAATGACCTAGACGTCATGTACACATGATGTACACAAGTGAAAAAGGAAGCAAGAGTTTTAACTTCTTCCCTCTAGATTAACAATGACAGAAGTACAGATTTACAAAGAAGGCTTCACTCTGCAGTGTCCATAAATGCATTCATGGAAAAGACTCCCACACAGCCACGCAGAAGAGAATTCCAGTCGAGCACAGAACCCAGAAACCATAGACAGAACATAACCTCCTTCATACCCAGGCAGCGGGGCTCACAGAGCTCATGTAGACAAGGGCAGCTTGCCAAATTCTGTCAAACTACTCCCAAACAACAAGGAGTGGGCCCATCTCCTTCCCTATGAGCCTGAGTGCATCTTTGCAGCCTATTTTACACCAAAAACTTAATTTTTTAATCTTTTTTTTTTTAAGAAAAAGATTGATCCTATTTTATGTGTATAGGTATTTTGTATTTCTGTATGTACTGTGTACATGCAGTGCCCACAGAGGCCAGAGGAGGGCATCAGATCCCCTGGATCAAAGGTATAATGGTTGTGAGCTGTCTGTCCTGTGGGGGCAGAAAACAGAACTCAGGCCCTCTGCCAGAACAGCCAGTGCTCTTAACTGCTGAGTCATCTCTCCAACCTGAACTTTCCATTCTTAACCAAAAGCTTTGATTTAAAAACAAAGTAAGCTTACTTCTTTCAATTCTCAGGGAAATTAGTACCTCCAGGAACTCTATGCCCACTACCATTCACATGCAGTGCAGCTACTTCTATTTGCAAAGCATGGATACCCAGCATGTTAAGGTGTAACTAGGGATCAGGAGCTTATGACAGGGTACCCTGGGGTCAGTTCAACACATGTGTACTTCTGTTTGTCCAGTGCTGTCAGAAAGCTCCTCATCCTGGATCCTGCCTTTGTTAACCTAACACAAGAAAACCAGGGCCCTCTGAAGCATAACTGTCCCTAAAAAGCAGGGAACAGAGGGACACCCACAAAAGATGAACATTAGGAAGAGTGAAGGAACTCACACAAGGCATCCACTCAATGAGCTGTCTTGGCCAATCCTTGTATTAAAAGCACTTAGTGTTAAGAAACTGTCCAAGACACATGCCTAGCAAGGACTCTAAAAGGATTCTAGTCCCTCAGGAAATAAGGCCAACAAGTGACAAATGAGTTTCATCAAATTAAGCAGCTCCTGCTCAGCAAAGGTAGTGATCAAGTAAAGATGCATGACAATAGAAAGAAGCCCACCCTCCCTACACATTCAGTCTAGTGCATACAAAACTCAAAGGACTAAATAATCAAACATTCAACCTCACCAAAAATCATCGTGTTAAGTGAATTAAGTCTGTCTCACTTCTGGATCTTAGGATATATATAGGTACATAATATACAAATATATATTTCATAATATACATATATACATATATGTATATATAATGAAAGTTGAAACTTATCTGTCTAGAGGAACAAAGAAGGTTAACTGGATAGGGAGGGGTGAGAAAAGGGAGGGTAGCATGGTGTAGAGAACAGACATTCTTGAAGTACATTGCATATTTGAAATGTTATGAAAGCAGTAAGCAGTACATTGCTGAATATGTGTCAGTATAAATAACTATATGAAGAAATTGTGGGTTCTTTGGGTTTTTGTTTTTTTTTTATTTTTGTTGTTGTTTTTTTTTTTTTTTTTTTTTTTTTTTTTTTTTTTTGAGACAGGGTTTCTCTGTATTGCTTTGGAGCTTGCCCTGGAACCAGCTCTTGTAGACCAGGCTGGTCTCGAACTCACAGAGATCCACCCGCCTTTGCCTCCTGAGTCCTGGGACTAAAGGCGTGCAACACCAAAGCTATACTTTGTGAATTATTTTCTTGGTTATATATTTCTCTTAATTTATAGTTTCCTTTTGACAATGAAAACCAATTTCAGCTGTCCTATGGAAGGTAAAAAACAGTATTGGGCATAGGGGGCAATCTGCATTCATGTTCAGCCTAAAAGGAAGCTAGAAGATAGGTCTAGACCCTCTCCTTTACACACATGGGAAGTGTGAGTAGAATTTTACACACAGGAAATGAAGCACTTTAGTATGACCCCCACCCCACCCCAAATACACATCCCCTCCCTACCACCTTGCTCCTGCTTTCCCAGACTAACTCCACAAGGTCATAGGCAGGTACTTCACCTTCTACTGGTCGAGCACCAACTTCCTCCTGAGGTGGAGGTGTGGCCAGTGGGGCAGTCTTCACTCCAGAGTATTGGTACCTGACAAAATAGATCAGGTCTTGTATGTCATCCAACACTGCAGCTTCTTCTAACACGCTGTTTTCTTGTGTCCCCATATATCTATTTTTATTCTCTCGAGTATCGAGCATATTCTCTGCCACACTTAGAATTCGTGACTCATGGGCACGGAAGATTTTATCTAGGACTCTTTCCACATTGTAAGGCAGGCTGTTCCGATGTGCTGATTTCAGCCTTATTGACATTTCTTGCAGCATGCCCTCCAGCTGGTGGACATCAAAGTACTTCAGGAAGCGATACAGGGACTTCCGGTCCTTGAAGAAGCTATCTATGATGGGTAAATCTTCCTTCACACTCTTGAGCACTATGTCGGGAATTTGAGGTGTAGCTTGTTGGGGTGGGTCATCCCCAAGGTCTTGAGAATCAGGCCCCTGGCTTTCTGAGCCTCCAAGCTCTTCTGGATCCTCAAGCTCCCATACTGAGATTTCTTCTCCCCCAGGAATCTTAAGCCCCAAGGTGTTGACTAGTTCCTTGGGGTTGCCTTTTTGTCGGTCATTAGGATCTTTAGTCTGAATGGCTTCCCAGAAGCCTGGAGTGTGAGTTGCCATCTTCTCATGACGGCCGTTGACTTTAGATGGCCCCTGAGCTCTCACATCTGCCAGATGACTTTCTTCTTTGTCCACCACCACACTACCTGACGCCTGGCCCACACCACCTGCCTCTTCCGATGTGGTTACACTCTGTTTTCCAATCTCCAAAATCATATTAGTTGCTTGTTTATTTTCTTCAGTATCAAGATTAAGGCTCCCCAAAATTACTTTTTCAAAAACCTGAGAATTCATATCTGACCTGTCATGAACCCCAGGGTGGTTTTCTTTAGACTGCAGTGCGCTTACAGCATTTTCATCCTCCAGTAGCCCCTCAAGGGAGTAATCGTACTCTGCTTCTGGACTTTGGATACTGGGCACTTCCAGGCTATCCACCTCCTGTGTCCCTTGTGTGGCCTGGGGCTGAGGTGGTTCCACATCTGCAAGGTCTTCCCTGCCCTCTGCTGCCTTTTGCTGCTGCCAAAAAAGATTTCTTCCCAGAGTAGGAATTTCTCTTGGAAGACCAGTTTCCTCTGGAGAGGAGAATCTAGGTTGATTCTGAAATCCCTCCCATTGGCCCACTTTTGGCCCACTGATGGAAGCGCCAGGGACTTCCATCCTGTCCTTGGATGCATCAGGCTGATTGTCTCCTAAGAGTGGCGAAGCACCCAAGGATTCCTGTTTGCTGTTATTCTCTGTCACTGGACTCCCCAGAGCTCTGTGTACCAATTCACTCTCTATGCCATCTCTGTTCTTGTCTTTGTGGAATGTTTCCTTTGAGATATGGATAACGGGTCCTTCTAGGCCATTTTCTTTTCTTTCAAAGACTGCTTTTAATGTAAATTCCTTGGCCCTTTCAGCAGCTGGCAGAGGGTTAAGCTTGCTGCTCTCAGGTTGATAAGCACTCAATGTTTCTGATTCGGATTCATGGTGGGCCAGGCCTCTCCTGGATTCCTGGATCACCTTTTCTTCTCCTGTTATGACAAGTTCGGGGTCTTCATCCTCAGGGTCCATATAGCCAGGTGTTGACTGTGGCTTCCGCTGATGGCTGGCTGAAACCAACACATCCTCCCTCTTGTCTTCCTCTGTGTTAGAACTCTCTAAATCCACCACACCTTGTTTTCCTTCATCTCCTGTGACAACAGAGAAGAAAGTATCCCCCCAGGTTGCCAGTATATCTTTATTGTCATTTTGGGTGCCAGGAGGCAGAGGGGGTTCAACTTTATCCTCTTTACTCAAGTTCGGATTTTCATCTAGTGAATATTTCTCCATTCCAGGCTTCCTGGGAACATTCTCATCTTCTTCATCAGTAAAGGATAGTAATGGTAGCTCATCAAAGCTGTCTGCATTCTCCTCTTCATTCTCCACTGGGTAATATTCAGCACCTGGTTCTTCATCCAAATCATCTTCTAAAGAAGTGACCAGTCTGGTTGCCTCATCGTCAGATACCAGTGCATCAGTGGTTGAGCCAAACTTGGTTTTCAAGTCAATAGTCGTTTCTGTTTCCAGGACGTTGTAAGTATCTATCATCTCCTGTTCCACCGAGACGGGAGAGCTGTTATTGGTTCTCTTTTCACTTCCTGGCACTTTTAATTTATCATGCAGCATTTCTTCAAAATTGTCCAGTGGAGACTGCACTCCCTGAGCGTTATCCACCGCACTATTGGCGTGAGGGTGGCTCTCCTGGGCCGAGGACTGTTCCTGCAGTTCCTCAATGCTCTCCAAGAACACTCCTTCTCGTTCCCCTGAGTCCACTTTGGCTGGCTCAGGCTCAGGTACAGGGTCAAGTTCAGACTTCTGAGTCCCTTCAGGAGATTTCACACCATACTGAGAAACTTCTTCAACTTCCTCAGACTCCTCAGGTGCAGAGTCCTGCAGTTCCAAAGAACCTAAAAGTTCTTCTACATTATAATTATGAAAATCATCTCTTCCTCCTTCAAAACAGACAAAATCTGTCTCCTGTATGGAAAGAAAACAAAAACATTCGTGTCTCAACAATCAAGTGTCCCAAGAATATCCTTTTACCAGTGACAGGGAAAACTCCAAGTTTGTGCCTGTTCTAGAGCTAGTGTTGGGCCAGTACAGGGACATTAGATGGGAGCCCACTTTCTTTCTCTCCTCCTCAGGAGAAGACTGACTCATGTAGCTAGTGAGTTTGCTTGGCTCCATTCCTGGTTTCTGTTTGGAAAATAATCTGTTCCCCCATGCTGTCAGTTTTATGGGGACAGTTGGAGGCTCCCAGTTAGCTGGTAAATCTCTTATTCTACACTAAAATTATTTCTGCACTTTTCAAAAACTGTGTCATATTCTCTAAAAAGCATAGTGAGTAAACAAATGGTGACATGTTATTCTCCCTCTGCGTGACTTCTGCATTTCTCAGTTTGTTCTGAACACTTGGTGATGAGTTATATTGTCAGCTTGACAACATTTATAACTGCCTGGGAGACAAGCCTCTGGGCATAGCTGCTAAGAGTTTCTAGACCCAGCTAACTGTCAAGGGAAAGCCCACCTTGCATTCGGACAGCACCATTTCCTGGGCTGAGGTCCTGGATGATATAAGAAGGAGAAAGCAACCTTAACATCAGGATTCATCTCTCCCAGATTCTGAAGCACAGATACAAGCAGCCACCTTGAGCTCCTGCAGACAAGGCTCTCTGCAGGGATGAACTCTACTTTCAAACTGTGAGCCAAAATAAGCCCTTCTTTCTTGAAGCTGCATTTGTCAAGTCCCCCCTGCCATTTCTATGCCTCATGGCCTGGATGCTCAACTGGGGAGCCGCAGGACCATCGAGCTTCTCTACCCCAAGTCCTCTATGCCTTATGTCTCTGCCTGGCTAGCTAGAGACTAGCAGAAATCCCTGGCTGTCATGGCCTAAGTCTAAATGGATTTTTAGAACATATTTTCCTTGGATTTGGAAATACTTATGAACTTGAAAAGTATCTCACTGACAGAGAGGCACATAGAGAGTGAGAATTCAAAGCAGCACCTAAGACCATCAGAAAACACAGATACTTACGATTCATAACAGTAGCAAAATTACTGTTATGAAATATCAATGAAAATAATTTTATGGTCGGGAGTCACCACAGCATGAGGAACTGTGTTAAAGGGTCACAGCATAGGAAGATTGAAAGCCAGTGCCTTAGCAGGATGAAAAATGGTGTCAGACAGGATCTCCACTTTGATTATTACTGGAGCAACAACTTGAAAACAAGGTTCAGTTCTGTAAGACTTCTCTGCAGGGATTGATATCTGCTTTTAAGACTATTCGTAAATCTTTTTTCTTTTTCCCACAAGTAAGTAATTTGTGGGAAATCATACAATGAGTAGAAAGGCAAAAGAGCAACTAAGATAATTGTTGCCCCCAACCAAACTTTCACAATATTCTGGAGAGACCTGTCCAGTGCAGAAGGGGTTAATGACTTTTTTTTATCATCGCATACATTTCTGAGCTATTTTCTTAATGTCAACAGAAGGGTGTCATGGGAAGTATAATGAGAACACAGAATCCAAAACAGGTGAGGTCTCAGGGCTGATGAACATCTCCCATCCTGCATAGTCTTTGTCAACAGAGAAGCCCAATGGGTATTACAATACCAATGCCCTGAGAGCATGAAGGACTATAAAGAACAGTAACAGCTCTGTGACACTGGCCACTTCCTCATGAACTACCCTACATCAGCAGCTTTGTGTTCTGCAGGCTTGAAACCCAACCTCACGTGGAGCCCTCAGCATCGCTTTCCCAGTCTGTGGCATCAGTGTTAAATAAGTGTAAGAACAGGTCTGTACACAATTTAGAATTTGATTAACTGATCCTGATTTCTATGTATATAAAATGTTTAGTACCCACTGAGTAATTTTCAAATTGGGACACTTCTTTTTGCTTGTAAAATAAAATTATTTACCTCTTTGATAACTAAGTACAAGGATTTTTTTCTTCTTCTTTTTTGGTCTTTTGAGACAAGGTCTTGAATAGTTCAGGCTGGCCCTGATCCTGCTCCCAAATACTAGGATAATAAGTGAGCATCATCACACTTCGCTAATGTATTAAATCCTTAACTTCCACATGAAGAGAGAGAGAGAGAAAAAGAGAGAGAAGCCCTGTAATCAGTCTACAGCCTCCTGTAAGAAACTTTAGTATATTAAACTATTCTCAGACTATATAATCTCCTACAAATGCCTACAAATGTTCTTCTTTTTCAGTTAGTCTGATTCCAAATTAAAATCTGATATACAAATGTTGTGTTGTTTTCCCCTGTCCAAAACATATTCACCGACTTTAAAAGAGTTAATTGCACCTTATAAGAGCTGTAAGGGAAAATGCAATGTCTTGCCTAAAACTGTCTTTAGCTGGCACTACCAACACCACCACAAGTTTTAATTGATTACAGCTGAACCTACAAGCCCATTTGTAACTGAGAACAACTTACATCCGCTGGAATGTATAGCTCCTCTGCCGTGTATTTGTAAAGTACCTTGATCAAATCTTTTGGAAAGTATCCAAAGACTCGTCCAACCTATGTGGAAAAAAAAAGAAGGGCAAAAGGGACAAATACCAATTAAGTTCTTACAAGAAATCAAAGGAGGGTTTTAGCAGTGACAGGAATTACATAGACAAGACAGGCCAAGAGAAATAGATGTTTGCTGCTAACAATGCCACTGCAATGATTGTGCCAATGACAATTAGTGTTGTTAAACCAACAGTTCTCCAAGGCACACTCAGCACAAAGCCTTACAGTAACTAGAGTTCTGTGAAGGGAAGCTTCCTCTAAACTGTATGGCTCAGACTTGGCACACCAAAGCCAACTAGAAACACACTTCCAAGTGATCTCTGGCAAGAATTTACATGAGCACTTGATAGCATTGCTCATGAACCACTTCTTACAAGCCCCCATAAACCAATTCACAGTACCCATGGAAATAAACAGAAGCCAACAAGACTTCTGAAATGTATGCCGCTACAACAAATAATGTCTGTTGATACCATATGCTATGGTAGCTTTTTCCAAAAACAGTATTTAGAAGTATTTGGGGTATTAAATAAAATTATGATGTAATACATACTTACCTACCTCTCAGGTTTCAGTTCCATATAAAATAAATCTACAGAAAACAATCCCAGTCTTTCCCAGACGCGAAGTTAAGATATATTGAATGTGCATACAGTGTATAAAAGCTCCATTTGAGAAACTGTCCTTCACTAGCCACAGTCTAAAAGGAAGCAAGGACCTATTCCCAACCAATAAAGTAGACTGACAGATGGACAGACAGGCAAGTCAGGGGCACAATAAGAAGAAAGGCCACCTTATCTCTAGTTCTAAAATATCACCATTCAACAGTGTTCTTGATTTATCTGGGAAGCATCTGGAGACAGTGTTAGTAATAGAATAAAACCCCGAAGATTAGATAAGATTTGGGGCATGAAAAGCTACAAGACTGGCAGATAAATCCTGAAACTCTAGGAAACCAAAAAGGACTGTCGGATGAGAATTAGGATATTTAAAAAAAGTCATCTGAAAGCTAGGGAGACATTTTAATTCCATACATGGTGAGGTTCATGAAATGAGAGGGAAGACTGAGCAGAAATACATGTTTCCCTTCTGCAGGAATTCAATGCTATAGAGGTTGAGCTAGAAAAGTAAAAGAATCCAGAGATGTGTGAAAAAGAAACGGGAAGTTCCTTCTCGATCTGTCAGTCCCTCTCTGCAGTCTCTAGGAATCACAGGCCTCACAGAAGTAATTCTTATGTCTAAGTTTGCTTCTGTGCAGCATCCCTGCCAAAGTATTGCTGATTTGATATGGGGGTGGGGAGCACAGAGTCTGCCTCAGGAAGGCCAATTCTGCCTGAGCTACTAAGAGAGTAAATGTAATTAAGTGCTACAGTGCCCTGTTAGGAAATATTCAGAAATGAAGGTAGATAAGACACCTGGCTTTTGACTTGATAGTGAGCTGGAACACCAGCTGGCTGACAAGCACAGTAGTAAAATGACTGTGACAGGAGCAGGGCAAACAGAGTCCCACCCAAGTACATATCTACCAGCAAAGATCACCAGGCTGGATGCTAAAGCAGGGTTCCTTAGGGAGACAAAGCGAAGGCTGGGCTGCAGGATGCTTGCCGATGATGTAGAAAATCTTGGTTTGATCTGAAGCATTATACAAATGGGGCACACCAGTAATCTCAGCACTGGGGAGGCAAAGGCAGGAGGATCAGAAGCTTAAGGCTAGCCTAGATACATGAGACCCTGCCATTAATGGAAAGGAAGGGAGGAAGGAAGGAAGCAGAATAAGAGCTGTGAAGTAGACAGAACAGAATGTCTAGAGGTGAAAAGTCTAACAGGCTAAAGGAAAACAAAGCCAGTTTATTTATCCAAAAGCCCAAAGGCGAAGACGATAGAAGGGTCCTAACCAGTGTGTGATCAAATGGCTGGCACGCAGGTTCTGGGGAAGAGCTCCAGAGTGGAGACTTATCAAGACACCACTGGAGACACGAGAAAAGAGCACAGATACTTCCTCATATACGTGCTGCTGCTGGGATGCTATAGAAATAAAAGGGCTGTGCCCCACTACTCGATGCTTTAAAAAATCCCCCAGGGAAGCTGAAAAAAAGATTTTTCTCTCTAGGGGACTACTAGAACCTTCTTCTGTGTTGGTTATTTTGTGTTTCACTGAGAGTGAACACTTAGCATGGTTGGGAGTAGGGGTGTTTCTAAGGTGGAACAGTCCCACGGGTCATCACAGACCCTTTAGTCAACAACCTTCCATGTATCAGTGCTCTTCAAAGGGAAAGACAGCTCTCATGCTTTTCAGCCAGGTCACTGCTGGAGAGTCTCCTTCTTAAATATACCAGAGCATGATGGGTACAGTCATTATCTGCCATACCTGATACCAAGAGGCCCAAAGAGTGTAGGGAACGAAGTCCCAGGGGAAACTTCCAGGCACAAAGAAAAGCAAGGAAAAGATTCCTTAGAAGTAACAAACAAAACAAAAAAGGATGCATGCAATGAACACAGTATTTCCCCTTTTGTTTATGCCTGCCTACATATGTATATGTGTATGTTCATGTATGTGCAGGTCTGTATATGTACAGTATGTATGTGTGCCCAAGCATGTGCATGTGTGTGTGTGTGTGTGTGTGTGTGTGTGTGTGTGTGCCAGAGTGTGCGAATGTGCAGTTGAGTATGTGTATGTGTGTATGGGGATGTGTAATTGTGAAGGTCAGAGATTGTCATTCCTCAAGTGCTGTCTGCCTTTTTGGTTTTTTGGTTGGTTGGTTGGTTTTTGTGTTTTGAGATAAGGTTTCACTATGTAGGCCAGGCTGGCCTTAAAATCACAAAGGTCTGCCTGCTTCAGCCTCACTCACATCTCACCTTGTGTTTTTCACTCTTCAGGTAGGTGAGGCTGGTCAGTCTATGCATCCTAGAGACCCACCTATCCAGCACCTCCTGGACTTGTCATTATAAGCTCACCCATGAAGCTTGGCTTTTTAAATTAGGTTCTGGGATCAAATTCAGATCCTGGCTGAGATATCTCCCTATCCCTGTTTCAGCTTTTTGGCTTTTTTTTTTTTTAAAACAGAGAAAAGTCACACAAACTTTAGTCCTACACAACTTAAATGCTATCTTGCATATAGCTTATAAGATTGAGTCTAATGACCACAAATATTTCTTAAGGCAGTGAACTTTTAAGATTTCCAGGTCTTTGCCATTCTGACTTATATGATATGACCAGCTTCCTAAATAATAGCTTTGGGGCAACAGCCAGAACCACTTCAGTTCTGTTTCAGAAACCTCTGTTTTGCCCCTACTATATGTCAGGCCTGAGGCCTGCTAGGACCATAGAGCTGCCTTCTGTTTACAGTCTAGGAAAGACACTATCAGTAGCATTTAAATCTGCAGTGCTACAAAATTCAACAAAAATAAGGAAATAAAGTTTTTCATTGTTTTACTTACACTTCCAGCCCAAACTTCAGGGAATTCCCCAGCAAGTTTGTAGTAGACATACACATGGTCGCCTTTTTTAAAATTCACAAAACGACAGTCAGGGCCTGTAAAGTCTGCAAGAGCTTCACCATGGTACATTAACACTGTATTCAGAAATGGAAAGTAACAAAACAAGACAACGTTAGGATTTGACTTTTCACAGCCTCCCATACTTTTTTTTTTTTTTTTTTTTTTTTTTTTTTAAGACAGGGTTGAATGTATCCCAAGCTGGACTTAAACTTTTAAACTTTTTTGGTAGCCAAGGATGGCCCAGAACTCCCGATCCTCCTGCTTGACCTCTCCAGTGCTGGGATTGCTGGCACATGCCAGAGCTCAAAGCCAGGATTTTGTGCATGTGAGGCCTTAGAAATTTTTCAGGAAGTGTTAAGAATCCCATTGCAAACAATAATCAGGCTTGCCCAGTACTCTTCTGGAATTGATTTCAGTTCTCATGCCCCGAGTGTCTAAACCCCTAGAGCTTCATTGCTCTAAGTCACATCATCTGCTATAATCAGACGAAGGAGTTTGTACTTTTCTCTCTGGCTGTCTGAGAAACCAAAAACAACGTGTTGGTCCCCACAGATGGCTGCTCTAAGAGTCAACCCTTTGTTTCCCTCTTGAATCTTCTAGCATCCACTACTGGCTTCTGCTGTTTCATAATCATGAAAGGCTTCATTTTGTGGATGTGTAATAGCAGGTACAGGTGCTGACTGGTTTAAACATAGCTAACTATGGGGATAACAGGGAGCCAGAAAGAACTCCTAGGAACCCCCAAGGGGTCAATTAACCTGAACCAACCACTAACAGGCGCTACCTGTAAAAGGTTGCAACTGCCCCTGTGCAGCAGTAAACACTGTCAATGTCATTTGTGGATAAGTTGTCTCTGCTCGGTATCTGGATGAATTAACAAGAAGGCATGTTATCACACACTATTAGGAAGCCAATCAATCACAAGGCAATGTTTTCTAAGCAAATAACGTTGATGTGTCAGCATTAAGGTTTTTAGCCAGGCCTGGTGGTATAGACCTGTAATTCCAGTATTTAGGAGGCTGAGATAGAAGGATAAGCTCAAGGCCTGACTGCAGTAGAGAGGGAATTAGACGCCAGCCTAGGTAACTTAGTATGAAGATGACTATAGCTGTAACTCAATATTAGAATGCCTGCATGGTGTAGACAGGGCCCTGGGTTCAGTCCCCCAATATTGCACAAAAACAAACAAACCAAAAAAACCCACAAATTGGCAAACCCAAAAAAGCTTTCAAACCATTTTTTCTAGAATCAAAATCAAAGATGGTCCAAACAAAACTATGAGACTAGGTTAGAAGTTATTTTGTCGCTTAAAATGCAGAACTATGGCCAGACATGGTGGTAGATAGCTTCAATCCCAGCACTGAAGAGAAAGAGGCAGGTAAGATCCTGTGAGTTCCAGGCCAGCCAGGGCTACATAGTGAGACCCTGTCCCAAACAAATAAATATAAATACAGACCTTCAGCCACTAGAAATATTAATTACTATTTGTTTGGTTGGTTTTTTTTGTTGTTGTTGTTGGTGGTGGTGGTGGTTGTTTGTTTTTCAAGACAGGGTTTCTCTGTGTAGTTTTGTAGACCAGGCTGTCCTTGAACTCACAGAGATCCACCTGCCTTTGCCTCCCGAGTGCTGGGATTAAAGGCATGCACCACCACTGACAGGTGAAGCAGTATTTTTTTTAAGAACTATTTTTGTGTGCATTGGTGTTTTGCCTGCTTACATGTCTGTGTAAGGGTGTCAGCTCTCCTGGAACTGGAATTACAGACAGTTGTGAGCTGCCATGTGGGTGATGGGAATTGAACCTCGGTCCTCTAGGAGAGCAGCCAGTGCTGTCAACTCCTGAGCCATCTCTCCAGCCCAGAAGCAGTATTTTGTCAAATGAAATTAACTGTGCATTAAAGGTCAGAGGCATGGAAGTGATGGAAATTGCACTTTGTCCAAAAAGCCAATTAGCAATAGTATACAAACACGTTTTAAAATACATATTCCAGGGACAAGCATACAGATTTGGAGGGTATAACTGGGTGTTGGTTTTTAAAGCCAGATGGAACTGAGCAAGAAGTCAGACTGAAGAGACTTGGGGCTAGAAATTCTACTCCAATTGGAACAGCACTGTTTCTGGTACCCTCCTTAGACTCTTGGTGATGTATGGTAATATGTCAAGGACAGCCTATGTCTTTATATATTGCTTATTATTTATGAATGACATACACATTGTGTGACACCTTTCCTGACACCTCCCACAACTAAGCACTCCCTACCAGGCAACACAGACCTGGGCTGTGCTTCTGCCATTGCCTGTTGTGTCTGGTTACATTTGTCTGGGCACGGGCCACTTCTCAAGCTATATTCCAGCCTGGAACTCTTCCAATGACAAGTCCCAGTGCTAAAGCAGCACCTGTGATACTGTCCTCCTGAGTTCTGATGGACTTGGGTGAGACAATGTTTAATGGCAAAAAACAGAAAACACTTGGCAATATTCAATGGCAAAGTGGCAAACGCTGCTTTGTTAATAGAAAAATGAAAGGGAAAATTCACAATGGTGGCTCCATCTTTATTTACAGGGTTTATTTACACTGGCCCTGGGCTACCTTCTAGGACCTAGAATCTGGGTGATATCAACTGCAGGTACCCACTTTGTTTTTCCTTTAATGGTATTGATGCAAATACTTTAATGGAATTATGCAATTTGTTTTTTTTTCATAAAGCCAACTGGACTATAAATGGCTAACATGCAGTTGTCTTACACTTTTAGGAGGAATAATTTTCTATATGTGCTGCTTGTGGTTTATGAAGGACATCGATAGTTTGTTACATGGTTGTTGAAAACCAAACTGGAAACCTTATGAATTATTCTGGGCAGGAATGGGTTCCAGCAGCATAAGGAACTAAGGAAAAGGCTGGACTGACTCCTGAGACCTCTGGGGTATTTATTATCACCATTATAGCAATAAACGCATTCTAATCCTAACCTTCCCCACGGCCCACCTCCAACCCCAGGCACCTCCAACCTAGGACCAGGGCGCAACTGCGCACACAGGAGAAAGCTGCGGTTCTCAGGTGGTGACAGGTGCGCTCCTTGTCCTCTTTTAAGAGCAAAACATTTTGACCTTCCCGCAGTCCTACTTGGCAACTGGCAGGACGCTTCTATGCAAGAGACAGGACCGAGGCAGAGAACCGGGGAGACCTCGGAATATACTACGTTCCTGGCTTCGGGGCTCATCCCAAACCTAAACTCCAGTTCCTCCTGTTCTAAAGGTGATGCGAGCTAGTTCCAATGCAGCAGGGAGGGCGAAGAGGCAGCACCGGGGTGCCTTCTGAAGGAACCCCGCTGTCAATCAGTCACTGGGATTGCACCCCAGATCCCTAAGCGAGTGGATCTCGGTCTTCCATGGACCCAGGACCTTTGGCTGCACCACCGAGCGTTCAGGATGCGGGGGCGCGCCACCCCATCACTCCAGGAGCCCAGGCGGAGATCGGGGACCGGGAAGCAGGGAGTTGACTCCGGGAAACACGGCTGGGTCTGCGGCACCCCCCAACCAGGTCAGAGCAGCAGGGAGCAAACCCCGGCAACAAGTGGCAGGCGTGGCCCCCACGGCAGGGCCACCAAGGCGATCGCCGAGCAGAGTGTACCGGCGTGGGCTCCGCGGGCCTGAGACCCCCTAGGCCAGGTGCGAGCTGTGGGACTTCCACCCGCGTGGCCATCGCGGCCACCCGGGAACCCGACCCCCTCCCCACCACCCCACACTCACTGCTGCACTCTTCGTCAGCGCACACTTTGAAGTCCGAGAAGCGCCGACTGGTGCTGGATTCCGGCTGCCCGGGGCCCCACCAGTGCGGCCCGAGCAGAAGCAGCCAGAGGAGCAGCCCCGGCGGCGCAGCCATGTTGTGGCCACCGCGGGCGCGGGTGACGCGGAGGCCGCTGGCGGGCGGGGGCGGGGGCGGGGCAGGAGCAGGCGGAGCCGGGGGAGGCGCCCGGGAGGCTGGAAGCGACACGTCAGCAGGGGCTGAGCGCCGCCTAATGCTGAATGACTTGGAGGCGGCAGTGGCGTCCCTCCCGTACTGCTGCCTTGGCAACCGTCACCAGGATCTTCCCCTCGCCCAATCGCCGGCTTCGGTACCGCCACCCTCACAAACGACCCTCCGCGTCACCCGGTTCGTCACTTCGCGTCTCTGCGCCATTCCAACAGCTTCGAATTTCTGGTCCATGCTAAACACTTCTTCCCTCTTCCCTCTTCATCACTTCTTCCGACTACCGTTCTTAGTTTTGAACCACCGAGTCCCACACACACAGGACTGGCCACAATAAACAACTAATGCATGCACAGCCCCCGCCCCGGTATACGCTCACTTCAGACTCCACGGGGTTGTTTGGGGCCCCATCACATGATCCTCTTATGTTTTAGTGGGACAGTGGATGAGACGGTAAATTAGAAAGTGGCATCCTTTAAGGTGAGAGTTAGTGGGCAGTGATCTTCTGCCCAAGATCCCGAGATTCCTGTCTCTGTCCGTAATGGAAGAAGTCATTTAGTCTTACACGGGTTGTATTTCCAAGTCTCACTATCTGCTTTGCCAACACTGTAGGCCAGACCAGCTTCTTAGCTCACGAATGGCCCTCCTGTGACCAATGGCTACAGTAGCCAGGGTTCCTCTCCTCAAACCTTCCCACAACTCCGCATTTCCACGTAACGTGCAAAGGCTTTACCACAAACCACACTGCCTCTCTTGTCTTTTGCTGGCATCCGTCCCAACATCTGTTAGGCTCACTCAAACACAGCTAGCCCACTCCTTCCTTGGTGTATTTATGCTTGCACTTACTTTCTCCCTCCCTACAATAATTTCTCACATAGTCCCCCCCCCCCAGGTACCTCTTACTCCATCCTGCCTCTGTAACAGTGCATTATCATACATGAGACTTCCCCTGATGCCCCTGCCCCACCTCAGCTCACCCTAGCCCCCCACAGAGAAACCTTCCCAGGACAGTTAAGCTCATCACCTTGCTTAATTTTCTTTAGTGCGTTTACCACATACCTCATGTTTGTTTCTCTTATTTGACTGTCCACGACCCAACACCAAATGGCTCCCATGGAGCCGGAAGATTTATTTATTTATTTTGTATGTGTGTGGTGTTGGAGATAGGGCATGCTCAGCAAGAGCTACCTACACACAAGCTCTAGTTTGTTTTCTTCGTTCCTATTAGGTACCTAGTGAAATGTATGCAACATTAGCCAGGCAGGAAGTATAGGCGGGGAGCAGTTACCAGAGAGAGATACCATGTAGCCATCAAAGGAGTAACAACATGCTGGAGCATTATGGGTAAGCCACAGTCTCGTGGCAATACATAGTTTAATAGAAATGGATTAAAAATTAAGAGAGAGCTAGCCAATAAGAAGCCTGAGCCATCAGCCAAATAATTTATAATCAATGCCTCTGTGTGTTTATTTGGGTCTAAATGGCTGCAGGACCAGGTGAGACAGAAACTGTCTTCAGATGGCGCCCAGAATGGATACTGGCTAATCATCATTTATTCATCAACCAATAAGAAACATATTTACAGCATACAGGAGGACACCACCCCCATCATCTAACAAAGGGGAAGATAACTTCTAGCCTATTTTGCTTCTTTTTTTTTTTAATCTTTTATTGGAGTCATTGGCAGAATAACCTAAACCACTTCCTTAATCATCTTTATGTACTGTCTTAACCACCTGTATCTTTTAGGTTAACTCTGAAGGTCCAGTTAAATCATAATCTAACTAGTCATAATTGCTCTTATAAAAATCAGCTTCATATCTTGGCAGTGGTACACTCTTTTAATCCTAGCACTCAGGAAGTAGGTGGATCTCTGTGAATTCAAGGCCAGCCTGGTCTACAGAGTAAGTTCCAGGACAAGCTCCAAAGCTACACAGAGAAACCCTCAGGGGAAAAAACAAAAAACAAAAAACTTTATGATCTCCAAGTAAATTGCCCAGTGAGGAGTGGGATTTTCCCAAGAAACCATCACACTATACCAGTGGGACCCTTTCATGTAGTAACCACACCAGGCCAGATACAGCAGGAGCAGGGCAGTAGGAAGCAGGAGGAAGCAGAGAAGAAGCCAAGGGCTTTCTGGGAGTGATTCTCTCGGGACTTTGTTTCTCGGGGATGCACCAAGCATAGTTTTGCTGTCCACTGGGCTATGTTCCATAAGCTCCATTGGTGTCTGCAGCTCCTCTGACATGGCCACTGGCAAAAAAAAAAGTTTGTGAGTTTAGGTTTGGCCAAAAAAGAAATTGAAATTATAAAATGCACTAACTCTGAAAGACATGGGTCAGTACATTGGATTTAATCAAAATGGAAATTTCTACTCTGACTTCTGTATTCAGTGAATGGAAATGCAAGGGTAAATCAAACAGGAGAAAGTGTTTGTAAAGCATGTCTATAAAGGAATTAGGGCTCTCTCCCAACTGAATCCTCTCCCAGCCAATTAGAAAAGTGAGCAAAACCAATGTATATACAGCAGCTATACACAAAGAAGGTACCCAGCAGTGTAAACCACTGGTGAGATGCATCGCTAAGTCACATGCTTACACATACACTGGAGTGGTACAATTAAAAGGTTTGATGATGACAAGTGTTGACAAAGATGGAGACAGAAGTCTCATTGAGCTGCTAACTAGAAAGTGAATGGTGCAACCAACAGTATGAGCTATCAGAAACCAGCTTGGAGATTTCTTTGGATATAAAACACACCAACTACCAATCATTCTTTACTACAGAGAAAGGAAGCAAAAGGTTTGTACACAAATGGTCTTGGTGACTTTGCTTGAAGCAGTAAAAACAAGCAAAACAAACAAAACCACAAGCAAACATGTTCATCAGTTAACAATTAGGTGACATATTTTTGGAAAGTGACTGAAAAAAATGATGGGTTACTGAGACTAGCAGTACAGGACATGTGGAGTACAATAAGCTAGACAAAATACCTACCTCAAACTTCTACTTACATGAAGTGCTACAGAATTCAGCAGCTCAATAGTTGGCTGGTAGCAGGGCAGGAAGGTCAGGTGTAGTAGTTTGAAGGAGACATGTCCCCCATAGGCTCGTGTATATGAACACTTGGTCACCACCAGCTGGTGGCACTGTTTCAGGAGGTTTTGGAACCTTTAGGTGCAGCCTGGCTGGAGGAAGCATGTCCATGAGGGTGGGATTTGAAAGTTTATAGCTTCCTAACTACTACTAGTTTGTTATCTATGTCCTGGGTGTCATTGTGATAATGAACAGCTTCCTGCCCCAGCTACCATAGCCTTGCCTTCCCTCTACTACAAACTCCCACTCTGGAAGTGCAAGCTAGGGTAAACTCATTCTTGGATGAATTGCTTTTTGTCACCACAACAAGTAGTAACGAATATACTAGATAAGGAAGGGGTGGGTGCAAGGAGATAGGGAGGTGTGTCTCCCTTTCCATGGTGTGCTGATTCCATCTATGACTATCTAGACATACATAAGTAAACAATTCAAATTAAATACAATTGATACCTAAATAACATTGGAAATAATCAGATAGGGGAAATGCATACTATTAAATAGAAATAGTCACATTCATTTCTATTTCTATAAGTTGGACCAACTCTGTGGAAATCTGTTACAAAGACAAAATTCAAATAAAATGTAGTTCAGGGTGGTGGCTCGTGACCATGATTCCCACAATCAGGAGTCAGAGGCAGAAGGATTGCTGTGAATTTGAGGGTAACCTGAACTACATAGGGCTGCATATCAAAGCCCTGTCATAAAACAAAACAAAAGCTACTATCTTTAGAAGTCTGAGTTATATTCTACTGGAAAAAAAAAACCCTACAAACTACAGTGTAAAAATACAGTTGAAAAGGGAAGTGTCTCTTCACTGAGTCTTACAAATGGTTTCTCATAAGCCTTTCAAACTGACCAGTTTGTACTATGAGGAAACCTACACTTCTAACATGAAAAAATGTCCACATTGAGGTGCTTCTTGCCCTGCAGTCACCAACCAGTGTAAGCCACTTTGTTGCCCAGTGAAAAAGATTCACATGTCTTCCTAGCAGGAGAATGTGTAAAAAAAAAAAGAATAGCCTCTTTTATATTAAATGCAACACACATTCTCTGCAGGGACCCTGGATTAATTCTCAAGCCCAAGTCTTCAGATAGCACAGTTTAGGGGGACAAAGCAAAAAGGCATTGGTGTGAGAACTGACTGAAACAGACCTTCACTGAAGGGGCGTTGGGTTGTTTCTGTTATATTCTCCCACCCTTCTCTGCCCTTTGCCATTTTGCCATTTTGAGACTGGGAAAATTCCATCTGCTGACCCAAAAGGCCACCTTCCTGTTCCATATCTTTATGTTTCATTCCTTTCCTACTCATAGTGTCCTCCTCCTCGACCTACAGATCAGAGGTTCTTCGTATTACACACCCTTGGATTTTAGTTTAGGGGTTTTGTTTTTGTCTTGTTTTTAAGCTGTCAGTAAAGCACTGACATCTTTTGATAATTTCATAATATATATATATATATATGTATGTATGTGTGTGTGTGTGTGTATGTGTGTGTGTGTATCACATATACACATATACATGACATATGTATGTGCACATATATATGACAGAGCTATTTCTGGCCTTCTGTTGTTTGTATTCTCTTTAAATTTTTTTGAGATTTGTTTATATTTATTCTATGTACATGGGTATATTGCCAGCAATATGTCTGTACCCCACATGTATACAGGGCCCACAGGAGCGGGAAGAGGGAGTCAGACCCTTAGAATTGCAGTTATAAATGGTTGTGAGAGGCTATGTGGAGGTTGGGAATCGAACCCTGTGTCTTCTGGAAGAGCAGTCAGTGCTCTTAATCACTGAGCCATTTCTCCAGCCCTCTCTTCTTTCTCTCTCTCTTTTTCTTTTTTTGAAACAGGGTTTT